CAGAATCAATATATTGGCTGTCTCGTTCTGAGTAAAGATTAAAATGATGATAATTTAAATCTACTATATATAAAGTAAAAAATTATGAAAAATTAACTTATATTAAGCAAAATATAGATATTAAATAGATAGCTGAAAAAAACAAAATTTTGAGGAGAAAAAACGAGGCTTATGTTTTTTTCTTTAAAAAAACGTTTTATGAAAAAAAAAACAATTTGGTTTTTTTTTCTATTTACATCTCTACCCCTTGGCTATCCCACTTTTTAATTTTTTTTTTAGTTCAAAAGAGGCAAAATAAAAATAAACAAAAGCTGCTCAGTTAATGAATTTCTGTCGAATATTTATTTTTTAAGAGTGAAAGTTTTCATAAAAATTTCTCACGCGTATCGTTTTATACATATACTTAATTATTACTCTTTCGAAAAATATTCAATACATCCACCATTGTTTTATCTAAACTCGATTCGCACTCGAGATTGCCTGTTCCTAATTTATCCCGATATGCAGATTCGATAAGAGGGAGGAAGCCCAGGAGGCTATCGCGCAGCTTCACGGTACAATACCGGAAGGTGGATCGGAGCCGCTTAGCGTAAAAATCGCGGAGGAACACGGGAAACAAAAGGCTGCGTATTACGCGGGCTGGCAGGCGGGATACAATCAGAGCCGCGGTAAGTAATTTTACATCTTGCGGGACCGCTGCATTAATAGACTTTATCCTCGCAGCTTGGCAGTGGTAATCGATAAATTGAGCGCGCATTGTTCTTGTTGGAATTTAGAGCTCTCTCTCTCTCTCTCTTTCTCGAACAAGTAAAAACAGAATTACCACTGCTTGGTGGAGCTTGCATTTTTTTGGCTTCTAACACTTCTATGCTAAAAGATATATATATATATTAGCTGAAATATATGATATATATATATATATATATATATATATATATATATGTACATATATGCATACATACATACATACACATAGATACATGAGCATTTAATACATTATTAAATTGATGAATTTATAATTGCGGCGCCGCATATTTGTTTCCGCAATAGACGCTATGTAATTATTTACATGTGGTAGACCATATTACAATTATAAATTTTATATAGGGTAGATTATTTTCTCCCAGGAGAGAGGGAAATTGGTGCATATTGTACCGATATTGGTGCAATATCGTCAAAAAGTATAACAATTAACAATCGACGATTATATGATACTATTATCCGATTTATTCATTATCCGAGTGATAATGCCGTCGAACAGCTCATCCGGCCCGAGTCTGAGTTCTCGACTTTCTTATCCTCCCAAAGAAATCTAAAATCTTGCGATACAAAACGAAATCTCGCCGAATCCGGAAGACCTTGGCCTATGGACGTGCGGGGGCAATCACTTTTAGAGTACAACGACATTAGGATGGGAGCGATAGAAAACCAGTTCTCTCCCGCCTAAGGAAGAGTTCGTTCCTATAAAAAAGAGCCGTGGAACGGATCTAAGTATCATAATCGAGTAGTGACAACTCGGACGATCGCCTCCTCGCAAGAGAGTCAAACTTGCTTGCCCCAGCGACTTCCTTCGCCTCGTCATCATGTACAAGTGCACCGTTCTTCTCGCCCTTCTGGTTGCCTGCGTCGTCGCGGCGCCTGCCCCCAGCTACTTGGAGTCGATCTCCGCTGCATACTCGGCGCATCCCGCATCCATCATCCACGCGGCTGCCCCGATCGCCTACAATGCCTACACAGCACACGCAGCCCCGATCGCCTACGCGCCCTACGCCGCTCCGTTCGCATACACCGCGCACGGCGCACACGTCGCTTACACCGCACCTGCTGTCAGTGCTGTCAGCTACATCCCCTAAGGTAGAGCTGTAGGACGCACTTTCCTTGGGAGCACGAGGCCTTGTATTGCCCGAGCCGATGTCATTCGATCGTTCTTTTTACTCAGGGGGAGAAGAAAATTATACGTATATAATTTTTAGTATATTTAACATATATGCAGGGGTAAAAATAAATTAATATTTTATCCAATTGTCATCCGTTTATTGCGTGACATCTCTATTACACCGATGCTAATCCGCCCGCGCGACGACAGCGAGCGTTGACACGTTCGAAACGAGATATATATTTCGTCGAGCAGAAAGTAATCCTCTTCGAGTACTTAGGCTTCAAAGAGAATTTTAATGATGGCCTGCGTCGAAACGCTCGTATTACGCGCAAAGCTAAATGCGTTCGTAAATAAGTCACGAGGCCTCTCGGCCGTTTTACGTAAATTAATATCACGTAGTAATTCGGCAGACCGCGCCCGATCTAATGGCGGCTCTAAAGATTTTCGAAATATTTCCGGAATATTTCCATCATGCGACAGGTCGATATGTATTTATATTCCCTTTTTCGGTATATTCATAAATCGGCCGCAATATAGAAGGAATAAAAAAAGTATATTCGTACACTCAATTTTTTTCAGTACTTATTCTCACAAAAAAAATACAAACGCTGCTTTGTTTAATATATCAGTATAAATTCAACGCATTTTAACAGAAACACTTTGTAGAAATGTGTTTCTTTCTGATGTAAAATTATTCGTGGAAAGAGGGAGAAAAAGATGGGTATGCAAATACTTTTATCCATCGTATCGCGTTTCCAAATGTACCCGTGCGACTCAGCTAGATATTTACTGAAGAACGAGCTTAACAAATAGATATTTGTACGATTTTCTGACGAAAAGGTAGTTCGCGCTCGTAGATCACGCATATCGAGTTCGCGAGGTCGACGGAGCTGCGCGACACACCGTAGAAAGTCGCGACCTTCCCAAGCGAATCGCATAACTCTCCTATACGCAACAACGCCCATCATTCATCGTAGGGACGTCGCTCAAAGTCGCCTGCTTCGCGATCCCAAAATAAACCCGGCCCCGGCACTTTATTATTACGCAACGCCGACACAGCGCGCGCTCTTATTTACAAGCTTTGTATATACGTACAAACTCTCTGGGCGTCGTGGTAATTGACAGCACGTTCATATCACGCTTACGCGATTGGATTGATATGACTACGCGATGTTGCGTTTATATTCGCTTTACAATGCAGGGAGAGACGCGCGCGAGGCATTAATTACAACGCATCCGTGCAACGTTGATGGAAAGATTGTGCTTGACGTTGCAATGGGCATTTGAAAACGTGCGCTAAACGTTAAATTTGTTGAGAGACCGTATATAGCTGCCCATTGCAACGTCAAGCACAATCTCTGGAATAGAAAACCGGTGTGATATCTAAGTTATTTACTTATTTATCGTCATATAGATGCGAACGAAATTACGCTTTTCATTACGTAATCTTCCGCATTGCAGAAGTGTAACCGCGCGTTTCGCGGACTTCATCTCACCTCTTCTTTAATTATTCTCTTCTCACGTTATTCGCAATAATAATGTCTAATTCGATTCGGTGCATTTGCAGCCGCCCGTTTAATTTAGATCGCGATTAGTATCGCGACAAGTAAGGAAGTCCCGCGACTTCCGACCGGCTTTATCATCGCCGACTCCGGGAAATGGAGCACGGTCGCAATCGCGCACACGTTCGATTTTTCCACGGTCGCCACCGGAGGAAAATCCATTTTCGTTTTCCGGAGCGTTTCACCTTGAGGACGACGTCGTTCGCGTACGCGCGCATTTCTTGAGTTCTCTCGGCCCGACTCGCCGACGCAACGAAAACGAGTCATGCATGGGCATGGGCGGAGTCCGTGAGGCGACCCTGCTCCAATAAATCTGGAGCACGATCGCGTGCAACGATAAGTGAGAAAGTAAATAAATGAATGAGCGACTGTCCGCGGCCCGGACCTGTGACGTCGTAATATTTCACCAATTTCGCCACCGCACTCTTGGACATGACAAAGAATAAATAAGAAGCGCAGGCAGTGCACGTCAATTAATATATACAGGTTGTGCACGCAATTACCGAAACTCCTTTTTTGCCGCAAATTCTCCGACTAATTTGAAGAGTCCATTTTCCACTCTTGAGAATATTGAAGTGCTAATAATTTTTGTATAATCGGCATGTAGAAAGATAAAAAAAAACGTTTCTCGCAAATTGATCGTCAAGAGAATTAATGAAGTCACGTTTCTCGATTAATTTTAAGTGGATTTCACTGACGGAATTTTAATTCGAGACTCAAGGTTTGAGTCATAAAAAAATATGTAATATTAAGAAAGAAAAATTTTGTGTAAATTGAACATAAAAACAATGATTGACAAAATCGTATATATATATATATATAGTGGTTCTGAAACACTCAGTACTTGGTACGTGCAAATTAAATTCATGTGAAACGAGAACGCATAATTCATCGAATATCTCCTCTGTCCATCTACCTTGGACAGAGATGTTGACTTTTAAAGAAGTTGAATCGCTTTGCAAATAGCTTGCGCACGTACATTGTATATCAATTTAATCAACCGCCTTTATTTTGCTTTTATTAAGACAGGGAATGTTATCTTTAACACATTGAAATCGATAACGTCCTTTGTGTCTAAATAGATTGAAATAAATTTATCATTATCTCAATCAAGCATGATTTGATTCAACTTATAAGATTAACAATTTAAAGTTCTAAATGAATTCAATTCTGACATTATTAGTTGTTTATATCAATTTCATAATTTTATCAACTTATACGAATTTAGAGGATCACTTAAGAATCCTTTAGCCATTCTTAGAATATTCGAGTAATTTGACTGCGCTTATCAAAACGCGCGATCAAATATTGAAGAGAATAAGGCGCGACTTTAACGAAGCGAGTGCATGTTACATAAAGCGCGCGCGTTATTATATAAAATCGTGAAATTGAAGTTACGGTAAAGTAAAAGGACCAAAACGACCCATGATTGGGATAAACAAAGTTTGCGGGTGCCTCGCCTTAGCCTTGATCTACTCTTAAACCTCGCTTCTTCATCGCACTCGTGTACACGCTGCTCAACACCTCCTTCTCACCTTGCGCAACGCTCTTACGCTCCGCTGGATGCACGAATGAATAGATGGATGGATGGATGGATGGATGGATGGATGGATGGTCTAAGATTGAATATATAAAAGCCTCTAACAATCGCGTCCCCGGTCATCAGACGTGACGGATCTTTGCAGGCGTAAGATCGCGATACGGACCGATACCGATCGGTGATGGCATGTCTCGAGATACTGCAGGTGAAACGAGCTGTTGAAATCGCAGCGCAACCGCGAAAACGAAAATTTATGACGATACGATCAGATAATACGTAACGCCAAGAAATCTCACAAGTATGTACGCGTAATACCAAAGCTGAATAATTAGCTGGATGACGTAAATGTCTGAAATATATTCTAAAATTACAATTTTGCCCTAATTTTTTCGAGCGGTTCTTTGTACGACTGAGGGACACCTGCAAGAGATTAAGACGCTCTCTTCGCTATATACGTTTGAGTTGCACGACGACTCAAATCATCATTGAATGCGCTACAAAAAATAGAAGCAATGCGTAAAAGATGAAAATATGTATTAGAAACATCATGTACATAGCCGATGACAATGTTTGTGGCAGTACGGTAGGCTGCGTATGGCCAGCCATTTATAATCAAACTTGTCGAGGCATTTATTCCCCGAGACTTTAACTTGGTTTTACTCAGTGGTAATATCCACCGTATCCATAACCGTGGCCGTAGCCGAGTCCGTAGCCATAGCCTTGACCATATCCAAGACCATATCCAAGACCATATCCACCATATCCATGTCCGTATCCAAGACCGCTGTGACCGAGGTAGGTGACCGATGGCGGAATTGAGTATCCATGGCTGTAGCTCACCGCTGGTGCGGAGTAAGTCGGAGCGTAGGCCACCTTTGTGATAGGTGCGGTATACGCTACTTTTGTGATGGCAGGTGCAACGGCGAGCTTAGTGATGGGTGGAGCTACCGCGACCTGAAGACAGAACGAGAGAGAATTATATCTCGCCCCCTGTTATTTTATTGTATTTCGCGCACAGCCATATATATATAAAGTAAAATTTCATTAAAAATTGTAATTCTCCCTTAAAATGTGCTCGGTAATTATTCCATTTTTTCCCCTCGTCCGGGGAGCGTTATTCTGTCGAAATAATAATGCAAAACCTTATTTCTACTGAATTCATTTTGCGCGAGAGCTCGTTTATGGATTACATCCGAGTGGAGCCGGAATTTTCCTTCGGTTGCACCGGCCCATTCCAAGCTATACGCCGGTATGTACGCTGATAATCCTTCCTTTCTTGTGTCGTAAGGGTCTGCAGGTTACATGTTCAACCGTTTGAGGACTACTCTACCTTGTACGTATTGGCGTAGCTGGTCGCAACCGGAGCGTGCGCGTATGCGTAAGGTGCGTACGTCGCTACTCCATGACCCAAGCCGTAACCACCGTATCCGTAACCGCCGTAGCCGTAAAGTCCTCCGTATCCGGAGTATAGGCCGCCGGCGGATGCGTAGGCGATAGTGGCGAGAAGGACGATCTGCGGCAAAATGTAGATACGCGTCAAGAACGTTCCTCGGGTTTCAAACATACATTTTTTATACATAAATCGCGACGAAATTTGGAGCGAAACCTGATACCAAAACTTGGTACGTCGTGTAATGCAGGAAACATTCGCGGAATCAAGATCGCAGCTATGAAATTGGAACTTTATCTATGTTTATGAACAAAAAAAAATCCGTGTTAAATACGCGAGGAAAAGCGATGGATTTGTTAACAAATTTCTTTCCAATTTTAAGCTCTAAAAATTAAAAAAAAATCGACGAAATAAATGTATAAACGTAGAAAAGACAATGATACGATGTATAAATATGAAAGAAATTAAAATAGCGTATTTCTCGGGAAATACGCCGTTCCCGCGTACGTTTTGCAGTCAATTGCTTATGACAGTAGACATTTCTATGCGAGATTATCCTAAATGACGATACGAAGCTTCTAAGCGAACAGTTTGCGTCGTCGCGTATAGCCTTCGGCTTTATGTACGCATATTCAGGATGATTTCAAGCGCATATCATACGATATGAATGAAACAAGCGTATTCCAGCGCGATAAAATCGTGCCCGCGGCGGCAAGTAAAGTTCACAGCAAATGTTACGTCCGAGCTGCATTTCTCTCACGGTATTGCGAGTCAACTCTCTTTCTCCTCTATTTCTCTGTACCTCTCTTTCTGTATAGTTAGAGATAAGTCTAATCTCCAGATAAAAGCAAAGATATAAGAGGGCAAATGTCGAAATGACAATTTTCAAAACACGAACATTTTTTTACGTTTTACATGTACATTCTGTATATCTAACTTTACATTTTACATGTATATTACACATAACAATCCTGCGACATATATTTCTCAACATTTCTCCTGAAATTTAAAGGATTCATTTTAAAAACCCTGAGAATTATATGAAGTTGTGTACATATGAGAGATATTTTCTAAACCCAGCGCGTCGCCCGGGAAAAACCGCGTGGATATCTCTATACACTCTCGACGAGAAAAGTTTCGCCGGCGCGGCGCTCACCCGCCCCGAGTGCCACGAGTACTTCACTCACCAGCTTAAACATGTTGCTCCAAGTGCTTGCGATCTCTTGTCGGTACTGTGGACTGACTACATCTCGTGTACCCCGTCAGATCACTTATATATCCCCCGGCGGATTGTTTTTGCTCGCGCTCGCACGTCAAAGATCCAAGGGGGAGAGATGCGGAAAAAAGTTTTCCCTGCCAATCGCGGGCGAGGCGAATTCGTCGGTGAGGTAAACGGCGTGGGGTCCGCGATCCCCGCCGTCGCCGATATAGTGGGGTGGATCGGACTCCCCGGGACTTGTTACGCGCTCACCTAGATCCTAGATCCTTTGCGCGGTACCGCGGACGCGGATGACTCGCCGCGCGCGCGGTCTCACCGCGCGATCGTTCGCACGAAGGACGAAGCCATTATCGGCCCAGGCGGGAGAAAAGAAGAAGAAAAAAAAAGAAGTATCGGTCGTTCGATTCGCATCGTGAGAAAAAGCGCGTCCATGCTACCTTGAGCGCACACGCGCGCGCGAACGAGCGTGCGAGCCGAGGGAGGACAGGAGAGAGAGGTTCCCTCGTGTCTCTCCTTCGTCTCTTCACCGACCCACACCCGGCCACTCTCAATCGCTTTCTGTAATTATTCGCGCGTCTATGATCTTGTCTGTGCTCCACGAAGCGTGAACAGAGCAACACGGGGACCTCGACCGATCGAATGTGGCACGCGGTGGTGCGGACGTGATACGTCCGACGACACAGAGAGAATTCTCTCTCACACATATATATTCCTCTTACGTTTTACCATAATTTTCTCTTATTACAATTTTTTACATTAGCATTTATACTAGCTTCTTATATTATCCTATCTCTCAAATTTATCTATGAATTATTTATTTTTTGCCACGTTGTTATAAATTTATCTACTTTATCTTTATATACCTCTTTTATATATTAAAAGAAAATTTAACTTACAACAGATATTTTTTATTGTATGTTACGATATTATTATCGCATATTATTATCATTTTATATTTTTATATTTCTATTTCCATATACTACATATATAATAGTAGGTATATCGTACATGTCTTTATATTATATTCTCTTCGTTCTTCTTGATAAATACCCCGCTATGCATCGATCTCGTTGCTCCTACGATCGAGGATGAGTGGGTGTGTCAACGCGAGTGTCGCTTCCGGTCGCCATCAGAGCGAAAAATGAATCATCTCGCGTATGCAACGAGCTCGTGGAAATGCGTCCTCTGTACATAACTAGCATAACAATACATTGTACAACTCGATTATTCATGGAATTCATTCGCTCAGAGAGATAATAATGCGGATCGCGGGCGCAACAAAAAAAAAGAACGGAGAAAAGAGAGGCGGCGTACTTCATTAACCGCGGAACAAACATTTTTGTACTCTTTCCTTGCTCGCCTCGCTCAATGTCGTATATACCTGCAGCCTTGCTGGTCGCGGCGGATTATCTTCGTCCTTATTGCGACTCGTGCTTACACGTCACCTCGTACACACCGCCGGTAAACACATAGTGGTAACGCGAGCGTGAAAAATTTCCGCATAATAAACGTTTACCATTCACTGTCGCCTTCTTAATAAAGTGCACGCTGCATTATACATATGCATATATGCATATACTTCCTTTTGCCCTTAAGAAATTTTTATTAAATCGCTTATTTCCGCTTCCAGCTTCGACGATAGATCGTCGTATATAATGCTACAAAACAACTTTGCTCTTAGAAATCAAATATTAATGTATAGATTTTTTTACCAAGAGCTTGTAGTCTGCGTTTTGTTTAAAAATTCATTAATCAATTTAGGACAAGTCTCTCTTTTCTCAACGAAAATTCCTATTGTTTCTTTAATATTAATATCATATATCATATTTGAATAATTTTTGAAAATTTATACCTTAAAAAAATTTTACGGAGATAATTACTGCTGATTTTTTTTTATCGTTGTGAATAATTCTCTGTTTTAACGAGCTAGCATTTGTACATCGGAATTAAACGGGCGATTCGCTATATATCCTCCATCGTTTCCGTTGGTCTTTTTTTCGCGTTACGCGGCCATTTGTAACCAGCCCTAATGGTTTACGATGCGATTAACTCGCCTGCGCGCCTCGGTATCTGCCCTTACGTGCGCCCGCGAGGCACGCCTAGACCGATCGCGAATTGGGGCTAACGAAGATAAATATCGGCGCGATATATACGTATATCGCAAGTGAGATACGTTACGACGTACCGTGTGTATTGTATATACGCGAACTCTCTTTACGTGAAACGCAAAATGTCGTTGCAAGACAAACGGTCCTGTCTCCTGCCTCCGGGCCCGCGGGCGATCGATTTTTAAAAGACGGCCAGCTACCGAAGAGAGAGCAATGCACAGTCGGATGACGATGCACAATGCAATACGAAGACATGTATACAGGGTGTCTCGCTTGTCGAACGTTAATTTTTTTTTAACGACGGATTTCTTGATCGCGATTGGGAATCGGATTTTTCCTTGGTGAGAAAATTTATTACGGAGACACCGATAATTTTCGAGTTTTGAATGATTACAAATCACTCTTTTCGCGAATTAAATCTCAGAGGCCAAATGATTCATATGACACGTTCTGTTAATTTTAGGCGGAGTTTATTTTATAGAATCCCAACTTAAAGTTTATTCGTAAAGATACGCGATGCTAAAGATTAGAAAGCTATGCTATAAACGATGACCTCCCGCGATAGTCACGCTAAGAAAAACTCGAATCCACTCGAAATTGATCAAGGAATTCGTCGTTAAAAAAAAATAACTCGCGAGAAGTTGGACACCTTGTATCTAAGCCGAAAGGGATTTAATCCGTTAACCCGTGAATCCTGCGCTGTTTTATGTGATACACGGCATTTTTTATTTATCGTTCTATTTTGCTTATCGGACAACCGTCAGCTCCGCCGCTGTCGAATAAGTCCTCTTGCTTATTCTATCGACGTTGATGACAAGCGGCAATAAACGTTTGTAAACATGTCCTACAGGAAATCGCGTAAGCATCACGCCTATTTTATTTTCTTTTTTTATTTTTCTCGTAACGCAATTATGTAAGGTCGTTCGCGATCGAGGTCGTTAGCGAGCACCGAGCGAAGATGCGAGATCGCGGGAAACCGCGGCGAGAATAACACACCGCGGTGACGGAAACTGGAACACCGTGATCTAAATCCCGAGTTTATGCGTCTGCATTATTAGCATTAGCATTCCGTGTGTGGACCACAAGTGTGCTCGGCAGGAGTGTCCGGCTTCCCCGCCCATCCTCGCGCACGTTTCTGTCGCGGTTACGTAAACGCCCTCGCGGTAGGTAAATGTGGACGTGCGACCCCCCGCAAAGCTTATCTCCAAATCTTAAAAATGTATTTATAAAAAGTTTTCTATAAAAATAGTAAAAAAACGACGTATCATAAAGTTGCTGAAAGCTTAGCGCAAAAGGAGACATCGTATAATCTACATTTTCTTATATATTTCTTTTTTTAATATATATTTTTTTAGACGCTTTGGCGAGATAAGCCCTCCGGATTCTCGCGTCCGTCTCGGGATTTTGCGGATCTCTGGTGTAATATTGACCGCGGAGAGCTATTTCTCGCGCTGTATATATACCTATAACACGGGTGTCCGTCTCACTTTTCGCGGGACATTCAGGGATGCGTGACATCACGTCGCTTAACGAGACCTCGGCACGGCAATTGTGCAATTATTGTTTGCCAATAATGTTCTCGATCACAAGGACCGAGCGCGAGAATACGGCCGATTGTACGACGTCGGCACCGGCAATCGGCAGTGATGCCGGCGTGATGTACGAGCCTCCGATACGCGCCCTGCCGCGATTTATTACGGCGCGTTATCGCGGCGTCGGGAATTGTAAAAGAATCGCTCCCGGGCGTAGAATGGAGTGTCCCGAAATAAATCGCCGAGTGATTTTTAGCCGGCTAAACGGACCGTTGCCCGCGCGCCGTTACTCCGCCGACGAAATAAATGGCATTTAATAAAATTAACAAAAATAATCGCGAAATTAAGCGTGTATTAAAATTGAAATACAGCGAGATTAAAACGTAATAAATTTAATTGCGAAGCATATAATATGAATATGTCGCTGAATAACAAAGAATATTGCGAATATTGCGCTGTTTGAAATATGTAGAACGTAATGTAGAGATCGGTTTCAATTTTTAATTAAGGTTTAAAAGTGTCCTTCTTTCTCTCCCCTTCTCTCTTTGACTTAGTACGCAACCGAAGGTAAGTAAACGCCGTCGGTGGTGCTTGCGCGTAGCTCCTTTTACTTTAAGGAGAGGAAGCAGGAAACGTTTCCCCGATACGTACATTTCGCATTATCTCCGTAGCGACCGGAGGTTACCCGGAAACCAAGCGCAAGCCCCAGAGTGAGAGAGAGAGAGAGAGAGAGAGAGCGCGCGCGTTTCGTTTCGCCGTGTTGTAGACGCGGTTAAGAGGATGCGAGAGAAATGAGTGCTTCTTACGCGGGAAAATGGAGCAGGAATTTCTTTTTCTTTCCTTTCCTTTTTTTTATCTTTTTTCTTGCTTTTCTTTATTTTCTGCACGTAATATACTTTCGACGACGGGGGACACGCGGAAGACAAGGAACAAGCTGTCGGCCGACGTTGGCTCGGCTACATATTATTTTACACTCTAAGAGGATACGAGGGTGGGACGATATAACTACGTAAAGAAGCGACGAGAGCGGAAAGGAAGCAGCAGGTGTAGCGAGCACTCGATAAACATCTTCCGGAGATGGGGGACAATCTTCACTTGTCCTCGCCCTCGCCCTCTTCCTCCTCATCAAACTCGCCCTCCTCGTCGGCGGTCGCCTCTTGGTACTGCTGATACTCGGACACGAGATCGTTCATGTTGCTCTCGGCCTCGGTAAACTCCATGTCGTCCATACCCTCGCCAGTGTACCAGTGCAGGAACGCCTTGCGTCGAAACATTGCGGTGAATTGCTCCGATACCCTCTTGAACAGCTCCTACGGTGTTAAAACAAGTTTTAACGATATAATTAGTTTCGTCGTATAATTAATTCCTTCTTTTTAATACGTTCAATCGAATCGATATGCCGGATAATTTGTTTTTCGAAAATTTGCGTTTTTTAGAGAAATCGATTGAATTGAAAGCTCGATTTACAGTAGCATTCTGTCAGTCACTGTGTGACAGTTTATTCATTCTTTGTGTGACAACAACAAGCAAATGATAAACGAACCTGAATGGCCGTAGAATTGCCAATGAAAGTCGCGGACATTTTCAGGCCCCGCGGGGGTATGTCGCAAACGGCGGTCTTCACATTGCTCGGTATCCACTCGACGAAATAGCTGCTGTTCTTGTTCTGAATATTGAGCATCTGCTCGTCCACTTCCTTCATCGACATTCTGCCACGGAATACCGCGGCCACTGTCAAATATCTACCGTGTCGCGGATCGCACGCGGCCATCATGTTCTTTGCATCAAACATTTGTTGGGTGAGTTCCGGTACCGTGAGTGCCCGATACTGCTGCGAACCTCTAAAATATCATTTAAAAATTGCAAGACAATTCCGTCTTCTTTGCTTTTTTTTGTGAAAATTACGTACGGAAAATTATGTATGCAAAATTAATTATTTTTCTCTAAATAATTAATTAATTATATTGTGATTCTACTGTAATTTAAAAAAACTTTGTTTAGATAAACTAACAATACAACATCAACTCTCATAGCATACAAGCTGATATTCTAATTTAATAATTAGCTTTTTTTAATTTAATTAGTTTTCCTTGCAAATATGAGACCTAGAAGTCAAGGGGGCGAAGCCGGGGATGAAGAAGTGCAGTCGCGGGAAAGGAACCATGTTGACGGCGAGCTTCCTTAGGTCGGCGTTAAGCTGGCCGGGGAACCTCAGGCAAGTGGTAACGCCACTCAGGGTCGCGCTGACGAGATGGTTGAGATCGCCGTAGGTTGGCGTGGTCAGCTTGAGGGTCCGGAAGCAGATATCGTAAAGCGCCTCGTTGTCTATGCAATACGACTCGTCTGTGTTTTCCACCAGCTGATGCACCGAGAGAGTGCAGTTGTAGGGCTCGACCACGGTGTCCGATACCTTCGGAAGGAGACGAGAATAGACGCTGACGTGTAACGCATGGCATCACGGCCGCGGTATCGGGCGCGCTCGCGTATCGCGCAAACGTGTGTACACAAACGCGAGAGAGTACAAGCATTGTACGTCGGCAACGCGCGCGGTATTGTCCTATTAAGGACAAAAGGTCGGTTCCTGGCGGGCGCTTTGTCTCGCGTCCATTGTACCTTATCCTGCGCGCATCAGAAAGACTTTTGCGTTGCGCCGCGCGCCCCAGCGAAATACGCCCCGCGGATGATTCCCGATACATGTGGAAATTCGAAACGTAACTCTTGATGTGAGATTCAATCTCGTATTGTTTCCGAAAGTCAATGGAAATTTCGTTCGTAAATATAGAGAGCGCGTCTAAATTATTTCTTTGAAAATCAATGCTAAACACAAACCCGTGGAATCGAGAAAGAGAAAAGTTAGAATTTCTGATTTGAATAGCAAGAAAGGCGTTTGAAAAAAATGATTGAAATTAAAAAATCAAGATTAAATTCAAAGAAAATACCTTCGGCGAAGGTACCACGCTGAACGTCATCATGATTCTATCAGGGTATTCCTCGCGTATTTTGGAGATGAGCAGAGTGCCCATGCCTGCACCAGTACCGCCGCCTAGCGAATGCGTGAGCTGGAATCCCTGAAGGCAGTCGCAGCTCTCGGCCTCCTTGCGAACGACATCCAGGACAGAGTCGACGAGCTCGGCGCCCTCGGTGTAGTGGCCCTTGGCCCAATTGTTACCGGCGCCACTCTGTCCGAACACGAAGTTGTCTGGCCGGAATATCTGGCCAAACGGTCCCGAACGGACCGCGTCCATCGTCCCGGGCTCCAAATCAACCAGGATCGCACGCGGCACGTATTTACCGCCTGTCGCCTCATTGTAATAGACATTTATTCGCTCCAGCTGCAGATCCGAGTCGCCGTGATACGTTCCCGTGGGGTCGATTCCATGCTCATCCGAAATCACTTCCCAAAACTGTGATTTTTGTAATGAGAAAGAAATATTTCATTCGAATAGAAATTTCTCAAGGATCTCAGTACTTCGATACAATGATTCCGATTATTTTCCGCGTATGTGTAATAAATTTTGCAATTATACATGAATTTTGATATTTTCTTATCCTAATTAGAGTCAAGAGACACATTGTCATTCGTGTATATGAAACGCTCTCATAATATTTGTATTGGACGAGATGATTGAGACTTATATCTGAGAACTATTTAAGGGTTTGAAACATACCTTGGCTCCAATCTGATTGCCACATTGGCCGGCCTGAAGATGTACTATCTCGCGCATGTTCGCTTAAGTTCGACTTTACAAATTCTCCTTTTCGCTACGACACACGAACCCGTGCAATTGAGACGATGAAATCAAAACTCGTTGTCGTCGTCTGTTTTCGTTACCTTGGAAATGCGTAACGTGTGCACGTTTTCCGGAGAATACGGGAGCGAGAGCACACCGGGAGATAAAGCCGGGAGCGCGAAAGATCTCCGATGCGACGAGACTCGTAATAATTCCGGCGAAATCCCTAACCCTAAGAACCGTAACTCGGGTAATTTGGCTGAGTCAAACTCGCGTTCCCATGGATACATGGCGAGAAGAGAGTAACTCTGGTCCGCTTCTGTTTCAAGACAATTGAATGTAACGTTGATGAACAAAAGACTCATGCCGGCGTATCTCGTATTGTTCGTCGGCACTATACGGGTTTGTTCGAAAAGAAAATCGTTCGGCTTAGTAGATTTTATACCTTAATTATTTAAACGACTTAAAAAGTAGAGACAATTTTGATAATTTAAATATGTATATTTAGACAACGAGGATATCTTAATAAATTGTTATAAGATATTTTTAGAAAATTTTATTCTTTATTGAAATCATACAGTACACATCTCTTATTAAATATTTTTTTTCGTGTGTTTATAAGATATTTGATATCAGAATACCCATCGAACGTTTATTATGTCTTATAAGGACATTTTGAGCTTCGTAAATTGAATTCCGCGTAATGCTACTTAAGCGAGGTCGAGGGGATCTAGATGAAAGTCCGCGAAACTCTTGGTCGTGAAGGCTTTCGCTATCTCGTTAACCAGTTCCATGTACACGATAGGATTGACGTTCTGTGCGAGTTGGTGCAACAGGAACCAATCGCCGAAATGGAATACTCGTATTACACGCTCGGCCTTAGATTTCTCGAGCCTGCGAACTGCACCTCGTAGAAGATACACTCTTGCCCAGGCTTGAGAGAAAACTACGATCCTGCGAGAAGGACCGTATCAATCGCGTATCGATTTAACGATACTTAAAATTTTTACAGATCTATGACGTAATATTTAAAATATAATGCAAGGATTCGCAATTGTGGCATAAAGTGCTAAGAGAAATGGCCACTCAACAAAGTAATGCCCGCGTAAAATAAGTTTTATAGATCGTTTGCGTATATTTCTGATTACGACATCGTAATCATCAGAATTACCGCGTAGTCGTTGAACGAATTTATTATACGTACCTATAGATTATCGCTAGGCAACCGACGCCCGCGAGAAAAACCAGCCAGAACCAGAGAACGATGAAGATCTTCTCGTTCACCACGTTCAGCGGGAGCACGCACAGGGCATCGTGAGTCTGTACGGAACCCGCGGGCCCGAATGTGTGAATCGTACACTTGGTCATCTTCGGAAACAATCGCGCCATAGGGTCGATCCTGTCATGAGGATTTTTCTCCGCGAGGAATGCGCTCACCAGGGGCCCGTATTGCCTAAACTGCCCCTCCAGAAATATATCCAACAGATATATCTGTCCTATCTATTATACGAAAGGTTTTATCGACATTTTTTGTTAACTTTACGCTCTCTGTGGCATTTTTAAAAAATAATTGTAAGAATCAGTAAATGCCAAATCTTAAGACGATTGCGCGTGAATTAGTCGATTTTTGCAGAATATTGTAAAGAAAGTGAAGTGATCGTATTTTATACGTTAAGGGCCCTCGAGTTGTATGTCCGCGCGATATATGTATATCGGGCTCGTTTCGAAGCAAAGTTTCAACCGCGTTTCGTTAGCCCGGGCTCATTATCGAACCCAAATCAATTATTCACGGTTATTTCCGCGCAATTTCCTCGCTTCTGACGTCATAATCCCGGTTGGCCGATCGAGATCCCTTAAGTACCTCCGCAGAAACTCTTCCGTTTCTAAAACTGAAGGAGAATTATACTTACCGAATTTAAGAAGTTCAAGAGCTCGCACACGAAGAAACGCATGGCGTAAAAGTTGTGACCGTGTAGATTCGTTTTGGTGAAATACTCGACGAGCTGCTGCTTCCTCTCCTCGGTCCAGACGTCTCTCAGGAAGGGAGACGCAAGATCTCGCGAAAGAAAGCCTATCGTGCCTCTCTCCCAGATGCCCCATAACGCGCGCGGCACGTAAAAAAAGATGGCTTGTAAACCGAGAACGAAGCAAACCTAATAAACATTTTATCCTTATTTCCAATTTTTCTTAAATTAATCTTTATCTCTCGCCTCATCTTAAACAGAGTCGAGCTTTCAGCGGAGAAAAATAAAATATATCGTATCCCTTGTGTATCGCGTCAGACATTTGAAATAAGAAAAAAGAGATAATAAAAATATTTTGAAAATATCATAAACGCGGACAAATATTACCGAAGTTGTTTTATTTTTTTACAAAATCTATTTATATTTGACTTCATATCTTTTCATTCGAAGACCTAAAGATCTCGTGGAGGAGCATTTCCTCCTACATTCCCCTCCGCGATATTTGCGATGCGAATCGCGCGATATAGAGACGTAGGATAACAGTTGGATCTGCGATCTCTATTTCCATTTCCTCGCACCGTCTTCCGTCCTTTCCGGACGTTTTCCTTTACATTCACGCGTTCACGTTTCAGATTTCATTCACGCTCGCGCAATACGTCTGCATGCGCCGCGCCGGTGAGCCGAGAGCGACCTGACCATCGGAACGAAGTGCAGCCGTTATCATGCATCTCGCGTACGTGAACGCGCCAGTAGGTGTGTGCATTCCATACGGAAACTTATGCGATCGACCAATTCCGTCGTACACGCGCGCGCGCGAATGCGTTCTCCCCCTCCCCCCTCCCCTCGCATTTCTCTCCCGTTCGCTTTCAATTTTTCAGAGTGCCCCATCGAAAAACAATTTAGGGATGCCTTTGACGAATTCCGAGTCGATCTTTCCCCGGCGAGAATTTTCCCCGAGAAGTCTAACGGAAGTGGAAGTCTCTCGGAAAACTTTTATATCGAGCATAAAAATTCTTGAGCTTTTGGCCTTGAGGGGTACGAGTCAATAAGGAAACTTTGTGTTTCGGTTGAGTTCATAACTTGATTTTATCGAAGATTTGATTTAAAGCTCGCGGAGGGAAATGTAATTTATAAAAAATTTAATAACGAAAGCAAATGTTTGAATTGCGGCGAATACATGCAGGCGAATTTAATACCGATAATTTATCGAAATACGAATATTTTCCGGCATATGATTTAATAAATGTGTTTTCTGTGTTTTCTATCAACGAACTGTTTATCGGCTATTTGTCCGTATCGGTTATCTCCTCATCCGTATCGTGAACGTTCTAAATTCAGCTGACCCATTGATAATATCGATGATGACGGGCTTCGTCATCCGGAAGGACCTGTCCTACACCAGCACTCGCTACACCCCGTCCAGGAATACCTTTCAGATGTCGGGATACCGTGAACGTGCTGTAGATCCAGCAATACGCGTTTACGGGCTCTTTGTCTGCCAATATCAATTATAACCAATTATTAATAATAAGCAACTCTTATTGTCGATGCAACAATTAAATAATCAGACGCGGAGAGAGATATTTAGGAAGGACTTTAAAATGCAATGAATTATTACGATCTTTGCACGACTTCTGTGAGCATTTAAACTCCCAAATGCTCACACACTTGAGGCTAAAGGTTAGCGGAATTCGTACCGATGGAAGCATCGGTCATGCAAGAAATCGGTTCGCCGATGTATTGCTTGGCAGTTACGAGGATCGTGCAAACGAGCAGCAGGAGAACGGTGACGCGCGAGTGCAGCCTGAAGACGACATTGTCGACACGAACGGATTCTTCCTGCAGAAGGCATTTAATAGGTGCAAAGAGGTCCAGCATGGTTATCGCGTGTTCTTTTGTCTCGGACACCGAAACAAAGCACAATAGAGAAAATACCAGGGCGCATTGCGAAAGAAAGCGTTTACAGGACGGCAGCGTCGCCCGCGTCGCGCGCGTTCGCTCTGAATTCGTCAAGGAATTTATCGCGGGAGACAGCCAGACAGGCTTCTCGGCCTGCAGTGTCTCGCGCAAGTGACGGTTAAATCGATGTGCGAGGAAACGGCGTTAATGAAACGGAAAATTAAACGAAATATAAATCGGATTATGCGTCGCGGCGGTATTTCGCAAGACGGAAGATCGAGTCGAAATTACGAACACGACTCTAAAACGACGGGCGAGGAATTATCGCCGTGTAAATCATCGACGTGAATGGCGGTGCCCAAAACTGCATCCGCCTAATTGGTCCTCACTTAACCAGCGAGCAGACTCGTAAATCTTGAACGTAACGATCTCTCGCTGTAATTTTTGCTCTCGGCAACGCTCTCGGTCTTTCTCGCTTTTAATTTATCGCCGCACCGAATCCGGATTCTGAGATTTGTCGAAGGGGGTCCAGCTTTAAGTATATATATAAAAAAACCAATCTCTTTCCTTGACTCCAAGGAGATGCTCTTTATTAGTAAAAAATATAGTAATCATGATAATTGTTATTATCGCAATTACATGTCGTAGTAAGATAATCGTTATACCGTCGATTAAAGATAGCTGCGCTCGTTAATAATGCGCTTAATACCGCATCGCTCGGTCGTGTGTGCGTGTCGTGTGAATCCGTATGGGTGTGTATGTGTGTATATCCGCTATTGAGATTGTCGCTAAACCTACATAAATGTTTCCCTATATACAAACAAACATCGTTCCTAGAGCGCCGGCAGCCCCGGGGGCGGCGGGCCAAGTTTCCGAGTCTGTTTCTTGCTCTAATTATAATAGCCTTCCTGGAGGAAGGCTAACCAACGAGTATCGGATTAACGGGATCCCTTATCGCTGCGATAGCCGACATCTTACCCGGTCGGCGTCTCGCCGATGTGATGCGCCTACTTTATATTTACTCTTCTTTATTTTATTTAATTATTTCTCTTTCTCTTCACCTAGCGTACCGGTTTTATTTCTAAAAAGCGATCGGTTTTACAAACCTCCTTCTAAATCCTCGCCTTATTATATACAAACTGTTTGCACTGTCGACGATCACATGCATCATAATAGCTGCATATTTTAGTAGGCACGCTCATTCGGTGTCATAGAGTCCAGACATCTTGCGAATCGGCGAATCATAACTCTTCTCACTTCTTATTTCTCCTCTCTCTCTCTCTCTCTCTCTCTCTCTCTCTCTCTCTCTCACTTTCTCTAATGTGGACACTAGAGCGATTATATATACTTCACAACGGATTCGATATATATATAATATATGTATATTATACTCGATACTGTCGCCGAACCTCAAGATGTTAAATCGACAAGGCGTGTCACGACCCGTCAGAAGCCACAATTACTAGATGTACTATCGATTTCCGTCGTTCCCACCATTCCCGTTGTATTTTAAGTCAATTTAATTGTATCTTGCTCGCGACGAGTTTCTCTCGAGAGTTCACGAAGCAGAACAACTTTGAGCAACCGCTAAGGACTATATATCCCGAAGTCGGAATCTACGACGATCGGTTCGCTGATTTGCATCTGTACGAGCGACAAAGGAAATAAGGGTCCATGCTACCCTGCACGGTTTTCTAGAGATAGCAATAATGCCACCTGATATAAATGAATCATAAATACATTATAAAATATATTATACAATATAACGTAATTAATTAATTGTAAATTATTTATAATATATCATAATATAAAATTATTTATTATAATTATTCTAATATTTTTGAAAAAAAAATTATTTAAAACAATAGTAATCATTTAAAACTTAATCTAACTTAATCTAATCCGTCTTTTTTTTCTTCTAATGTTTCGAACTCATTATTGTCAGACTTCGATGCTGATTATTGATAAGATTTTATAATTAGATTAGAGGAACTTGATAATAAAATTATAAAAATGCTTCTGCATGTCACTGAAGCTACTTACAACTCGTAGATGTTTTGCTATCGTTAGAAATGAAGCTATCGCTGCCCGTACAATCAGCGACAGAAATAAACCTGATCGCCACGAATCTACGATAGTTCTCGCGAACGATATATGAGAACGATCGAGACGAGGGCTATGTATGAAGTTCTATGTCTATGGCAGTGTGTGTAGAGAAGACGCGATGACAAAATACGACGAGTATAACGCGGCAGTGGCAAATACAGCTTCGGTTAGAACTTCGTCGTCGCTGTAAGAGGAGGATAATGTATGGACCATTAGTGTTCCGCAAAGAGTGTAAATAGAAGACCGACAGTGTGTGACGAACATGGGGTGGGCGATCGGCGTTGACAGACAGTATTATAGAAATACTTGAACACCGCGATAGAATAGTAAATATTCGGAGTCAACCTCTCGCAATTAATGAGCAAACTCGACGTTTATTAGACCCGGAAGCATCACATTGAGAGAAATACTTGCAATGTCGGATCTGTCGTTTGGAGTAGCATGGAGAAACACCTTTATCTCGAGAAAGAGAATTCTCGATTATTTCTATCATTTCTCAGCTCAAACAGCAGAGGTCTGAAACGCGAGAGCACCAACGGTTTCGACGGGTTAAGCTTGCCTCGGGAATTCGCGCTCTACTCTTCTCTCTAGATTATAATATTATCTATGATATAGAGTCAGAGAAAAAAAAATGTATTTAACCGAAATTATAGTAACGTCGAACGACGTTGATGCAGCCAGCTCAAAGACGTCTGAGCGACGTTCAAATATAAAAATTAGAACGTCACGAGGACGTCTCTTACGTCATATTCGCAGTCGTTTCTCCAGGAATAAAGATTTCTTGTTTATATACATCTACGCATGTACACAAGTATACATACGGGTATGAAGAAAGAATGTTAATTCCGTGAGACGCGACTGTGAATTTGACCTCTTAGACACCTCTGCGTTCTCCGAGATCGTGCATATACTCGCAGAGGCACGATCGCGTCTCCTAATAGGGTACGTGTATGTCCCTGGAGCGCGATCGTCTTCTACAAAGCCTGCACATGGCGATGAAACACGCCAGACCCAAAAGAATGGCGAGACCGGCGCCCAAGCCGGCACCAGCCCAACCGGCGGGTCCAACGAAACCGCCGCCGGTACCGCTAACGGGACCACCGCACGTCTCCACCGACTCGTCGTCCGGCTCGAAGAAGGTGCCATTCAGGATACCCGGTAGAGGCAAGCTGCGACTGGGACAGTTCACCACGCCATTGCACACCAATCTCAACGGAATGCATCCCGCGTCACCGGGACACTGGAAGCCGCAGTCCTCCAATTGTTTGCCAGTGTTGAGGGCTCCGGATCCATCTCTTGGTAGATGAAAGAGCTCGGTCCAGGCGATCTTGAAGGCCGCTCTGGCTGGTGCCATCGATCCAGTAAACTGTATGATCACAGCGGGTGATTCCTCGACTATGTCGCCGCCTGGCGCTTGATGATCTATCGGCGGTGTAATGTACGACGCTGAAATGATCGGCATTTCCCTCACATAACTGACATTCTCGCCGCAAATGCCGAGATACGGTTCAGCTTTGCCCGGCAGAAAGATTTCGAGCTTGCCGTCCTCGCAGGAGCGCGATGCGAATTTGATCTTGTCAAAGTGTAACCAGAGATCGCGCTCGCGATTCACCCGTAATTCCCAGATACACTTGATGGACCTGGGTGGCGTGACGTATCCTAGCGCCTCGTAATGCGGAAATTCGATCTCGCCATCGGTAGCGGGCGGCAGAAGCGCCGGCCCGCACAAAGGACTGTGCGCGAACTCGTACCTTGCCTCGAAGAGTGGCGCGGGCCACTTGAAGTAGCTCGAGGCCGCGTGCGCGCCGTCCACCAGCAGCTTCAGATCCAATCTTTCGCCCCGAGAGACTACTCTGAGAACGGGCGGTCGCGGTGCCGACGGCGAGATCGTAGGCGTTGGAGTGCCGTTGTTGTTGGTCCGACAGAGGCAGTGACCCTTGATACCGTCCGGATTGGGTTCCCGGATAATCACCCGGTCCACCCGACTTTCCCAGCAATGGCCGCATTGAGCGTACGGATGCTCCTTGAAGTTGATCGACTCTATCACAAGAATCACGCGCGCGAACAGCCGCTTGTCCGTAACGAAGCTATAGGTGCAGGACAGATCGGCGGGCGGATCGCCCGGTCGCTTGTAAACCAAGGTATTCAATGGCGACCGTAGACGACCCGAGCGCGTCTTCCACGAGGCGAAGATTTCATCACACTCGGTACCGGGCGTGGGTTCGCCGAATCTCGTCGCGTTGAAGAAGTCATAGTGAGCCCAGTAATACAGCGAACTGCCGGAGTAACTGCCGGTCTTGCTTTCGAATCGCACGAACAACGCGTTTGACGTCGAGACAAAATCGTGCTTCTCCATCGGTTTGCTAAAAGTATCGCAGAAGGTTTTGATAATCCGGGCATCGTCCGGCCAGTCGGCGTCGTAAAGCGTCAGGCTTTCGCCGCAATCACCGTCGTAAGGCTGAATCGGCGACTCGATACGATTCACGCGAAAGCTGGGGAAATAAAGGCGCGCGATCTCGCCGGGTCGACCGCGTAGCAAGTAGGTGCAGCTGGTGTGCGGCGGGTACCAGTGCGCGACCGACAGGAAAATACCCTCGTTACCACTCACGAGAGACTCACTGTTCAGCAACCAGTCGCAGCTGCCGTTTTTCACGCCCGCAGTTTCTACGTGACCGGGCCAGTTGCCCACGTTGAAGTGGAAACCGGTGTTGAGCAACGGACCGGCCGGCGACGACACGAATTCTACATAGAGATCCTCGCTGGTACCAATGATGCTGTACGGGAATTTACCCATGCCGCAAAAGGTGCCAATCACCGGGCTGCTTTCATTTTTACCGTCGTACACGCGTATATAATCGTACGGGCAGTGCTCCGAGCCAGAACTGATCGGCCGCATCGGGCATGTCATGATGTTTTCACATCGCTGACCGTCGATATTGAACTCCTCGTTCTCGATGTAGAGTTTGATGAAGGGCAGTCGAGTGTTTAGACGATACTTGCAGTGCAACGCGCGCGGATAAATGCCGGGATAAGCCGGACTCTGCACGTAACATGTCTGCAGCCGGCAGTCCTTGAAGACGCGCTCGCAGTAGCTGCCTGGCACGACCTCGCCGCGACGATTCGGATAGAGCTCCGGGTGCTGGCCGTATCTGAGATACACCTCGAATTGCGGCTCGGCGCGCGAATCGAAACTGAAGTAAGTCTGATCGGTGAAGTTGTCCGCGTGGAAGATCACCCGCACGAAGCTGGTCTCACTGATAAAAGTCTGCGGCTGCTCGGACTCACCGCAGTAGACACCCGGGTCCTTGCGATTGCTCACCTCGGTCTTCGTGTTGCCATCTATGATCTGGAACAGCGACGGGGAACGCGCGTTGGGTATATATAACGTTCGGAACGATCGATGAACGTAAGGACGATGTCGCGTCGGAAATCGAGAGGCTTGATTCCTTTTAATGAGCAATATATCCGATCTCTTATGACAAAAATTTTGTCCTGTATAAAATATGATTATAAGCAAAATAATCGGTCATGTCCCTAAAAAATGTAATGGGTGAAATCTAATTATACTTGTTAGTTTATAATTAAAATTCTTTATATCACATTGGTCGGATTGAATACGCTGATCTTCTACTTCTACATTTGAATAAGTTTATGCACGTCTTAAAGCAAAAAGCTATCTTATAAAAATTAAATTCAGTAGAATTATAAAAAAAATTAATAGATATTTATATGAAAAACGCAATAATTTTACAAAAATATTACTGCAGATTATTAGAAATCCGTTTAAAAAGTACTCGTAATTTAATCTGCAAATTTACGCGAGGACGATATAAGAACTTATTATGTACGGAGAAAATAGTTATTCAAACGGAAAATAATAGTAAAGACACAATGGTTTCGTCACGCGTGCCACCTCTTGAATCTTACGATCTCGTGCGGAGGGAAATGTACCTGAAGTGACTACTATTGACTTTTCATCTTTTTTTACTGGTGTAAATTTGAAAGTCGCGAGGGAAAATACAGGGGAGAATAGAGAGCACGGTGAACAGAAAGGCAGAAAGAGAGAGATAGAGAAAGGAGAGGAGAAGAGAGAGGTTTACAGCGTCACAAAGATCAATACCTGATACCGAAGTAACTGAGAGAGGTGGCAGCAGGACGAGTGCGCCCGCGCGCACTCGCTCGCTCGCTCACTCGCTCGAAAGAGGAGCAAGCGACGGGAAATGGGGAGGAAGGTGAGGGAATCACTTATCGCGTTCGTCTCTTATACGAGAATGCTCTAATTCGCGACATTGATACGGCTACGCTCGCTCCTCGTATTCAGTCTCGTTCCGATGGACGAAACTAGATCTAGAAATGTGCCTGCGGCTGATAATTCGCGATTAACATGAGTCCGAAGCATTCTATTCTTACGACACGATCGTGGCACAAACATACCCGTGAATTATTATCTCGTCAATACACCGCGAACGTGCGCTTGATTCGTTACGGGGCGTTACGGAGCTTATCGGAATACGAGGGTCCTGAGCGATACGTTATTCGAAGATCCCCACTTTAAACCAGCTAAGTCGCAGATTTCAATCAAGTGTAAATTCGGTTTGACTAATTTAAATTAGCTGAAAATAATTGAGTAAATTATAGGAAAGACTCGATGATCTCTTAGCATGTCCTAGTATGAAAATAAAAGATTCGATATGATTATTAGATCCTATTTTTCCATTTCGCCGTAGGGAATTCCTCGAAAGTACGGAGTCTAGTTCGCCTAGACGTAAAATAGACTCTAAATGCATCGTTGCGCACGGGGTGAAGCGAATCCGATAATGATATATCAGGCGCAGTTTACATTTGGCGTAACTGCGTGTTTTTTTTTCCATAAAACGCGCAGCTTATACCAATATGAAATACGCGCATTCCCATTGTACAATGTGGGTTCGACTGTACTACACGTATATGCATTGGAATCGCGACGCGATTCAAAGAGCTACGCGAGTACCAGCGATATCCCTCCGTCGTTTCCCTCCCTCGTCTCGCTGAACCGGCGCGGCGTCGATATCCAACTCGAATCGAAAGAATAATCGAGGAACGCTGTTGTCGAATCGAAATTAAATTCCAGCGCCCGATTAATTGGCCGGATTCTCCCTATTCAATTAATAGGAGAGCGCGAAGCGTGGAGGATGGAGATTTGGCGAGACGGATTCGGCTACCATGCCGTATGCGCGATCCTGGAATTAGGACCACCGTTTCTCACCCTTCCCCTGCCTTCCGAACGATAAAGTTCATACGCACAACTACACAAAACGCTCACCTGCAGATAACCGCCGCTGCAGGTAGTGGCGTTCTCCAGCACTCCGACCTTAAACTTCTTGAAGCGCACCCGCAGAATCCAGTCCCGGGGTGTTCCGCGAAAGGCACGGAAACGGTACCAGCACGAGAGGGGCTTACCCCAATTCGCTGGGGTCACCGCCGGGCTCGACACATCTTCGTAAATGTCCACTGTCTTGTTGCAGTGACCTCGGTCCGCTGAAATAAAGGTGGTTAGGACGAGAAAGAAGAAAGGCACACTCATCCGGAATGCTCTCTTCTTCATCTCGTTCACATTCTTAATCTCAATTATCAATTATTAATTACGCTAATATGGAATTTTATACTAAAAATAAGTAATATTATGGTAACAAAACTAAATTTTATCAGTTATATTAATAATAACTTAATAATAATAATTTCAATAATTAGCGATAAGAAATTAGTTAATAATAAAAGACACGTAATGAGAGTATACAGGATATTTGAGAATATTCCCGGAATGAGAGAAACTCAACTCCAGAGGAGCATACTCCTTTAATTAATTTCACGCAGACTTCGCTTCAACGGAAAAGAGGAAAAGACGCGGTTAAATGACGACCACCCGCGACGTCTTCGCTAAGAAAATATCGATTTCGAAAAACCGAGGTCGGAGAACCTATTATTAAAACGTCGCGAAACTACGGGACGTCCCGTGCACGCAGCTGTATTAGGACAACGCGATATTTTTCGTTGACCCGGTTGGATAACGCGGAGGAAACGATGAAGGAACGGGACATGGGGAACTGATGGGATACGAAGAGAACGGGCGGAGGGTAAGGAACGTGCGACAACACGCGACACAAGTTTCGGCCGTGTAATCGATATTCGACCCGCTTGCCAGATACCTCTTATAAAGCGGCAGCCTCGTATTATGGCCGGGCCGCCTCTCGTTCGTAAATCACCTTTCCACAGGGTATCAAAACCTCTCTCGGTAGATTCGCGCTCGCTGGTATACCCAGCGCAAGTAAATCTCCCTAATGCGACGGTTAAGATTCGAGGCCGCGCGTCTCGGCTGTTACACCGATAATTCGGCCTGTTAGCCGCGTAACGAAGTTGCGATAATTGCTAGCGGCTCCCGGGATAAGTAGTTCCCGGGATGAGTTTTCATTAAACCGCGCATCATCGGATTCGGGTGCAGGTCTCAAAGTCTTTCGAGAGAAAAAGAGAGACAGAGGGAGAGGGATTGATACTGCCTTAAACGAGATTTATCCGCCGCGCAGTCGCAACGATATTTTATCCGCTAGATTAAATTAGAAATTGAAAGTTGCGGTTCGCGACGTTGCAGATATAAAAAGAACGTAAAGCCGGAATAATCGCAATACGACAATATAAACACAACACTGGAAAAGTCGTTCTTTTATCATTTTATTGCTGCTTTTTTTCTCTCGTCATCTCTGGCTCGAATGTCTCGAAAGCCGAGTCGCACGATTCTTATGAGAGCGCTAAAGCAGGTAATTACCGATTAGATAAATAGCGTAAGATTGCGGAAGAGCGCTGGAAACGATCGCGGTGTCGGATTGCATCCGCCGGCGAATAAATACAGAGATCGTTCTCGCGTGTCGCTGGCCTGGAAATTTGAACTCTCGCCGGAATTATACCTTGCCCCTCGGTTCCTCCCCCACAGCACCCTGGATTAGACTTACCTCTGCGAATGGCAGCGGGACTGGGGGGGGCCAGAAGCAGGAGGAATATGGCGAAAAATCCCCAGCCCCAGCTACCGAGGAGTACCAGCACAGGCATTCGAGGCATTCCCGGGACAAGTGCCGAGGCTGTCAAAATACCTCCGCTTTCTCTCCTCTTATCTCCATTTGCCTCTCCCGTCGAGAACTACCTGTGCACACGCGTGTATAAAAAAAATACGCGTAACAACACACATATGCGCGTGGTGCTCGTACATATAATATTGTTCACTGATCCGTTCTGCCTGTATGCGCATCGAAAAAAATATTGAACACCGTGCATCCGCAAAGTCCTTCGAAAAACAGTGCGTATAATTTTGTACGTAGAGAGTATTCTCCCGTTATGTCTTTTTACACGCCGCGAAATACATCGAAATGAAACGTATAATTTAATTCGAATTCTTTTTTCTCTATTCCAATAGTAATCAGTCTTCCATAAAAATTTGTGATTCAATCACCGACAAGAATAGGTAGTGGGAAAATCGTTGGCTCAAATCGAAGAAATTTCTAATTTTCTATTATGTGCGATTACACTATTCGTTATGTGAGAGCGCATATATCTCTATAACATGAGCTACTTGATAGGATGCAAGCGCAAGTACGGGTATCGCGTTATCATTTCCCCAAAGGACAATAAGGGACACCGCATGGTTTGCCAGATGGGTCGAGCATATGCCGGAAGGGCCTCGTTCGTACGTCCATGTCGAGAGAGCGGGGTGATAATTGGTTAAATCCGCGTTGACTCGGCTATCGACAACAGTACTTCACCTCCGGAATTTTCTCTCCCGTTCCCTCCCCTTTCATTCACTGCCGCTTCTCCCTCCCCTCTCCCCCTCGCCCCTCGCATTCTCGCGTCGCATTCATTGTCTCGTCTCTTGAGAATTCCATTTTTTTTCCCCTGGAGCACGCGACCTCCAATTCAGATTGTTCAACACGAGGATTCAAAAGTATTTAAAGATTCAGAGATTTCCGGAATTTCGCGGATCGCGGAAGTCCGGAGGTTCCAAAATCACGAACGGCCAAGGTCGCGAAAGTGATTTTTTTTTTTTGACAAACTCGCGCGTCTCTCTGTCGGGTTGTCCGTAGGATCGATGCACTCGCGGATTTTCAGATTCTGTCGGCGTGCGCGAATCGAATAAAAGCAGGCGCGTGCCGAAAATGTCGAGTGAACCGTGAGCTCGGAACGGTTAGCGCATCAGCAATTTAGATCGTTCGTTGATTACGTGCGTGCATAGGGGATGCGTTCGATGGCGCGCGTTTTGCAAAACAAGCAAAGAGGCATGAAGCATGAGGGAGGAAACTAGATCGACGATTTCGCGGAATCGTCGAGCGATTGTTTTTCCGGATTTACGGACATTTCACCAACGACCGTGATTATTTCGTATTACCGACTCAACGTCGAAAACGCACGTTCCAATATACGCGAGATGCATACGTAACGAGGACGCGATTTCCGCAACGATCATTTGATCGCGATTTGCACCGACAGTTCGGATCCAGCAAAGGTTCAGGAATTATTGCACATTTTTACATCATAATTCTAAGGGAGACCAAAGAAGAGAAAAATTTTACTGAATCAAGTTATATTAATTTTATCAAAGCACGCTCGAAATAAGCTTCGATAATCTCAGAAATAAAAAAAAAACTATGCAAGTCTTAGAGATAATCTTAGTTCTAAATCGCCAAAAATGAGAAATAATAGAAATTTTTTCGACTGGAGAATTTGTTGGGGTAATTTAACTATCTATATTAACGCCGAGTGGAGCATGCACGTCTGTCCACGCACCTTTACCATAATATTCTCATGCTCCTTGATTACTCCAGTTTCTCCGACGATCCTCGGAGATCTAGTTCTCGTTGGCGATTGAAATCACCGAGGTGATATCCTCCACGCGGGTCCCTTCGAATATGCCATCTTCTCTCTCATCAGGACAGACGTCTTTTCGAGCGAATCGTTTGCGGAATTTACATCATCGTCGTCCTTGGTGTATCGCTCACGACGTCGTCTGGCACAGTTTCCCCCACGATTCTTAATCGCGCACTGACGCACATAGAGCTTCAAAAGGCGCTTCGAAGATTGAATCTCGTACTGGACCACCACCAGCGGCGGTGGTGGTTTTCAGTCCCGAACGAGCACTGCCACCGCTGCTGGCTCTATGCTGCAGCGTGTAGATCATCAACGCGTCATGTCGCGGAATAGAGACACGAGAATAAAGAGCGGAGAAAGAGAAAGAGAAAAAGTGAGAAAGAGAGAGAAAGAGATGCAGAGATAAAAAGAGAAACTGCCAGGGGGAAGGAGAGATCGCGGGGGAGAAGAGGAGAGGGACGAGACGAGGGAACGAGAGGGCACAGTATTAGAAAGCACTCCGGCGTGCCAGTTGGAAAGCCAGGCTGCGAGTCGACTGCTGGCACGAAAACTCGGAACGTGCGGCTGGCTTAACCGCCGTCCGCCGATCGGAGCTGCGGCGGGTCGAAGCTTGCGCAAGCTCTCTGGCGTTCTCTTTCCCGCTGTCTTTCTCCCACGACGTCGGCATGGCGGAACGCTCTCCCGTTCTCTACCCTCCACCCGTTCTCTCCGATCCCTCTGTGTGCCCCGTTTCGCAGTTCCGCTCCCCTTCCGTTTACGATGACTTTCATTGAACTGCTCGCCGTTCCCTCCTCGGCCCGACCGCCTGGCCTGGCCTCCCCCTTCCACCCCTCGAGCCGCCCTGCGATGACCTATTGCACCTATTGCACCGTTGACCCTCCGTCCTGCCGCGCGTTTATCCCCGATCCTTCTTCTACCTCTCGAGGCTTCTGTTGTCGCCTCGTTTTTTCTCATCTTACTGCCTGTGGCAGTAGTCTTGCCCCCTCACGCGCGGGCCGGGCAATCGATAGGCATGTTAACGCGCGTAGCGTGCTTATCGTGCGAATTTAGCGCTTCCGCTCCGTGAACACGCACGCGAACACACGGGCCGCTATTAAAAATAAAAGCCGTCGCACCGCCGCCGCCGCCGCCACCGCCACGATGCTGCGACGCGTCGCAATTCACACCTGACGTATCGATTTACGACGAGCGCGCCGGTTATCCTGTGCGCGCGCGAGTTTTAGCCGAACGTTAGGGGGATGGGAGGCTATTTCTCCGTTTAGCTCGCGTTTACCCGCGAACCCGACCGTTCGAATCCGCATGCGACGTCGACGTCGAATTTTCACAGGACTGCAGCGTAAACGTATCCTTCCGCGCGCGCGACGTATCGTCAGCGCGAATCATATATTCTTTCTTCGGAATCCCGACATTGGGAAACTCCCGACGATGAAATTACCTCTCCCCAGGCTTCGGCCTTTCCTCTGTTATACTCGTTCCGACAAGCTGGTTCTCGAAAGGGAGAATGCGGCGTGCGCCGGCAAATCCTACATTAATCAGCGTCGAAATAAACTTAACCGAGATATAGCACGAGGTAGCTGCCATAACTTAAACCGTATTTATGGTCCACTGTTGTGGTCCGGGAGGAACACGGATGCAACCCCGAGGCCGCGCTAACGTGCTTCACGCACCGTAATTCGGCCGATACTGCTAAGTCTAGCGGCGAGCGGGATTATCGAGCCGCGTTATATTATACTCGGGGAACGTAATAAGCCGCGGGTATAAGGGAAGGTAATTAAGGTCGCATCCGGGCATAACACACGAAAAACTGATAATGGAGCGCCTCCGGTCTCGCGGATGCCGGTAGAGCTAAAAGGGAACAATAAGCCCCACGATAATCTGTCCGAAAACCGGAGAGTGGCTCCTCCTCTTCTTCCCGCGCCCGTACATGCAGAGACGCCCGTAGATGGTTATGGTCTAATAAAGTCTGTTAATTGATACCTTCGGATACGAAATTACGGCAATAATTTTCCGATGATAAAAGAGTAATCATTGTCTCTTCGTGGTTTCCTGATGACTATTAAATGAACGCTCGTCATTGTAATATTATAATTTTATGGCGATTATTAATTCGATTATATATTGGAAATTTATTACAACGCACCATTTACGCGGTGGCCTCACTTTACCCACTTCTATGAATATTTCCATCATTAATTTGTGAAATAAAATCCGTGGATTTACTATATACCGATCGTTAAATTTATACTTTATGAGTTCGTGTTACGTTGCACTCGATGGGGATCAGAGCGTTTAGGATAAATTTTCTTTAAAAATTAATATCCAGTGACATTTCGCGCCTAAAAGCATTTACACGACACGTCACTCAAAGGTTTTTCGAGATCTCGCCGTTATAGATCTGTCTGTTACAATAACGTAACGGATAATGGTTCGACCCAATCCACCAGTAGCCCGAATTGATGGCGGGGAATATTACCATTGGGGAAGGATGGGTTTGCTCACGCGAGTTGCAGAGCGGATGGATTTTTCACAACGCTATTTCGTTTATTTAAAATATATAAAAATATTTCCGGTGTAGCTTATAATCGGATACTTTGCATGAGAAAAAATAACAAACACAGGACGGAATTGTTGAAAAAATGAAGTATCTCGAGAATCATTTTGTTTTTCATGTCGCCGTAGAAAGCGTTTCCGTAGATCGAAACTATCTAATAACGATATTCTGGCTGTCGTTTTCCGTTGATACTTTTATCGAAATGTCCGACTTTTCCGACATAGTCGTGGAATAATTACGGGGCAATTTGTTGCGGCGGGCAAACAGAGACGCCTCGTCGTTGTGCCTGCCGCAAACCGGCTGTATAATTAAAGCCCGATGCCTCGGCGTCGTCTCGTCCGACAACACGAGCGGGGCAAGGCGGGCGTCATTTACGGGCTGATTAATTGCGTACCAACCCGCCGCGATCGCATCCAGCCGCAATCAGCGGGAACCGTCTACGAGAAGAAAGCGAGTTAAGCTAAGACGGCGTGAAACGGAATAATCCCAGATCCAGGAAGCCCCGATAACCCGCGGCGGTTCTCCACCAGGTCCGCTAAACTAAAGAAATGAAGAATCAAAAATAAGGAATCTCGCGTGAAATCAAATTCGATTTTTCACCACGGAAGTCTATCAAATTTCGCGACGAAGCTTTTCTCCCTCCTCTCTCTCTCTCTCTCTCTCTCTCTCTCTCTCTCTCTCTCTCTCGCGGAAATTTTTCTCGTGAAATTTATCTAAAGCTGACGAATAATTATGAATGCAGCGAACGCATCAATAAATGCCCGGTTAAGGGGACTATCACCGGATAATTCAACATTTTGCTGGACAGAAACATAATTTTTGTCTTCCATCTCTTTCATTATTCCCTTCTATTTTGCGTTTATTAAACTTAACGAGCTTATTGGTATATAAAGTCTGATAATGAATCTGTCCGAGATATGCTTCAGAGTAAGATCAATAATTTGCGAACACCGAACGACGTAAACACAGTTCCCTTTGTTACTAATATATATCGGCCTATATAAGATACATATATAAATCTCTCTCTCTCTCTCTCGTTTTTCTCTCTTTTTCATTATAAAATCTTTAATCGATACAAAATCGATTTTCCTTGAATGTCGAAAGTTAACCACTGATGGCGATGAACTTATAAGTCTCGATGGGAAAAATTTTTACTTCAATTGAATCATAAAGTTTGAGATTTAATTATACGGGAACGCGATTACCTCTCATCAATATTTTTGTCGAGAAAAAAAATCTACTCCAAGTTGACTAAAGCAACTATGGTTAACAGGACGTCGGGTTTACACGGAGGGGCGGAGGGGAGGGGGATATAAAAAGAATGTTTTTATTAGAACAGTCTAGCCTCAAGCGTCTATTAAAAACCAACGATCGGGTCGATCCCGTTCGACCTCGCCAACGACGCTAAGCAGTAATAACAGCAGCAACAGCAGCAGCGGCAGCAGCAGCATCTCGCGTGGCGGGAGATGCTGTGTCCGAGATATTAATTAGCACGGAGATACGGGGTGTGTGCACACGGGCACACGATACATATCTACCGAGGGCTGGCGCGTCTCTGTCTGGCTATACCTGAAAAGCCATACCTAAACCTACCCGCCGACGACGCCGAGAAGGTCTCAGCAACGCGATATATTGATTACGTCGTAGGGAGAGAGAGACAGAGAGAGAATATGTCGGAGTAAACCAGAGTAACGCGGGGCGCGCCAAGCACGTCGAGATAGAACAGCAGAATTCGTCGAGGTGCGCCGGGATGTACGCCGAAATATGCGAATATATCACCCACTCTCTCTCCCTCCCCCATATCGATCGCGCATAATCGTGGAGTTCGGCCGGAACAGCGTGGTCGGGGGACGCTTCTTCGCGAAAATCCGAGAGAATTGGATTCGGATTAATCTGCAAATATGTGCGCGGCGCGATCCCGTATACACGGCGGTATATCTTTGGCGAGCAAATGTCCAATTCGATCGAGGCACTTGAGCGCTAAATGCGCGGAGTACGATAATAATGTCGAGGAACGCTGATCGATTTAGACCGGTAGTCTCCAGAGAGTCGGTCTAATCAGTTCTTTAAAAAGATCGTCGCTGCCCCGCTAAACGGATTAGAATTCAACGCTCGATTCGTCGATCGTGATGGGATGCGCAGATCTGTGCGCATCCACTTTACGTAGTGGACGAGGCACTTTCTGTGCTCCATCATGACCACAGTTTCGGCCGACACAGCGCGAACACGGACGGGCCTGTTTGCGGCGGGCAGGCTTGTGTTCCCTGGTTAGGTTCGATAATCAGGATGCGGGTAATCAGCCGTCTGCGCGAGAAGTGCGCGAATTGATCTTCGTTCTTCCCCCGGTCGACGCGCCGATCTGTAACATCCTTTCCTCAACACCCGACAGAAAATATAATAACAGCTTCAATTAATCTCGTAATTGCAATAACCTATATTATACATATATACATATCGATATTATTTCCTTTTTTTTCTTTTCTTTTACCTTTCCCCTTCCAAGATAGACAAATACATGATTAAATTTGTACAATCTTTCCTCTCGATAGCGCTTGCGTCTCCAGAAAACCCATCAAGAGCGCGCGTCGTCCTTTCACAGGCCAATGAAAATTACGCTTCGTTGATCCGTGCGACAATGCGACTGAGCTTGGCCGCGTGTAATCTCATGAAAACTGGTATCGGTCTCGGTGTGTTTCTTCCGAGGCGTATAATTGCATTAAGCATCTATCTGATCGTCGCGCGGCGGCGTGTGTCCCATCTGGAGAGCGGCAGGATTTATGCGCGACAAACCAGCCCCCGGCTCGCTTAGTCTGGTTGCGCCGGAAGAAGGACGACGGGGTGCGGTAGCGTTTCGGCACGAAAGACGGTGGCGAGGCGCGCGCGTGAGACCCCGCGGGCTGCATTGGATATAATAAATTTCCACTATCGCGAGTTTGCCAACTAATCGGCCGCCTTTACCATTTAATTAAGGCTACCCGCCCGGCTCATCTATTGTCCGTGTCGCGTCAGCTCGGCGTGGCGCGCGCGCTTAATTACGCCCGTTGAAAATCAAGAGAAATTTCTTGCGCCCGAATTCACCAGGGGCCGTGGATGAGATACGGAAGAAACACAAGAAAAATTGTTTGAAACCTGTCCCGGAATGTGTTTTTTCGTTAAGTCTCGTTACCATTAGTTCTAAATTGTCGAAACTTTTTAATAAGAATGCTCAAACGCGATGTATAATTCGAATGTGATTTAAGAACAAAATGTTAGAAAAAGAAAAAAATTTGTATTTCTGCTTAGAATATATATATTATATATTTAGCATATAAACGTAAAATCAAACGTGACTTTTCAGTCAGCGTTAAATAGACCATCGCCATATTTCCAAAGAGCATTATAAATGAACTTTTCGCAGATTTTTATAAATTTTGGTAGATTTCTAGTGAGAGTGTTGTCGCAAAAATCAATCACGCCTTTAATATTAAAGGATGCAGCAATTTATATAAATATAATAATTTAATATAATATAATAATACAAAATAATTGATATATAGTAAAAGACTAATACATATCGCGCATCTAAAAAATGCAGCAATTTATATAAATATAATAATAAATACAATAAGCAAAATAATTTACATATAGTAAAAGTCTAATACCATTACATATTATTCGGCCTAAAGACTATCTTATTATCTTATTAGATTTAATTTTTTTATTTAAATTATCTATAATTTATTAATAATATTAATTATAATATTATTAATATTATATACAATTATGATATTAATATTCATTATTATTAATTATTAATATTAAATAAGTAATATGAATGAATATTAAAGTACTTAATAAGTAAACATCAAATTTCAATCAATTTTTAGTATAATATTAACTATGTATTAACAGATTATTAATTGATAATAGTTAAAATTAATAGTAACTATTATTAATTTTTAATATTTAATATTAACATTTTTGACAAGAATCTTTATAATTAATGTATAGAATATTGTACAGAGTATATTAAGAGAAAAAACGTTATTCTTTCCACGGCTTGCATTTTTTTGTTATAGTAAAATTATTTTTATACATTGTTCATATTTATTTTGCTCATATGATTCATTGATTTGCTAATCAATTTCAACTCCGCCATAATTTAAACTGGTTATCTTGACGGAAAAATTATGCGACTTGAGTGCGTTTAAAAGCTGATCAATGAGTTCGTGCTGTCTGGTAACAATAAAATGAACGCATATCCGCCTTCACAGTTACCTGTAAGCTTCCTCGCAAGTGAAAATGTCGCGCAATTGCGCAAATAATTTCTAGGTTTGGGGTTGACATGGATAATGCATGTAGTAATCCATGATTCATGTGAATGAGAGTTTGCAATATGTATACGTTAAGGACCAAAGTAGGAGAGGAGTAAATATTTATCACAGTGTTTCGTGGTTTACATAAATGAAAATCTTAATGACGTTGACTGCGGCAAATGTAATTCGTCATCAATTCATTATCGATCATCCACGCACAATCTGAGATTCTACAATTGGTTTCTTAACTTTTCCCATATCCTTATTGATGTAAGTGCAACTGCGGGTATTTTTTTTACTTTTTTCTATGCATGAACCTAGATTACATATTTCCAATTATTATACTTTATCACTATGTTTATGTTAATGCTTTAATGAGAAGACTAGAACATATTTATAATTTCATAATTTGACATATATTACTTACAAGTAAAAATAAGAGCTTCTTCTTAAAATAAATCCACGACGGCGATAAAAATTTAGCAACAACTAGTCAAATTGATCTGTCTTTAACATGTAACGTTGCTGAAAATATTGTTCAGAGTAATAGTTATAAAAGATCATGTGTGCAGAATATCGACTTCGTTTTCGTAGCGTCTTTGTCAGACTGTTACAATGACACACGCAGAATATAGGAGTATGAAATTATAGGAATACAAGAAACGTAGACATAAACGTAAACACAATTTCTGATGTTGTCTGTCTACCAAGAAGCGAAAGTTAAATTAAATGTGTGCGTGTATATGGGTATTTATTTTCTTACAATAAAACTATAACGGCGATTAAAATTTAGCAATTAGAAATTTAGTAACCGTTAGATTGATCTGTCATCTTTAATACGCAATGTTGCAAACAATATTTTCAGAGTGACGATTAAAGGAATGCGCGCGGCAGAAAGTATTTCTTTTTCATTTAACATTTCATTTAACACTAATACAATTTAATAGACTACTGCACTAATATGCAGAAAATAAATAAATATAAACATAAGTACGATTTCTAATATTGTTAGATTTATCTGCCATGAAACGATGGTAAAATTAAATAATATATATATAATACAAATATTATATATAATAAATATTTAAATATTATATATAATACAGACACGCGCACACGCGCGGTGCATGTATGTACAATAGCTAAACCAAAAAAAGTAAAAATTATATAAATATAATTTATAAACGCAATACATAATAAGTAATTTATAATATAATATTAGATACTGTTACATATTAAATAATTATTTTATAAAATTTTATTATAAAAACTTAGCAAATGTGTGCTTCTATTATATGTATAGAGAATATATCATATAGTATATACAGTTCAAATAAAATGGACTTCTGCCCGAAGCATAGCTGCGATATCAATCTTATTTAAATTTCATACGTGAATATAGATATCTCCAAAAATTTTTGCAGACATTTAAGAATTATAAACATTCAATTTACGTGATGTCGATGTATTATTTCTAAACAAAAATTTCTCTCGATTTTATTCAACATAGTGAAAATGTATAAAACATAAATAATTAAAGTACCGAAAAGTATTTCAAAATCTCTCGCAGTAGAAATATCGATATCTTGCGACATCGATAGCGAGCACATGCGTGCGATGATTGCGAAGTCGACAATGTCAGACGGGATTGTGGCATTTAAAAATGGCGTAGTAGGTTCGAGTGGGTGAAGGAGGTTAGGAAATAGAACAAAATAGAAGGTGGAAACGGGGTGTCCTTTTGTATTTAAATTATGTCCGTACTCACCGCGAGGATGAGGCGATTGTTTAAGACTACCGGGTTCATGTTGCGGACTTACGCGGAATTCTGCCGCGCAATGTGTCTGAGGGGCATGAAGAGCGCCGCAAAACAAAGCTATACGAAAACCGTATTACTACCACAAACCAATTTCCCGGCGCGAATCGGTGGCAGGAAACGGGTGGAGATGGATAGTTATTTAATAGAGGTGGATTTTTTTTCTGTCTATCCCTTTTTTCACTTTTAGTCTAAATCAGCATCTTGTCTGCGTTCTGACAAGATTGCTGAATGTTTGTATGGTTAGACGCATACTGATTGTTATGATTTACCTGTACGAAACACTATATAATCTACATTTTATGATGTTTGTATTTTGCGATAGAAATGTGGCTTCTTGGAATTATACAACTGGCAAAGGCAGAATCTTAAGGGACCAGACTTTATCTTGCACGATGGGCCACCGTATGCAAACGGAGAGCTGCACATGGGTCATGCTATTAACAAGGTTTTTTGTTAATAAAGAATTTTAAATTTTACATTTTTTTTACTACACTTATATTATTTACAAGAATTTATAAGAATTATTTTTATTACTTAGGTCCTGAAGGATATTACATTAAGAAGCAAAATTATAACAGGCAGGAGGGTGCATTACGTCCCAGGTTGGGATTGTCATGGCTTACCAATTGAACAGAAAGTGCTTAGTGATATAAAAGATGTGAAAGACAGTCCCTTAGAGATTCGCCGTAAAGGTATGTCGAAATGAACGTTGCAAGACACAGTATTTTCGGTTCTCCTAAAATTCACGATATTGCAGCTGGAAGATACGCAAGCGACGCTATAGCAAAGCAACGACAAGTCTTTACATCGTGGGGCATTACAGCTGACTGGAGCGAATCGGGATGTTATTTCACGAATCATGTCTCATACGTGAAGAATCAGATGCAACAGTTTGTAAATCTATATGACAAAGGGCTCGTGTTTAGAGCTTTTAAACCAGTGCACTGGTCCCCGTCCTCCAGGTATAAACTACAAATATCTGTAGATCAGTTCTCGAGAGATTCCTTAAAACTTTTTATTTCTGACGAATTATAGAATAATGAATGATGAATTATTATAGAACGGCATTAGCAGAGTCGGAACTGGAATACAACGAGTCTCACGAGAGCAAAAGTGTTATTGTTCGCATGCGACTTGATACGCATACATTAACCTCGAGATTAAAGAATTTGGAGAATAGACCACTCTATGCCCTTATCTGGACCACTACACCATGGTCACTGATAGCTAATCAAGCTATAGCTTTCGCCAGTAACATTGCATACTGCATTGTGGAAGACAATTCGAAAACTTTATACATTCTTGCACAAGAGCGCTTGGCAGATATTGAGCAAAAGCTTGGTCCGTTAAAATTGATTACGACTATTATGGGTAATAATTAGTTACATTTAAAGACTTTATACTCACAAGTGTATATACAGCGACTGAGTAACAAACGAAAGATGATTTGTTAACAGGACGGGAATTGAGCGAAGCCAAATATCTTCATCCTATTACCAAACGACATTTGCCATTCTTGTCCGGGCATCACGTTACAACCAATGTTGGTACTGGGCTGGTTCACACAGCTCCCGCGCACGGTAACGAGGACTTTCTCGTCGCTGTTGAGAATAATATACCAGTGGTGAGCTACTCTTTTGTCGGTGACAATGTAATTTATCATTCTAATCGCCGTCGCATTGCACGATTTTAACGCGTCACTACGTTACAGTTATCTTTGATAGACGACGATGGATGTTTCACCAAAGAAGCGGGCGACGAATTCTCCGGCTTAAACGTCCTGACGAACGATTGCGCTAACAAGATCTTGCAACGTATCGGTGAAGACGTGCTGCACGCTGGCACAATTACGCACAGCTACCCGTACGATTGGCGAACCAAGAAGCCTGTGATCATCCGCGCGAGTCACCAATGGTTCATAGACATAATGTCTATTAAGGAGAGGGCGATTGTAAGTTAGCCGGATTCTTTCTAAAAGAGGCATGTTACTACACATTCATCACTCGTGTGCTTATGTCTTTTTTACGCAAGGACAGCATCGCGAATATAAGGATATATCCGGAGCAAAATCGGACGTCGTATTTGAACGCGTTGATCGCTCAAGTTAAGCAACGACCGTATTGGTGTATCTCGCGACAACGAGCCTGGGGAACGCCGATACCGGTGTTGCACAATAAACGAACCGGCGATACGTATACGAGCAGGTGATTAGTAATTTGTTGATTGGGGCAATACAGTTAACAAGTTAAATGATACGGGGGAATAAGATTACGTGTACTCTCGTATTGTAGAAAATGGGTCGAGAGATTGTGCAAACTGATGGAGCGACACGGTACCGACTATTGGTGGGAGCTGTCTACCGAGAAATTAATTGGTCGTGAACTTCGGCAGGAATTAAACGACAATATAGATGATTTGGAGAGAGGAACCGTATGTACAAAACTAGTAATCTCTTTTAATAGAATCTCGAATGTCAGTAATGCATGACTGCAAAGTGTACGTTTCTTGAAGGATATCATGGATATCTGGTTGGATAGCGGTCTCTCGTGGTCGGCCGTTTTGCCGGAACATAAAGCAGATTTGTATTTAGAGGGAATGGATCAATTTCGCGGTTGGTTTCAGTCATCATTACTAACATCTATTGCTCTTCAAGAACGTCCTCCCTACAGGTAGTTCATGAAACGTGAAATTAAAATACCGGCTCTCATACACATGTTTATATATTTGTATTGTTCTTTTCACAAGCGCGCTATTCGTGCATGGATTCGCTGTAGACGATAAAGCCTCGAAAATGTCGAAATCAATTGGAAATGTCCTAAATCCCGAGATAATTACTAAAGGTGGAGAAAATTTGAGTAAAAATCCAGCATATGGCGTTGATACTCTAAGGTCAGTTAATTAAAAATATACATTCGCGATCTCTGGAAATAATATATATCCAAAGTTAATAAAAGGAAATTGATATCGATAGATGGTGGGTAGCTAGTCATGGATGTCAACACAGTCAGGTTCCGGTCACAACCGCATTGTTGAGCGAGAGTCACGAAACTGTACAAAAATTGCGCTTAGTCTTACGATTCCTCTTGGGTGTTTTACATTCGTATAGCGAGGGAAACATAGTCGAACCGGAATATCTCTATCTTGACAAATACATGCTGCATGCTTTGCATCAATATAATAAAGAGGTAAGGCAGGCGTAAGGATAATTGAACAATAAAAAGTATCTACGTTCATCCGCGACATCATATATCGATCCTCTGTGTTTTACAGATTCAGGGCTTGTACGACAATTATTTGTATCATCACGCGTGTAAATTGATAACGAATTTCCTGACGAACACCGTGTCCCCGGTATATTGTCACTTGATCAAGGATAGACTTTACTGCGACGAAGCAGCGTCCCCGACGCGTCTAGCCGCGGTAGAAGTAACGCGTGGGACCCTGACCGTACTCGCGAGATCTATCGCGCCGATCGTTCCGCATTTAGCGGAAGAAGTGTGGCTGTACCATCCTGAAAATTTGGGTAAGCAATTGAACACAGAAAAAGCGTTTTCCACATTATATTACCGTCCGCGTTATTATTTACAGCATCAGTGCCATTGTATCATTCTGAATATAAAGTGTCAGAAACTTGGCATCAACCGGAAATCGCTAGGCATGTACAGACAGCTCTGAACTTGAGAAGTAAGGTGAACACATTATCTGATCGTTACACGTGGGAATTGTCGGGCATCTTAAAGGCTTCAAAGGATGATTATGAATCACTTTCGGTAAGGAATTTTTCTATAAATCGTAAATTATATCAATCTCTGTGACTCGCGATAATAATCAAACGTGATTATTGTAAGTCGTGTCTGCTTACTTTCGCAGATGCTTCAAAAAGATCGGGAATCCTCCACGTCGGAGCTATGCGACATTTTGCAACTCTCGTCAATTATATTGATAGAATCACCCACGGTAACCGAAACGCAGGTTGAGTTACGAAATATTGAAAAAATGATCTGCCAAAGATGCAGGCGACATCCCGAATTAGATAAAAACGGCCTTTGCGGTCGTTGCGCTAAGGTACTCGACGTGGCGAATGTATCGTCGATATCCGTGTGAGCGAGTTAGTGGTTGGCAATTTCTTAACTATCGCGTTCATTTTGCTAAATAAATAAATATAAAAAAAGCATCTCTTTTTTTTTTTCAAAAATTAAATTACTTTTAATGGATATCTACGAGAGAGAGATTACTCACATTCTTTTACATTCAACAATACATCGTAAAAGAAGACATGACGGAATTTAATCACAGTGCTATTGTTGCTTTGTCGTTAAGTCGTACGTGTGATTTATGTTCAAAGCATTGAGGAAATGTGTTAAATGCGGCTGATACCCGCTGGTGGCCAATTTGTGCGCGACATGTGCCATATACGTCCGCCACTCGCAGAACGACTGGTACATCTGTTCCAAGCTCTTGAAATTCGGATGACTGTATCGATCCGCGCTGCCGACGGTCCAAGGTTGCGATCTCAAGCGATTGTGAAACTTCAGTATGATTTTAAAGATATTGATCAAGCAGACGCGCATCTTTTCTCCGCGCGTATTGAGCATGCATCTGAAATTGGGACAGCGCTGTGAGTTACGCGTATTCGATCTCGTGGAAAATCGATCAGGTGCCAAAGACTAACCTTGAAAGTATTCTTTTAATATAACTCATGTGCGAGAGATAAATCTGATCTATCGTCCGGGAATTCTGTAGGTCCTTTTCGAATTCGTTCCAACTCGCGTGCAGTACGCTACACGTCAAATAATTGTGAAGAGCATTCGTGAATTGTGTCATGGAGTGCCTGTACAACTGCAACTGTATCCGCCAAACGAACAAAATCAATAAGGATTCCTCGAGTCTTTCTCATATCGTATCTCATATCGCATCTGCGATCGACACAGGTTTACCTTGTGATACTGCTCCGAATTAACTGCATTCCGCTCCAACTTCATTATATTAAAGTCTTCCTGCAGTACCCACGACATTCTGCCAATCATTATTAAAAACTTGAACACTTTGCTGTATTGTAGCATCATCGTGTCATCCAAGATGATATTCAACGGCCACGATATCTTATAGTTGAGGCAAAGGCATTCTAAGACATTCGGATCTGAAATCTGCAAGAAGCACATTATTATCAGTATCGGAATAAAATATCAATAAACGATAATTGAAAACGGGTGATCGCACTTACGTATAACTGGCATGGTTTGTCGACGGCAGAAAGACTCAAGAGTTCCGAATTGGCGTAATTATTGCTGAACGAGTTCATCAACGCTTTCTCCAAGAGGTTCGTGAGAGTGGCGGAATTAAAGAGTTCGATTGGCGCGGATATCGCGTAGAGCCGTGAATAAAGCGAGTCCGTCAGACTCTTCGCGAATTCGCCGTTCAACAAGAAGAAGTAACTACGTAGGCTGTGCAAGTGCGAAAGCATGTTGTGCTCGTTCACCAGATATTTAATGATCGCGTTGTTAACCAGTCGGCTCTGTATCTGTAACGGAATGATGACGGATTTCTCCAAGTACACTTGAAGCGACGTATGATCGATCATCTCGACGTCAGCTACGGTGAGAGGCGAGGGTGCGGTCGGCGATTTCACGTGGGAATTAACGCCGATAAAATTCGGCAGCTTGAAATTACTGCTCATCGGCGACTCGAATGTTTCTTCGGTGATCGATTTCATGTCGTCGGACAGGGACGAGACTTCCTGACCGGCGTTCGAAGCGAATATATCGTCGCTGTTCGGTACCTGCGACAAAGGAGTGTGCATCGATGCCGTGGTGAAATTGTCAGTCGTGCACGACATCGGCGTATCTATATTCTGCTGCTGCTGCGTATTATTCGTTATCGGCTCGTGCGCTTCACTATTTGCGTTGTTAATCTTATTTGAATACTCCTCGTCACTCGTAGGCCCAAGCACATTCGTCGTTTCGTCCGGCAATTTGATACTGGTTGTGGAAAGAACATTATTGTTCGCGTTTTCCTTCGTATTACTCGAACTTGATTCACTAGTGGTATCAGTTGATATCTGGTTATTGCCGTTTGTATTTGCGCGAACGATAATTCCTTGATTGTCCGTGAGTATCGCGCTGAGCTCATTGTTATTCGGCGTCATACCGTATTCTTGCATCAGGACTTTAAGTTTGTTGCTTTGTGCAGTGGTGATATTGTCTATCCTCTTGATAGCCAAGGACTTAGGCCTGTTAATAGCACCAATAATTCTCTCAGTCACCTCATCGGTCTCCAAGATATTGTTTAAACGAGTATCGAGCACACTCGTTTTTTTATCGTCGCCATTCATTATAGTGCGGATGCTTTTCATTGCTTCGTCACGCAGGAAATCCTGCAGGTTGCTTCTTTCGTTATTCTTTTTATAGATCTTATAATTTAACGGTAGAGATTCTTGCGACAGGTTCTGCGTATCCGCTGCCGCTGTCGTGCGGGAATCCTTACTTGTAATTTCTTTGTCCGACGCAATATCTTTATCGGGCTCACAATTTTCGACAGGCGGGACATCCGAGCATTCGGCGATCGAAAGATCTTTAGGGGCGTTCTGCTCGGAAACGTCTGTCGCAGCTGCGTCCGACAATTCGTTTTCCGCAAAATTGCTATTTTCATCTTGATTAGACACAGCTTCTATTTCGGGCGTAATACCTTTATTGTATTCGTCAACGTCGATTATATTTTCATCGGAACTTAATGTAGTGGCATTGTTCGACATTTCTCTATCGAGTCTCTTTACAGATTTCAGCAATTCTACTCGTTTTTCGAAATGACTCATTCTCGCCTTTCGCCAAGTGGATCGCGCACGATTGCTCTCTATATCGGCGGTTAATTTGTCATAATAACTTATAAGATTTTCCCTGAAACACAAGAAAAAACAATTAACGCCATAAATATTTAAAATTGAGTGACGATTATTCTCCGTTGAGCTTCATTTAAAATATTAAATCTCACCGCTCGGCTTGTTGCTGCTCCCGTATTTCTTCCTGCTCTCGATTAATCTTTTCGAGCAACAATTTGTCAGCTAGCATTTCATTCTCCTTTTCCCTTTCCTTAATCAAGGCGCTCGCTTCCGCCTGTTGCTTCAATTCTTGCAGTAATTCCCGTTTACTCTGCGCGGCCTTCATGATAAGCTCTTTGCGTTGCTCTAAAGGAAATGTTATGGAGGTAAATATATAAATCTTTAATTCAGAACGTGATAAAAATTAAAGAATGTAAGAATATTACTATCCAGCCTCGACAACGTTTCCTGCTGCGCGCGTATCACGAGCTCGGCCATTTTCCTCTCGGCTTTTTTTTCATCCTGAATTGCGGATAAAAGAGATACGATTGGTCCCAGCGCTGTCTCGCCTTTACGTTCGTATTCTTGACACCTTAACAACTGCTCTCGCAGCATGGACACGCTCAGGCAGACCCTCACCTCCGGCTGAGCGTCGAGAGACACGTTGCACACGGGATTCTAAAAACATCAGATCTTTTTATTGGTTCACGATTAAATTGATAAAAACTAACAAGCTTCGGTAATGAAAAGTAATAACCTTTGGACTGCAAATTTTTAAGAGTCGCAGTGTCTTTCCGCATTGCAGTATCGACTCCGATAATTCAGATAAGAAACCAGGTACCGATTCGGTATCGATCGCAAAACTTTCCGTCCAAAACTTGCGTCCTCTTTTTCGCAGGTAGTGAGACCGCGCTTGAATCATAAATTCTCCGTAAACGTCATTACACGTCCCCTCGAACAACCAATTTTGCAACAATCTACAAAAATAATTAGTCCAAGTTATTAAATATTTCGATTTAACGTTCTTTTTCTACAAAAAAAACGTGACGTTTTCTCACCGAAAGTAGACTTCGCAGCACGACTTTAATATGGAATAAAGCACCAAAGCGACCTTCGGATTGGTGACCTTGGTCACTTCTTTGTAAATGTGTGTCAAAATCCCGTTGCCACCGCCCAAGGTGCATTGATTTGTGCTACAACCGCACAGTCTCGCGACTTCCACGATTAAATGCGCCAGAGGACGAACCTGGTTGAATAAGCTCAACAATCCGTGAAACTCACGTTTGTTAAGAATCCTTTGCAACGCCGAACGATAGTAAAGGAGTAGCTCTTTGATATTGGCGCACATTGCCTACAATTGCATCGTAAAGTTTAAAAAAAAAAAAGTGAATAGCGTGTGTATCGTAAAAATTCACACAAGAATTATACGTACCTTGAATATGAGACCGTTCTGCTGCAATTTACCCGTTTGCGGATCGGGCACGACAAGGTGCGACAAGGACCTGAAACTGTTGCCCCAACAAATCGCTTCTTTGCAACCAATTCTCAGCGACTCGGAGCTTATGCCGTGCACAGTAATGTTCTCTTCCAATGTAAATCCCGTCTGAAATGAAGACCGTCATGGCGCATAGAGTATAAAGCTCGCGACCGCTGGCGTAATTCATTAAATTCCACGTACCACGGTGTCGTATCTAAAGGAGTCTGAATCTATGCCGAATAACAACAATTTGACGTCCGACAAGAATTTCTCGGACGAAACCTCCCGCATCAGGGATATGGAATGCATTGCCTGTAACACGAAGAGAACAATTTTTGCATGATATATTTGCGCAAGTATTATCATCTTTACCTTCTTTGGCAGCAGTGATAAAATACTTGTTTGTCTTATCCTCGCTAAGTGCAGAGCGGTCTCCGGCAGATCGGTGACAAATAGCAACTGTTTGGAAAACTCCGGCGCTCCGAGAGATTCCCATGTTCGTAATTTGGAGACACGGTCGTCGGAAAGTAACATCTCTTTCCATATTAAATCAGCGTCACTTCTGACGCTTTTTGATTCATTTGTAAAACTACGATCGGAACTGTCCGACGGCATAACGCAAAAACGATTCTCATTTTGATTATCTACAGATTTTATCCATTCGCAGGGTAAAGTCATATTTGACATAAATCTTTGTGTAGACAAATATATCTTATTTGTTTGTTCAATCTGACAGAAAAAGACACATTTCTCATATTATAAATAAAAAAAATGTATGTATCAAAAAATGCAAAATATCTATATCTTACCATAACATGAGTTAAAAAGGGAGTAACCATGTTACATTGTTTCACTGTACTCTCAGTACAACTTGATATGCAGGGAGACATTTCAATGGCATTATTATACCTAAAATAATTTAAAAAATCCTTAACAAATATGTACACAAAAAATAAAGTCTAATATTGCGATCATACCTAACAGTTTGGATTCCTAGGATGGTTTTTGATACACATTGATCTTCAAAGGATACTCTGCTAACAAAATTGGCTGACGTATTTTGCCCGGTACAAGTTCTGCGTATGCCCAGCATTGCCTCAAATCTTTCCGGCAAGATAAAGGATTCCATAGGATATGTTTGAAACATTGGTACACCATTTGTAGACGCAACATCCTCAGGCAAGAAGGGATTGTTTTTACCATAGTGAAATACATTCTAAGCAAAATTCGATTTATATTAGCATCAATGTAAATTTAAAAAATTCCAATTATGTGACCACATAAACGAGATAAATACCAATGCAGTCCCTGTGTCAGTCTGAAAGCTCTTGAGCTCTGTCAGCAGTTGTAAGGTGGAAATCACAGTGTCTGTGTTGTCCTCCTGAATGTATAGCTCGCTTATCAAATTTTCTAATTCTTTTGCTTCCGACACGCGTCTCAGGGACAGCCTCAGCACAAAAGCATACTTCAGTATCTCTATTAGGGGATCAATCTTCGAATCTGCTGCATTTTCTGTAATTGTGATCAACAAAGCACAATTATTTGAGAAAAATGTCTGTATATTTTTTTCTTTCATTTAAAATTTTGGCCTTCGATTTAAGGCCTACAAGTGTTGTACCTTGATTGTACGTCTGGTCACTCTTATTTAACAATATCTCATAGGCCCTCGAGCGAAAGCCCTTTACTATTTTGACATCGCTCTTGGGCGGCACGTAGGAGCTCCCATTCCCGGAGCGATTTCTCCGCAACGTGTGCCTGACCAGCTGCGTGATGAGCTCGTAGATGTTAGCGTTGCCCCGTTCTAGATCCATGATCGAAGTACTCCCTCAGGCGATTGTTAATTAATCTTTGCGACGAGTCGCGGGAGACGGCGATTATTTTCATAGTGCCATAGTCAGCCATATCATGCCCATAACAACGCGCGACGAGTCGCGATCAACGCGACTCGTCGTGGAGGATTCCGAAGCAATCGCAAAGACATCTGGCGTGGCGAGCGTGAAACGGCCGCTCGTAAAAAAAAAAATAAAAAAAAATTGAGCGAGCGAGAGGAAGAGCGAAAGAGCAGGAAAGAGGGAGGAAGGGAGAGAGCGTGAAGATGTAATCACCGGCGATGGCAACGTGAGATAAAAACGGACAAAAAATTGGGAACCGAAACGAACCTCGATCGAAGCTCGATCGAACGACACTCTCCCTTGAATTCAATCGAATCTGAATTTTAAATCCAATGTGTTGAAAAAAAAAAAACAACAAAAAAACACGCAGAGAGAGAGATGACGTACCTTTAAAATAAAAAAATAAAACATGACTCGTAATGTAGTATTAATTTTATTGCGTTATTATACATATGCACACATACATGCACATCATGACATCGAAGGTAGGTGTATGTGTGTGTATATGTCACGCACGTATACCCGTTTCGCATATCGATTTTTCGCGACACACATTTTGCGTGCCATGTACGCGCGCGCGCGCGCGCACGCATCAACTTTTGCTACACGTGTTTGTGTATACGTACACGTATCTCGCACACACGTATGTACGTATATGTATAATAATAGTGACATACGTCGCTCGTGATACGTATGTATCAACACTGTACAGCGTGTAATATCCGTCTCATAGCAATGTCGTCCGAAAATCACCCCCTTGTTGTGCTCTCCGTGTACGTCCGACTATAGAAAAATAAACGTTTCAGATAGAACACCGCGTACGCCGCTCGCTCTGTTCGCGAAAGGTGCGAAAAATAAATTTCGTTTTTCCTTCCCTTTTCTTTTTTCTTTTTTTTTTTGCCTCTTTATTGCACCACGCTCCATTCCCGATCTCGTTATAACGCATAACTACGTCCAATCCTGCTCTCGGCCTCACCTTGCTCCACCCGTAAAATCTAACGCTACTACGTGTCATTTTTTCCTGTTTTTTTTTGTGTGTGTTTTATTTTTATCTTGTCTAACGCCGACGTTCTAGGGAGATCGGCGAGTTTACGATTAACTACGATTGCACGAGAAAAGTAAATCGATCGCAGGAGAAAATCAGTAATTGAGTTTGGCATCATTATCGTCGACCGCAGCCCCGACATTGCTCTGCGAAACTCTCTCGCTCGAATTTCGTTTCCTGTCCACCTTTTCCGTTTTATCTCTGTCTTTTTTTTGTATCTGAAAATTTCTTCCAGCATTTTAAAAACGAGACTATTATAAATGATTAGATTAGATGTGAACCATTCCGTTGCGGCAACGCAAACAATCGTGCCCTTGTTCGAAGGACGACGGAGAAATCGGGATGACGGGAAAAAATTCGAAAAATACTCGATGGAAGATATTTTCACTTTTTCTCCCCCCTCCCCCCTTCTCTCTCCCTTCGCCCTGACCGATGACTTGCGTGATGCGCACGTGAACTTCTCGTGGGAGAAGTATTATGTTTATACAATATGTGTTCCCGTGTGTATAGCCGCTCGATCAGCTGGAATTAGATTCCACTAACATAAAACTGCGCCCTTACATTAATTATATTATGTAAAACACACATTAGAAGGCTCTATTTTGTTTCCTCTGGCTCTGGTAACAATCTCTAACAGAGACTATATCGTTAACGTTACAAAAGCTCGTCGATTTGTTCCACCCGTTCTTTATCGGCCTTCTCATTGTCATACTGATAGTATTCTACGTCTTATCGCGTCCTCAGATATAACATTCGATTGAGCGTCTTAAAGAGCGCTAATTGTAATAATAATAATCTATTATTTTTTTTCTCGCTCTTCTTATCACTTTGCCTAACGTTAATCTTCATTATAGTCGTGATGACGACGCCAAGCCGGTGCAAGCGATAATACGAAAAAAACAGAAATCGCGCGTGAGTGAAATGGATGTCGGTTAGCGGAGATTCAGCTATGAATAAATCACATTTTCACTCCATTCAATTGGATTATACTGGATAACACTCTCTTTTCCTCTTTGTCTATTTTAATTAATATATCGGCTAAACGCTGAATGGCACACGTTACCGCATCACATTATTGCAATTTGATGTGTCAGCGCAACAGCTGCTGTTACTATTTTGGATGACCTTCGATCAAATAAGCTCCATATACATATATACTATATCTTCTGCCGAAGTTAACAAGTCATAAAGAGAAAGCATTTAATAAAGTATTTATATATCTTATATACATTGACTGTTGTTGAGAAAATCATATTGAAAACATGAAGTCTAGGGCAGGAAAAAGTCTTCCGCTCGCCGTTCTTTCTCTCAGCAGTTGATTTTCTTTCGCGGATTCGTACACACAACAGTTTCTCGCAATTCTCGCGAAAACATAGAACTGACGCTCGGTCTCGATTATGTGCAGTCTAAAGCGGGCTATGCGGTTAAAATAAAATGAAGTTTGCAGTGTGTATATATGTGTGTTTATGTATGTATGTATGTGTGTGTATTTGACGACAGGCAAATAATGTAAATGTAATGTTCTACGTAACAGGATGCTAGATATATCAGTTCAATGATCATCCATTTCGTGGATACGTTGACGCTTAGATTGCGATGGCTGATGTTCGGGAGGCTCGGGGCTCTCGACGATCGCAAGCGGAGCCGGTGAACCGGGCGAGCTGTCTGATTCTTCGTGAGTGCGTTTGCTAATCCCCCCAATGCCAGCATCGGGGCTGATAAAATTTCCACTGTTGCAAACAGATAATTCAAAAACGAAAATTGTAAATTTATGTATGTAACGATGAAACCGCGAGTGTATCACACGAATTTAAGAACGCAACATAATCGTGAAACGTAATCTATCGAGCTTGTGTCGTTAATCGTACCTGTAATTATATGTTGTTTGTACAATAACAGGAGCTGGACTATATTGGCCAGCTGGAGATAAAGAATGGTCCTCTATAGCATTTCCAGGCACCAAATATTTTTCTATTTGAAAAAACGGGCAATAAAATATCTCTCAATAATTAGAAAAAAAAAAAAAAAAAAGGAGAAATCTTTTAGATAGAAAAATGAAAAAAAAATTCACCTTCTCTTCCTGTGGCATCGCCACTGACGCCGTTTGTTACCACTGTTTGCATCAGGCGTCCCTTATGAGTTGTCTGGGACGATGTAAACGGATGTCCAGGAGAGCCGGGTGCCGACTGACTTGCGAGTTGCCCAGCCGGAGATGGAACCGAACTGTCCGGATAAGACTCGGGTCCAGGAGAGGTCTCTCTGCTCAAACACTCGGGCGTGATTAACCCACTGATTCCTACGTGAGACGGCGAAGCTGGAGCACTTCTGCTGATCACATGTGACAATTGTTAAACAACTTAATCAATCGACAATACGCGATACATAGAACGACGGATTTTCCTAGACATTACCTTGACGACAGCGTTCCGAAGGGTGCGCGGAAACAAGGTACTCCACGTTGCCGTCTTCGTCTGAATGCCTGCTCAATGAGTTTGTTCTCCGATTGGGGATCTATCTTCCAAAAGGAACCCTTTCCTGGCTCTTCCTGACTCCTGGGCACTTTAATAAAGTAGCGATTCAACGACAAATTGTGCCGTATAGAATTCTGCCATCCCTTATCTGCGGTCCTATAGTATGGATAGTGCTTGGTGATGTACGAATAGATGCCCGACAAGGTAAGCTGCTTGTCATGCGCCGAGGCGATCGCCTGGACGATCAGTTGCGCGTAGGAGTACGGTGGTTTCGAGTCATCTTTCGGTGGACTGTAATGTGGCGCCGTGCCATTCGGTCCCGAACTGTTACCACTTCGATAACGAGCATCGGCACCGGGCTCCGGGCTTATCTGCCTACTGGAGCTCTGTCCACTGTCGTGCCTCTCCAAGCTATGCCTATCCAAGCCAGAGTTCTGCGAATCGTTCGCCACAGCGGCGGCGGCGTACGCCGCCACCATCTGCAGATCCGCCGAGATGTTTCTTCTGCCCTGACCAGCACGCGGACTCGCCGGACACGAATTAGCGGCGCTTATCGTTCCCGTGGGTGACGGAAAAGGACTGCTATACCCAGTGTCCGGTATGTTTATCCGCAGAGGGGGCAACGGTGCCCGCTGTTTCGGCGGAGAGGGCACGCGAATGTTACTCTGCTCCTCGTCGACAAGTGATTGGAACAGCAGCTTTATCGTTGTACTTGGAAATCTGAATGTACATCTGCAATCAATCAAAGCCAATCGTAATTACAGGATATTCGAAACAGCGTTATCATTAATTACAAGACAATTCAATCATAAATACATTTAACGTTAACAAATTGTTAAAACAAATTTTTCATTTTTTGAATAACAGTACACACGATACATGTTTCAGTATAGTGCAAAAATTGTTACATATATTTATGGCGTGTTTACCGGCAAAAATCCAGAGCCTGTTTGATTATGCTCTTATAAAGACTAATTATTTAAGTTACAATAACAACCGCCAACATTTATTATTCGTTCATTTTTATGAATTACTTTTTACAGGGCCGTGGGCTACCTTTGCAATAGCTTTATAGCTTTTTAAGAATTAGTAGGAAAGGAATGATAAGTCAAACCGATCTGCTATAAGCGAGAAAAATTCCAAGATAACAGATAGATGATATTCCAGGATCAGTTATGATGAGCGGATCGTTCCTCGAATCTACCACAAGGACATTGCATCACCTCACGTGTTACAGAGAGCGTAAATAGCATAACTAAAAAATAACAGCCATGACGGAGTATCTTGTTGACTAAAAAGCCGGCATTCGCGCGCGCGCGCGGAACAATAAATAAATAACATCCGCAAGGAAAAACTTACGTCTTTGGCAGTTGAAAGACAGGGGCGCCCTTGCGCTGGAATACCCCGTCGACGAACACGCCGTTCTTGCCGTTGCAGACCATGAAGAAGAACGGGTGCTCGTAGAAGATCTCGAGATGCCGGCGGGAGATAAAGCTGGAGTGGCCCATGTTGACGTCGACCTCACCCTTGCTGCTGTTGCGGCCGATCGTGATGCGCCGTTGCCTAACCATGTACTCGAACTCGCGGGCCTCGAGCCGCGCTATCGGCGCCCCACTCGATTCCGGGTTCCATTGCATCTTCGACGGGCTGGCCGGCGCCGACTTCAGTGCCAGTAGGGCCCACGCGTCGCTCTCTTGAGTACGAGAATACGTAGACATAGCACCGAGAGCGAATGAGCCGTCGCGATGTCGCCGAAAGCAGACACGGGAAAGAGAGGAAGACAGCCCGAGTCGGGCGGAGAGAGAGAGGATCGAGAGAGAGCGAGAAAGGAGAGACAGAGAGGGCGCGAGGGGGGGGGGGGGGTGGAGACGGCGCGAGACGAGAGAACGAAAGAGATGGATAGTCGCTGGCTCTCGAGAAGAAGGGAGATAAATTCACGGACGTTCGCGCGAGTCAGATACGCTAGATAAATAGATAACGACGGCGCGGCGGAGCGAACGGACACGAGATAGACCGGCGAAGGTGGAGGAGTGTAAGCGTCTCGGTATACAAGTATATGGATGACAAAAATTAGACGGAGACGACGGAGGAGAGAAGATGTGCGTGCGCGCCGTGACGGAGAGGGGCGACGTGCGGCAAACCGCGGGACGGGAGGAAGGGGATGTATATAGGAAAAACGAAAGGGCAAGAAAATCGGAGCGCCCGGACGTGCGGGAAGAGACTTTAAGCGTCGGACGCGCGCGCGCGCGTGTGTAACAACGGACGCGAGAAGAGAAAGAAAGAGAAAGGAGAGGAACACGACGGCACAGCCACGAGCTGCGTATGCACGCGCACACGCGAGCGTACACTCGCGCGAAATATGGCCGGCTCTGGTGGCTCTCGGACTCTCCTTTCTCCGCGCCGAGCGCGTTCGTTATCCGCGCGCGCGTGTATATATATGTGTGTCCACTCCGTCGATATGTATGCGCCCGGGCGCGCGCGCAAATACGTAACACGAATAACAGTATACGATCCCGGCTTTACCGTCTCGTTCCTTCCTCTATCCGTCCATCTTTTTCTCTCTTTTCTCTCACACTCATGCGCGCGCGCGCTCGCGTTCTTCGTAAGTTATAAAAGCAGAGTGATAGTCAAGCACCTTTCTAAGTTTGCTCCTGTCTCCGCGGTTGTAAGCGCGAGGCTTCGTTACCGCGCGCGCGGTCACCGCCTCTCTCACCTCCTCCTCCTCCTCCTCCACGATCGTGTGTCGGTCGCGCGATCCTCTTGGTTCGGCGAGAACTGTAGAACGGACTGGCAGGCAGCGACGGCAACGGCGACAGCGCGATGACGATACGCCTGGTGACAGGCGGGTAGATGGGCGCGCGCGCGCGCGCTCCCGGTGACACGATGACGAACACGCGCCGCACAAATATTTTCTTCTTCCTCTTGTTTACCCACAATCCGAAACGTGGACGGGTGCCACCACGTGACGCGGTTAACCGCGAATCGGCGCCCGGTTTGAACACGGCTGTGCGATCGCGCCGAAACGCGAGGGGCGGCGGGGGAGAGGGGGATTCGCGGACGCGAACCCCTCGATTACCACGCGATTTCCCTTGCCCCTTCGAAATCCCGAGGGAGAATTTTTCCGAGAACGCGATGAGCGAGTCATCGCGATTAAATGGATAACAAAATCGTTCCGCAATCGAACTCCTTGTCATTCGCGTCTTCACGCAGTTTGAATAAAAATGACCGCAAGGGCGCTCAATTCAATCTGTTCCTTTTCGTGCCAAGCAATTGCGGCATGGTCCTTTTGATTATATCGCGTGCCTGGAAGCCTGGATCTGCACGTCTCTTCTAATTCTCTTAAAACAGAGAATTTAGAGTCGAAAAAGCTTAATTTCCTGAAATCAACGTTCTCTCTAATCTATATATAGTTCTATCACATTGATCAGGCCGCGGAGGTGGTTCGATTGAAATTGCAGCGCGTCATCCAATGGGAACACCTGATTCATTTGACAATTCGCAAGGCAGGAACCAATCCGGTTGCCGTATCTCGCTCTCCTCAGTGTCCTCACGTGACACGTTTCGGAACGAAGATGGAAACGCGCGCGATGACAGCGCGATCACACGAACCACGAACGCACTGACTCGCGGCGCGACCTTCGCGGATTTCGCGACAGCGCGCAACCTCGATGCGGCTCGATGCGCGGTGCAGCGGGTAGGGATAAGCGCGACACAACAGCAGCGGGGAAAGCAGCGCGTCGAGAAAGCTCCGTTTGCTTTGTTATGATACGCGTCCGCGCCGTCGGGATTCGTGTCCCTGTCGCGTAGAGAAGAGAGGGTGGCCGCGATCGACGCGACCCGAGATTCATGAGAGAGTCGACGCGACGTTCCTGTGCACCGCGGTACTGCGATGCGATAGCTTTCACCGGCGGAGCAGCTTTGCCCGACCAAGTCATCGTCGACGAGGTGGCGGTGATAGCGAGGGAGGCGAATCCGTCCGCCGCCGCGTGCCGCGAACACGGGGGGAAACGTGACAGCGGCAGGGTGAGCTTGGTCGCCCCGTCGGTCGCCTGCAGTATGCTCAGGGTCTGCAACAGGCGGATATTATGGCTGCGGGTGAGGCCAGCACGGCGAAGCCTCGTCAGGAGAAGCAGTACGACTACCTGCTCAAGTTCCTGCTGGTGGGTGACAGCGACGTCGGCAAGCAAGAGATCTTGAGCGGCCTCGAGGACGGCGCTGCCGAGTCGCCGTTCTGCAGCGGCAGCGGTATGACTTTTCAAAGAGTATCTGTCGAAGAAAACTTTCCTTCCTCGTGTGTATCCTCCGCGATACACGTAACGAAACATTATACATTGGAATTGAAAATTGTGTCGAGCGAGGAGGTTTATTAGCCCTTTAAATTTATTGTCTCTCTTTTCAGAATTGTCTACTTAAGATTTATAGAGCCGATTGTTTTTATTATACCTTTCCAGCTTACAAAACTACCACTATCCTCCTAGACGGGAAAAGAGTGAAGCTACAATTATGGGATACGTCGGGTCAGGGTAGATTCTGCACAATCATTCGGTCATACTCCAGAGGTGCTCAAGGTATACTCTTGGTATATGACATTACCAATAAGTGGTCCTTCGACGGCATCGATCGATGGTTAAAAGAAGTTGAAGAGGTTAGCGACAATCTAAGAAGAGTTTATCCTAATTATCGGTTCTTTCGAGCGTGTAAAAATATAAATATCTCAACGTGAAACTTTACAGCATGCACCTGGCGTACCGAAAGTACTGGTCGGCAATCGTCTGCACTTGGCTTTCAAGAGACAAGTGGGTGAACGAGATGCGGAGGCTTACGCGGCTAAGAATCGAATGGCATTCTTTGAAGTCTCGCCCCTCTGCAATTTCAACATTCGCGAGAGCTTCTCGGAGCTCTCTCGAATGGCGCTACACAGGAACGGCATGGAGAGATTGTGGCGATCCAATAAAGGTATAAACCGATGAGCGATTTCTATCAGAGAGCCTCTAAAATCTAGAAGATCGGAACGGTGAAGATTGTAATTCGCTTTACAGTGCTCAGCCTGCAAGAACTGGCATGCCGCGCGATAGTGGCCCGAACGACGGTTTACGGTATCGATCAGCTGCCGTTGCCCAAATCGATCAAGTCGCATCTGAAATCGTACGCGATGACAACCACGTCCCAACTACGCTACAACGGCAACCGCTCGTTGAGCTCGAGCAAGAGTCTGGGATCGCATCATCGGAAGCTACGCTTCGTCGGGGTGGGTCACAACAACGGTGGACTGTCGACGCCCGGCAGCTCACCCGGCAGCATCACCGATTCCCGCACAAGTTGCGTCGGCCGCAATTCCTGCACGGTGTCTTGAGATCGACGTAAGGACAGAAGTCGGGATAGCGGTTACTTACGTAAAAACGTATCGCGCAATCAGCATTCTTCCTTCCCCTCCCTTTCTCCGTTCTGTCAAGGATGCAAATCACGCGTTTACAATGTTGTTTCACGATTCATAGCAATTACTGTTAGTGCGAGATAGTATAAATATAATGAAATTCCGATTTTTGCCACTTGCCAACGTTGACGGATATACTCTTGTTGCGTTTATATCACGAGATACATTTCATGGTATATTTTCACATCTGCAAGCCGCGCGCGTGCGCGACCACACACACACACACACATACGCACACACAAAATTTCAGGATCCGAACGAGCTTAAGGGAGACGGGCCGTCGCGTATTCGTGCCATCCGTTGTACCGAGATTAAAAGAGAGAGAGAGAGAGAGAGAGGGAGTCGCGGCACGTAAACAGGGAGATCGCTTAAACGTTACCAAATGTTGTCACCGATCGCAAAGCTCGCACGGGTTTTCCATCGCGTGAAGAGAACGCGTCAGGATTACGGAGATATGACACACACCTATATACAGTATATATCGACCGAACGTTACATTACGCGATTCGAGTGTGCCCATACTTTAAAGTTAAAGCCCTTGTAAGTCGCTTTATTCTTTTTTGGCCGTTGTTGGAAAAAGCATTCTTTCCCCACAAACGTATCTCTCTGTGCGGAATGTTCTTTCTTCGATCGTAAAGCTTTCAAGAGCAGCGAGTAATGAACTGAAAAGTACAAGTTCGCTAAGTCTACGGTGGTTGTGGTGTAGACTAATGATGATAGCGTAAGTGTAGAAAGTTTAGAGCAGCTAACTCGAGATATATATTAGCGACATATATATAAATATATATATATATATATATTTTCAATTGCTTGCGAAAACCGTTTTATCGGGAACTACCGGTTACCGAGCGCGGAAGAGCTATATATTTTTTAAGGAGACAGTTTTATAAAGAGCAATAAAATTGACTCTTTCTACGGCACGAGATTTTACATTGCATTACGTTGATCGAGATCGGATGATGATTTCCTCAATATTTTATCTTTCGTTCTCTCTATCTCTTTCTCCCCCGCATGAATTGTAAATCGCGTGAAGCGTTTAATCCGAAATCCGAAACTCCCCTTGCCCCCTCCCTCCCCCCTCCCCGAATACGATTATTTAAAAGTATTGTTTTATTTCATTGTTACCTAAATGTAAGTCCACATGTACAGTGTAAGATTGCAGGAGATGCGTTTGTGTGTAATATAGATAGATAGATAGATAGAAAACACACTCGATCTCTAACATGTCTGTAACAAATTACTCGATGCCACAGGAAAGCACATGAGATGTATATTTATATTACGTTAGACTTAACTAAATTATATTCTGTGTATATAAAGAAAGAACTATATTATATTATGATATTGTTTTATATGAATATAACACGATGTGCTTACTTGTCTGTGAGATGTACTAAATAAAACTTAACTTCACATTATAGCGCAGTGCATGTAATCTATATGTAAAGATTTGAAAAACAGACTTCCTATTTCGAATACCAAATTTTCTTTAATAAATAGAGTTCACACACATTAATTATATATACATATTTTGTTACAAGAGAATAACACATCTTTCATATACGGAAGAAATATCCACTTAAAGGGGGCCACGTGTTAAGAAAGGGAAGAAATGCCGTCCCGTTTGCCAAAATGCTTCTAATTTACTAGCTCGAGAAACGCTATAATTTCGTTTAATATAGTAGAGGATATAGAGAGCCGGTTTTCATGAACTGTATATAATAAACACGTTCTAGTTTTTTTTTTTTCAACTACGGTTTTACTTACAATTAATTAATCGGCTTAAACGGATCTTTTCCTGAATTCAATCACCGAAATTGGCAAAGTTTTCTCCTTGGCAACTTGTAATACACTACTTTCTTGTTAATTTGAATATTGCAACTTTCATCGATGTATTCCATCTACACAGTGGTTCTATTTGTATGATAACGAAACCCGACACCAATTTATATTCAATTATAGTTATATGTTCCAGTTTAAAACACATGCGGTTGTATAGTGAAAATAAATCGAATATTTATGAACCTATGGACGTCTTATGAAGCAAACATTCAAACGATCCTTTTATAAACGACTGTGCAGTAAATACGCCGGTTATCGTAAATAAATGTTATATTTTCTGTTGTATATTTGTTTAAGCGAGAATTAAATTCAGTTAGCATTCAAGATTAACAAGTTTCGCAGCTTGCAAAAAAAAATTGACTTACTGAAAGAACGTAACATTACGGATTGATATTTTGCACGGATGTTCGTAAAAATATCAATAACTGATAATAAAAAAATATTCTTAAAGAAACGCAACAACATATAACTTACAAATAAGGATGTGACAACAGTAGATCGTTTTTTTTTTAATGTAATAAAGATCGGCTTAACATAATTAACAATATCAGTGTACTCGTAAGATATATCTGATATATTAAATATGTATCTCTTATACGTATATACCTACGTTTTTTTCCAATATCCAAAGTGACTGTTTGTTACACGAACTTATCGATTCGGTATGCATTTTTATTTTGTAGACAGTACATGTACCGTTCTATCAGTTTGAGTATTTAGGTAGATTATTAGCACAAATATAAAAAAAAAACAAAATTAGTATTTAACAGCGCTAAATAAAAATAATATCGAAAATAATGTAGCATGTAATATGCCATTTGAAACATCAATATCACTGGTGATCGAGAACGATTCCGTAAACGTCACACGCAAATGAAAGCTGTAGTATGCCAATATAAATCTCGGATAAGCTACACGATTACCTCTATTACAATTTAACTTATATACATTCGTATATATATATATATATATATATATATATATACATATATATATATATATGCATATATTATGGTAATGCTTATCACAACAGTGTACTATTTTCCTAAGAGAATCGATATATTTAATTAACACTCGGTTAAAAACATGAAGACAAGTTTTTACGAACAGCCAACATGTGTCTAATGCCTATTCTTAAAATCAGGTATACACATATATATATATTTTATATATATATGCATGTATAAAATATTAGAGTCGCGGTTAAAGTTTGATCGCATAAAATAAATAAATAAATGTTTTTAACACAAGATCAAACCTCGATATAACTCTTTCGCGATTGCTATTTCCATTTTTTTCTTCCTTTTGAGACATACGTACAGCTTCATTCAAACAACAGTTATATTTGATTTTCTTTCTAATGTAGCAAACAGATCTCATAAATATCCTAAGCAACGTGAAATGAAAAAAAGTTTTACTCAGTAATGATAAAATTATTTTCATTGCCGTTATTAAATTCTTAAAAACGTAATTTAGTCGATTTTTTACTTCATCATGCAACAAACACATTTACTATGCTTCAGTCAGTGATCAAAACCAAATGCCAAAATACTGAATAGATCATGCACAGACTGACAATAAACACAAATATTCTGAAGCCTCTGTCAGACTACCGAATAACAAACACCAATAATTTAAAATGATATGCATCAGGTAATTTATTTCGACCAAAAATCGTTTTACAATCAATCACGTTGAAGTAATTACTCCAAAGTCGATCACTTACTAAATAGGCACTCCAATTTTCATGATCTTAACGATTCTTAATGTAAGTTGACTAAGAGAAGGATATCCTGAATACTTTTCAGTTTAAAAATCTTCCCCAGAACTGCGGGGCGTGTCATAAATAATAAACAGACTCATTACGGTATTTCTAATAAAATTTACAAGACAAATATTTATGAGATCTGTACGCTAGAAAAGAAAAAAAACGCGAATATCGTAAGATTTCTCAGCGAAGGTATCGACTTCACCTGAACTCGTAAATCTGTATACTGTGCTCTGGAACATGTCTTAGATTCAAGGATTGATACCTGAAACAACGTTTGTAAAATTGTCATTTTAAATTACTCCATATTGTGCACATATTTGCGTATATTTTAAATACGTATGTTTTAAAAATATTAAAAAGAATCAATGTATCCAGAAATCAAATATGATCAATTAAGGCCTTCAGTGTTACAACTACTTTCTAACTTATAATATACATGCTAGTGTTTTACCATTCGGAACTACGATGATAATAAAAGCCTTCTATCGTGGCGGCGGATTTCTGGAAGCAAATGTAGTAAAATCCTGCGAAAGAGGCACCATTGATATCTTTGATCGTGTGATCAGGTACCAGGAAGTGCTCCTTCCACCTCATAAACACAAAGTCTGTCCCCTTCAGCGCCTCGTAATCGAACGTGTCAGAATTGAACGTTTTGGCGTATTGGCAGAACGACTCGAATTTACTCTACAATATAAAAAACGAGAGAAACAGATATAGAGCCGGCGAACAGGATCGGCGATAACCTATGGATAAGGTCGAATGATAAAACACTTGGTACGAACCCAGTGTTTCTTGTCAACATCCTCGTCGGCGTCCCACTTGCGAGTCAAAAAGGGATATTTTTTGGAAATGATTTCACCGTCGAAGAATGTCGTCAGTGTCGGGAACTCCTCCGTGAGACCTTTGATCTTCAAGTATCCACACAGATAACTGTTTTCCTCGTCCACATGCTGCAACGGGACAAACGTGACGTGAAGAATCGTACCCCCAGGAACACCGATCCCACGTGTTATCATCAACAACAACCCCGTGCCAGCTTACGTCAACTTGGGTTGTGCGCAAATACCATCCACTGCAAATAGGAAGGGAGAGAGAGAAGAGGCGAGAGAGGCGGAGAGACGGGGCGAGGAGGAACGATCCGTCTCTCGTGCATCCTCGCCGTCGTCGGGAACATTCCCCGTACGTTCGTCCCGGCCGAGATACGCGATCGCCAATTTGTGGCGTAATTTCCGAAAAATGACGACGTAACGGCGGCGTGGACGACGGGGAGAGGGAGGGGGGAGGGGGGGGGGGCACGGCGGGGAAAGCACGACTAACCTGCAAAACCACCTCCACGTCGTAGCTGTTGCCCTTGGACTTCTGCGAGCCCTGGAAGCGCGAGCCGTTGTACAGCAGGGACTTGGTGACACCCGGCTGCTTCGAGTTCGCAGGCGGCGGCGGCACCACGTCGACCTTCACCGGCATTCTCGCGCGGCGTTGCTCCGAGCTTGCGTGCAGCGCGACGTTCAATCGTTGTCCACAACGACGAGGACGTTGACGTTGACGGCGGCGACGGTGACGACGGCAGCGGCAGCGGCAGCGGCGGCGGCAGCGGCGACGGCGACGGTGACGACGCGCGACGCGGCGCCCCGCATATCACGATGGGGTGACCGTGTCGCAATGACTGCCGGTAATCCGCGGGGGTACGGACGTTTTTATGCGCCGAGCCTCGAACCCAGACCACGCGAGCGGGCCCAGGGCGCGCTTCGTGCTCGTCACCGAGGGCCGAGGGGGCAACAGTTTCTCCCACGATTGGGGGAAGGGGGGAATCCTCCCGCGACTCCCAAAGAGTGCTCCGAGAGTCTGCTCGCGGCTCCCGCGTCGCCGTCCGCGGCGCGGCGTCGTCTCTCTCTTGCCCTCTCTTTGCGCGAAACGCTAATGAGAGGAACTCGAATGTCTCGAACGTGAGTGTGTCCAAAGTCCCCGCTCGAAACGACGAGCACCGGAAACTTCACACCGGAAGCTCTCCTTGGAAACATGGCAACCATTCGAATCGGAGAATGAACGTTCAAAATAATAATGTAAGCAATGATATACAATAAAGCCGAATAAACTTGGTTATTTTTATTGTTAATTAAATATCGCGCGTCGTAATTATATTCGATTAGTTGCAGTACTTATTATTATTCGGCAGTTTTACTCGAAAACAATCATAAATATATATATATATATATATATATATATATATATATATATCTTGCAATTGAACATTATACCAATCGGAAGTAGGATAATTAATAGGATAACATCAATTAGCTATAGACCTATATAGTAAAAGTAATAATAATGAACAAAGTGGTAACAAGATTAATAATAATTACAGCCACTTATTCAATATTCTTACATGCAAATTAAGCGCTTTGAAATTGAATAGCATTATTTCTAAAATTATGAGACGAAATTGCAAAATGACATGACTGTAATGGTCGGGCATCTTTTTACAGGCTGCAACAGTCCTGACTTTTTCAAGTTCCCCCGACAACTTCACTTTTAGACGCTGCACTGACTAGCACGCCCCGCGGACCCAACCTCTAACCTAATCCGACAGTCCCCCTTAATGTCAATTGATGCCAATGCAAGTATGGCGGACTTCAGCGACACGAACTCGCACGAGATGACAGAGAATCATGTCGGTAAGCGGTGCAATAATCAGTGGGTGCGACTGAACGTGGGCGGGACGTGCTTCCTGACGACGAAGACCACCCTGGCGAGGGATCCGAACTCGTTTCTGTACCGGTTGTGCCAGGAGGACTCGGACCTTATTTCGGACAGGGTTAGTTGACACTGCTTCTTACCGGGAATTTCAAATCACGAGCCCGTCTGAACTCCGTCGTCGCGTTTCGTTGTCCACGTCGACGTCGAGAGCGGCAACGAGCAACCCCTCGTCCGGCTGCGAGGATTCCTCGCGCCTCCCCTCCCCACCGAACCCGGGTGGATGACCTGCCGTTTTGTTTTGTTTTCATAAGGACGAAACGGGAGCGTACCTGATAGACCGCGACCCCACGTACTTCAGTCCGGTCTTGAACTACCTGCGCCACGGTAAGCTGGTCATCGACAAGGATCTAATGGAGGAAGGCGTGCTGGAGGAGGCGGAGTTTTACAATATCACCGAGCTCATTCGGCTAGTCAAAGAGAGGATCATTCTGAGGGACACTCGGCCGCAGAGGGACTCCAAGAAACATGTCTACAGAGTTCTCCAGTGTCACGAGGACGAGCTGACGCAGATGGTGTCCACAATGTCGGACGGCTGGAGATTCGAACAGGTATTAACGAGTACTTTTATATTTATATCTTTTATTTATTGTAATATTATTCATGCGATCGATTTCTTCTTGGCGTACCGCCCATTGGGGCGACTCGCGACGGCATTTTTTTCTGTCTCTAAATAAATGTACTCTTTTCCCCTCTGTTTTTCTAGCTAATCAACATAGGTTCTCAATATAACTACGGTAATGACGATCACGCGGAATTTCTATGTGTGGTAAGCCGAGAATACGGACCTAGTCAGCTCAGCAGTAAAGAAGAGGAATCTACGGATCGCGTTAAGGTACCGCTATCCCATTCGACTGTTTCCCATCCTTATTTGAGCCAAAGTAGCCATGGCTAACGCGATCATTTTTTTATGTTTTTGTTGTATCCAAATTGAGATATGATAGACGCAGGTTTATTAGAGATTCATGTCTTTTATCAAGTACCTTTATCATTTTTAAGTAAAACCATGTATCCTAAGTAATTTGTGTCGGTATTATTGTTTTTCATGTTGGATCGCATGAGATATTTGTTGAGGCAATAAATGTCTAACTGCTTCTTTAAATGGAAATGCAAGTGCCTTTCTATCTGAAAGAAAGGATCGGGTTACAATTGTAAATTTCTAAGCGCTCCACAAGTATAACAAGTGAAAAAAAAATTTATGTTGAGATCTATTCTTGCAATCCAACATTGATTTTTCTTGATTTCTAATGCTATTGTGAAATCAAATAACACACTTTTATCAGTTCTAATAAGGTGAAATTAAAAAAAAAAAAGTATTATTTTTGATATTAACAATTTGCCTATACTGACGGTTGGATTGGGTTGGGTAGAAAACCAAAGATGAGCTTTATCACTATAGTGATAAATATGATTTATATATACACATTTATTATGAGATTGAAGTTTATCTCACGTTTTATCACTTACGCTTAATTCAGCAATACATTCCTCCATACATTTTTCTGCAATATTTCTTGACAGTTGCTTAGAATTATTTTGCTTAATTGTTTTATGAAGGAACAAAATACGCGAAAAGAGAAAGAATTTTGTTGTAGACGTGAAATATTTAGCAACAGATTTTATTAGGTGGCTTAATTTTTCCTTCAAATCAAATTTGTGGATAAAAAAAATCTGTCGATCGAATATGTCATTTTCTCTTATATCTGAATTTTTGTATGTATATATATATATTTCTATACACACATAGACTTAAAATATACATTGTACTCGTTATATTTTAAAGCTATAATATAATTAGAAAGAATCACCTAATAATCTGTGACGCTCAGAGGCCTGTTCGCATGAGCATGTTCTGCCTCTGATATTTTGTTGTACGTACCATACATATTATTATTATTATTATTATTATTATTATTATTATTATTATTGTATCGCATGCCGTTCGTTGAATAAAGAATTTTTTCTTTCATTGGTTTGTGGTTATATATACTTTATGCCCCGTGACCTGCATGAATCATTATTGCATGCCAAATTATTCATCATACATTACGTCCTTTAGGCGGCATACGAGTGAATTGTTCACAGTGTATATTTTATCACCAATAGCTTATGTACGATTTATTTATATGATATACATAGAAAGTAATAAATTAATGTGTGCTAATATCATATGGGTTTGCTTTTCGATAAGGGTAGCTTTTGGGAAGCAAAGTAGCTATAATTAGATTAGCGTATTGGTATTTCTTATTTTATTGATTTATATGGCAACAATGTAACAGAGGCGGAACAACTTTTTTTTCATAATAAACTGTATAACTTCAATTGCCGTCGTAGATTTTGTAATTAATGTTAAGTATTGTAATTCTAAGTGAAATGAGATTAATACGTTTTTATTAAGTTTGGATTATTGGATTACATTCTAGGTATTGCAGCAGAAGGGTTCACGCATGTAATGTCTAGATCCGTCCTTGTTTTCCCTTGCCTCCCTTAGTTTGTGATCAGCTGTGCTGCGACAAGATGAAGACTGTTTTCGTTTTTACATTTAAAGTAATTAAATTTTAAAACTCGTACTCTCTTTTCCATTATATTATTCTCTCTATTCCTAGATAATGTTAATCTACAGGGACATTACAGTGCAAAAGATAAGGAAAATTTTATAGATATGTATTTATTACATAGCAAGATTGTACATGAAGCTTTAAGAACCGAAAGTAACACGTTACTATTAATTTATTCTTCTTTATTGACAGTACCCAAAAGACGAAAAAAAAATATGTCGATCTCACGAATGGAATAGTTTAATAATTTCATACTGTTTATACAGATTGCGTCGCTATGCGACAAACACAAAGTAAAAAACCTTCCTTTTTCTATAAGCACATCTATCTGCTTTAAAAAAGCAGATATGTTATATATATATAAATATATATAAATATATATATATATATATATATATATAATATAGATAACATAGTTATATTATTAATAAATGACGTTGTTCCATAATGGCTGCAGTTATATTTTAGCTTTATCAAATACTTTAATGAATGACTGGCAATTTGTGGAGGCAATCGGTTTCATACAAATTTTTATGATAACGATAGTTTTTATCTCCAATAGTAAATACATGGTAGAGATTGCCTTTTTGTACTAAATTGTACAAAAGTTCTTTTTCCCATCCGTATATCCTTATCGTAAGATGTCTAAATTACTTACCTTCGCACTGCCGCTATAAAACATAAAGATATTTGTATACTTAACGTGATAATTTTCGAAAACCCAGGAGAAACGCATACTATAATATATATGTACCTATGAATATGTAAAGCTGACTTTATACATGTATTGTTAATACGGAAAGGAATTTTTTCTAAACAAAGCAATTGCGTTACACTACTTGTTAAGGATACCGATTTGAGATATATGAGAGAGGTAGGGGCTTAAAAATTCTTAAAAATGCTATTGCAAAAGAAATTTTTAGAGTGCGAAACAAGCGTGTGTATAATTTAAAAGCGTTCATTGGATATTTCGCACGCGAATTGAAAAAAACACGGAACAATACGATTGCATTATCGCGAATTAATGAGATGTGTATTATCGGGGGGGAAAAAAAATTGAATTGTTTTCTTGCGCGAATTATCTGCAGTTGCAATATGATCCCCTACATCCGTGGTAACAAGTGTTTTTTTGCAACAGATGTAGGTTGTCAATTGTCCAAGGCCTATTAAAAAAAGAGAAAAAGAGAAAAGTGTCCTAGACAATATATGTAAAATGTTAAATGGAAGAGCATATGTAATATTGGCTTGTTATAGATGCCATTAGTACTATTGTACACAATGCGTAAATTATTATCTCACGTATTTACACGATGTTTTTTCTTTGTCGAGAAAGAGAGAGAATACAGTTTAACAATACAAATAATATTGTATAATCGATTGCATTTTGCGCGCCATCGGTGTTTGCTATTTCGACACAGGGCAAGAGACACCTGTTATCGAAAGCGATATATATTACAACTATATATATATATATATGTATCGCTCGCGTATCAAATATTTGTGCAAGCAGTGAGAGATATGCAGCAACACGATGCATACATTGTACGATTTTGGCTAGCAACAATTCATTCGGTACTGTGAAAATTTCAGAAAACTTTAGGACCAATATTGTTAATCCCGCGTGCTATGTACAGCGTTGTTTAGACTAATATAAGGCATTATTTTCTAGCTCAAGCCCATATGTATTCTAATCATTAATTTAATCAGCATTGATCTTCATTACCGTCATATCACACATGCGAAGATACATACGCCCTCCTCTTGTGTAAAATTTGTACTTTCATAGGTATATAGAGATTTCTAACGGTATAGATGAAACTTATTCAGTGTTTGGCGTTAGGAAATAATAGCGTTCGCATTCATTGACAAAAATTATAACGATATAGGAGAATCGTCATAAGGCGCGGCGTAAAAAGGAGTTATCGTATATGGAAGTATTTGTATCTCATTTGCACATACGACTATCATTTTACATGGATTTCATTTTTCACTTTTATCAATTTTACAATTTACCGCTGTCGAGTAATTACGGTATAAGTATTTGCGAGTGCTTCTGATAATTTTGAATTTGCTTTTATCGCACCTCGATTTTGCGCATCGGGCTTCTGAAATAAGCTACGCAAAACTTGTTTACAGAAATCAAGGATTGTTTATTAACTGCGAAAAAAAAAAATATAAATATATTCTCTAATACCGAAAATATTTTAGTGGGACGGGCATGCGTGTACGTACGAACGTCGATCGCGTCTTTGTGTGTACACGAATGCGTAACGCGAAATGTAATCAAAATTTATTTAACGGTAGTTTATATAAAATCTAAGTAATTCTGGTATGATAAAGGTATAGAATTTTAGATCTTTCTATGCAATAACTCTCATCTCTATAAATAGTGCAATTCGCAGTAAGTGACAAACAGGAACATAGATATATAATGCTGTTAATTCTTTTTTTTTTGCCAGTCGTGCAGTCATAGTCTCGTATGTCCCGACAAATTATAAATTGGAACAACTTTTTTTGCATTGAAGTAATAGCGATTCACACATGCGGCAACTATTGACTATTATTACCGATAGGTGAACTTTACATTAAGTAGTCCTTATGATTATAGCGTGTGATTTGTAAAGTGAGATAAAAAAATTAAACGCAAATTGTTTGTATTAATTGTAACTTATATGAAATAAAAGATTTATTATATATATTAAAGAGCAACTTTTACCTATACTTTCATTCATCTATTTATGTGTACTATTATTATATTATATTTATATCTCCCTATATTAATAAAATTCAGAATTATGTACAAATGCATGTATATTAAATGTGGAAATACTCTCGCATGACACTTCGGATTAATAAAAAATATATTTATACGCAGACAGTACAACTTACAAATCCTTATAAACAATAAATAAGTATCATAAGGTAAATTCGTAATCTCTCGAGTACGACTTTTTCAAGAGTACAGACTCTTGAAAGCAGATCGATCATGATTTCCATTGGCCATTCAAGGCATGTTTGCTATCGTTTTTAAGGGTTGATCGAGATATTTGGCCAATGCCTGCGCTTTCTCGCGCAACAATCCAAAGCCTACGCTCTCCTTCGCGTACAAACACAGGAGCAAATTGGCTACCTCCGTGATAACGACTTTTCCTTCCTGAAAATAGGGCGAATATAATACGTGTAAAATAAACTAGAAAAGTTCTGTTTAATCTATTATTACCATACAATCCATGAGAACAAACTGCAGTTCGTCCTCCTTGAAGGCATTACGCCCATTCTTCTCGTAAGCTGTCCAAATGTTACTCGTGATGGCGGCTGTGACCCTGGCATCCTTATCCCCGTAACCACTGTACGCTAACAATCCACCATCTCTGTTGAGCAATCTGAAATACCATACGTGTAAATAACCGTGTAAGGCGAGATATAATCAATATTTATTTAATACTTTAAAATATAAACAAATTTTGGTATAAATAAAGATATATGAGATTTTTTTAGTACTTTCTATGTAATAACTCAAATCTCTAGCAGCAATTTACAGCGATCATCATTCATATTATTGAGACATCGATTTTTGCGATATCTAAATATTTTAAATACCACGTACAAAAATAATTATTAAAAAAAAAGAAAGATTGGTATTCTCATTTTGCGCGAAATTACTTTTGTATGAATGTGTTTTAAAATGGGACCTGAAGTACTGCGAGCGAAATATTGAAAAGAAATCAAAACGAGTTCTATATTGAAAGAAAATCGTTCATTTCACGCGACACCTTGATGCTGATCTCTGCAAAATTCTTACTCACAAGGTATTTTCCACGCCCCCGGTATTCGCCTGACTAAGAACCTGTGTGAGCGCCTTCGGTTTCAACATATTTTCGCTTTAGATACGAGCGCAATTTCTAACGAATCCTACTTAATTATTATATATACATATGCACACATAAATGTATATTATTGCAACGTGTGTGGAATTTATCTCGATTTCCGCGAGCTTACACGTCTTTCGTCGTTCCTGCGCGTTCCACGATCAGCTGTTATCGTCGAATCAACAAACTGTCAGAGAACGAGAGAGGCGAGGGGAAGGACGTGATGAGTCAGGCGGGAGGAGGAGGGGAAATACGGTCATACAATTGCTATTTCTCGAGACATGCGACTTCGCTTTTCCACGATATCACGTGTAAAGTTTGTTCTTCGCAGGATGCGTTCCGTTTCATGTATGATGCAGAGAGATGATGTATCATTTTATTTCTAATCCTAGCCAGCGCAATAGAGCTCGAAAACTCTCGTCGATACGCGGAGAACACGTTGAGCAAAGAGGTGGCACGGAATCCTAACCAGCGTGCGTATCGACAGAGGCTTGTTGGTAAGGTGAAAAACTGCTGAGCGAAGAGGCACGGAATCCTGGACAGCGGGCCTTGTCAAAAGCTCGAAAACTCCCGCCGATACGCGGAGAACATGTTGAGCGAAGAGGTGACACGGAATCCTACTAATCCTAGCCAGCGCGCCTCGATATAAAGGCTCGAAAACTCCCGCCGATACGCGGAGAACACGTTGAGCAAAGAGGTGACATGGAATCCTACTAATCCTAGCCAGCGTGCCTCGATATAGAGGCTTGAAAACTCTCGCCGATACGCGGAGAACACGTTGAGCAAAGAGGTGGCACGGAATCCTACTAATCCTAGCCAGCGCGCCTCGATATAATAGCTCGAAAACTCCCGCCGATACGCGGAGAACACGTTGAGTAAAGAGGTGGCACGGAATCCTAACCAGCGTACGTATCGACAGAGGCTTGTTGGTAAGATGAAAAACTACTGAGCGAAGAGGCACGGAATCCTGGACAGCGGGCCTCGTCAGAAGCTCGAAAACTCCCGCCGATACGCGGAGAACATGTTGAGCGAAGAGGTGACACGGAATTCTACTAATCCTAGCCAGCGCGCCTCGATATAAAGGCTCGAAAACTTCCGTCGATACGCGGAGAACACGTTGAGTAAAGAGGTGGCACGGAATCCTAACCAGCGCGCGTATCGACAGAGGCTTGTCGGTAAGGCGGAAAGCTGTTAAGGGAAGAGGCACAGAATCTCCCACTCTCATACGGCGCGTAGGCCCCGCCTCTTAGCGCAAAAGCAGCATATATGCGTGGGTGGGGGCAGCGGCTCCTCCTCCATGGCGCGCTGGCGGTCTCCGCCCCGAATACCTCTGCCACCTACTTGTTAACGTGCGCTCCTGATACTTTATTCGATTTAAACGAAGTTTCTGACGCTGCGAAAACCGGCTTTTGCTTAACCTCTCATCTTTATATGTACTTTTAACAATATTTATGATCCTTTGTGCATCTCCACAGATGCGTAATTAAATTTAAACTATTATTTAATTATAATGTAACATTAAAATTACTCCAAATTTAATTTAATTATTTAATTATAATTATAATTATTTAATATCTATTGATTATATAGTATAATTACGTATAAGGCGCAGCAACTTATTTCTTACGATAAAACATAATAAACACTGAAAATCGTTCGTTAATTATTATGTAACAAAAATGTTCTAGAATATTTTATTAATAAAATCTTCTCGAGAAATCACGCCTATCCCGTCGGCATTTGGAGCTTCCTCTTTTTCGTTGATTATTACCATGCAACAATATTTTAAATTATTTTATCGTTTAATTCTTTTCAAGGTAGTATGCAGGACTAGCATTAAAGAATACAAGGATTGCAGATATATTGGTAATAATTAATCCAGCGTGTTGCTTTTCGGAGCTTCGTCGAGCCCCTATCGGATCACATTGCGCCTATTCTCTCCCGTCGGCACTTGGATAGACGTGGTACGTAGTTTCTGTTTTGAAAACATGGACGTGGTGAGCTAGTGTACGGGGGAGATCGCCGGTCCACGGCCCACGCAAAAGGTCAGCGTGGCCGCTCTCACGTCGCTTCTCTCTGGTATAACCAATCATAATGCTTAATCAGCATTTTACATAGCTACGGCATAAATCACGTGAGTCTGACGTCTACTTGTGAAAATTCTCGTAGGTCGATTTATTTATAGCGCATATATATGTTAAATATATTTTTAGAGAGAAATCAGAAAATCACGAGTCATTGTCGATTTCGAGAAATTTCGAGAAACGGCCCCCGAGTGGCGCCATCCGCAGCTGCCTTGCGAGTCGTGACAGATTACGCAGCACCTAGCATCCATTCTAGTTAGTCTATCGTGGTCGTCGTGGTCGAGCGGTTAGCTGCATCAAGTCGGCAGGATTTTGCGAGTCTTTTGCTATTCTATTTTTACGTGAGAAGAAAGAAAAGAAGGAATTGAGAAAGATGCCACGACGTGGACGTGCCGCCGCTCCTCCTCCAAGAACGTGAGTATAACGTAACTCCAACGCGGTGAGGCAACGAGGTTCGTCGTGACGTGAACGTCATTAGCGCTCTCGCGTTACATCACGTGTCGCAAAGTTCACCGCATCTTCGACGCAGAACCTCAAATGTCGTCCCTTTCCTCCGCGAACGCGGTGTCGAATGCGAGCCCTCTGAAAACCTCGGCCTCGTTTACAGCGTCAGACGGAGCTCACCCGCGCCCGCGCCAGCCCCGTCCCGAGTGCCAGCCCATGCCCCGCCGGCCGCGACGTCGCCCATGGTGGCCCAGCCGCAGCAGGGCCCGTCCCTCATGGGTCAGATGGCTGCCACCGCTGGCGGCGTCGCCATAGGATCCGCCGTGGGGCACACCATCGGTCACGCCATGACCGGACTCTTCAGCGGGGGCAGCGAGGCTGCCGCTCCCGAAGTTAGTGCCGCAGCCCCGCAGGCTGCTGCCCCTGCAGCACCAGCCGCCGGCGCCTGTGCCTGGGAGGTCAAGCAGTTCCTGGAATGCGCTCAAAACCAATCTGACCTGAGCCTCTGCGATGGCTTCAACGAGGCGCTACGTCAATGCAAAATGGCCAACAGTCAGTAAATCTTGCTCTCTTTGTCGCTGTCACTTGCCTTAGTATTATTCTTATGGTCATAGACCGTGTAAAGCTACTGCTCTTTCTCTCTAATTGTTTTATGTATTTCTACGTTTTCAGATATCATGTAAATTGTGGCGAATCTAGAAATGTCTAGGAGAAATTGTACGAGCTCTACGTCCTGTAGACCGCTTATGGAAATTTCTGTTTATTTGTACCGTTGTTAAACATAGTTATAAGATAAAATAGTCCAGATCAATCATGTTAAAACGTCCTAATCCTAAAGGACAGCAATAAACTATGTTTGTTTAAATTCTTGTAGTTGACAGGTGCCCTTAATCTTTCCTGAATTAATGAAGATATATGTTATATAGTGTGATTGATGAATAAATAATAAATATACATGCACAATTAAATTATGTCTTAATTTTGTTTGTTAATGACAAAATTATAAAATTTAGAAATCGCATCAGTTTTTTGAGAATTTAGATATATTTGGAAACATTAAAATCCATTAAAATGGCAAATAAAATGAGCAATAAATAGACAATGGCTCACAGTTTTTTCCCCACTTTATATTACAATACATTAAACAAATAATTTATTACAGAAGATGAAAATAGCTTTTATAAGATGATACATTAGGATGGGGATTCGACAAATAAAAACTTCGGTATTCTGACCAGAACCAAGTAAGCGCATCTCTACACGAAAGTATTTGCACTTTACCACATAGTTTTCTCTAATACTTAGCTATTGTATATTTCGAAAATTAGTGTGTGCTTTATGAATATATATATATATTTATATATTTGTCCTATATAACGCGGTTATCTATAATACGGCTTTCTCGTTTACTCGACAAGGAGAGGCAGTTAAACACGCACAAGTAGCACGAGTATGGTAAGACTATCTTTTCTCAGTATTCAATACGCGCATCATCACGTAGCCGGCGATCGTGGCGATCGCGATTCCCAGTCCTGCTTTCCACCAGACCAGCGAGTCCCCCTGCATTAGGCCGAATTGATTTATATGCCTGAAATGTCGAAGCACAAAATTCGTTGTTACTCAACCGAAAGAAATTCCGAATATTCTAGTATGATAAAACTACAATGTCGTACTCTCACATTTTGATTTATATTCAGCGACGTATACAGCGAGCAATACAGAGACACAAATACCGATAAAATTCCAAATCAAACTGACAGTGAAGTTTTATCATACAATTGAACATTAAATCGAAAAGAAAATCTTTTCTGTTAGAGAGTATTTAGATATATGTACAAAAGCGATTTTGAATCGACAGAAAATTCGTGAGAGATTCGTTGCGTGTCGCATGCACATGCTTGAACGAAATAAAGAAAAAAAGCGGTATATACGCTATTAAGCTAATGACTTAATGACATTGGGTGGGCGCCACAAGGAAGAAACAAGCAGTAATATGAAATAAAACCTTGTGAAAGAACTCCACCACGGAGAGGGTAAGGATTCGACAAGCAACATGTGGATTGTACGCCTCATATGGCTGAAAAGAGCCAATAATATTGTAACGTATACGTTTTTTTTATCCGTGCGATGACATTTTTTAATATGAGCAAATCGCCCGGCACATTTAACAGATGGAGAAGATGGAGTTAACTCCAGTGAGAGGCACATGCATCGAGAGAGGAATGTAATAATGACGATGAATTGAATGCAGTTTTCACGATTTGTTCAAGCTTCTAGATTTTTACAGTGTGAAATTGAAATTCGGACCAACCTGTCTCGGTAAAATAATACCCACGCTCCTTGAAAGCGGCTAAACACGAAATATCTCATTGTTAATACCGAATTATCTTCCTTTGCTTTTCTTTTTCTTTGTTTTTTGTTTAATATTACGCTGTCTTTCTTTAAATTAAATTACAAGAAAAAATAAACGAGGAGAGGGTGCGGCGCGAAACGCTAATCTGTCGTCTGAAAGTAACTTTACGATGGGGGTACCGTACGAAAGAAGAAATAAGCGGAAAAGCTCTAAAAAATCTCGTTGCGTAATCTATACTTTCAGATATGTCAGCTACAAAGAAAAATATTATCTATCGTCTGTAAATCGAGGAAGAGCCCGAGATCCGTCCGACAGTTTCATTATAATGCTATCTCTTAAACTGTAATAGCTAAAAACTTACGGGAAGGCTGCCATCGTGGCTAACTTAACGAAGATCTCACGCCGGATTGTCCGCGAGATGCTGTACGGCTGCGGAGGCATCAGTTTGTACTTGCTGCAGAAGGCGGCCGGTTGCAACAGATAATTCTGCTTCATCTCGGAAAGGTCACTTTTATTCGCTACTATCAGAACAGGAATCTTACTGTCGGCAAAGTATTTCTGCAAAGACATTATCGTGAATATATTTATAGATTATTGCAGCGGACGCGAGAAGACGCGGAGTGCTTACGATGTAAATGCGCGCTATGTACTCGAACGACTTCGGATTACTAGCGTCGTAAACAAGTGCAGCCGCATCGCATTGTATTTCCGCCGGCGTTAAGGCATCCTGAACGTTCAGCACGTTGATATCCTTCAGTACCATGGTTTTCTCCTGCCCGTACACATGCAACGTATTCACAGTAATGTGAGCGTTCGACGGTACCACCTTGTCATTCAGCTTCTGCAATTTCGTAATAAAGAGATATACATATATATATAATCGCGATAGTGATATGTTCTTTGATTAACAATTGTAATCAACATTGATTTACCTCGAGTTTGGGGTCGATAAGAGTCCTGCACAACGTAGTCTTTCCGCTGCTCTTCGGTCCTATAACGTGACAGGTATAAACATTCCTACTGGATTGCTTCTTCGCCAGATCTACCTTCTTCTCGCGGGTCACGACAACGGCGCTCGTTTGACACTCGTTGTGATACATGTTGTATCCTAGGTACGCCATGTACTCCAAGGTTTTACGCACGTTTGTCAGTGTCAGCAATGCCCACTGGCACATGTAACCTTGGAACGTGATCCATCCCTGTGAACATATTGCACACACGCCAAATTAAGTTACTTTTGAAATATACATCTGTTTTCTTGTCATTTAATATTTCATATCGATTTACTTCATACGAGTTTTTCAAATTCTAACAAGTAATAATTGCGAGCGATTACCTTTTCGTTCGTGGATACGGTATGCTTGTATTCATCGCCCCACGGTGGGAAAAGACATCGCGAGAACAGCGACTCCATTTCTAAGGGAGAGAGAGCTCCGTCGCGATCGCGATCGTGCTGCATAAACAGTAACGTTAGAAACTCTTGTCCCTTGTGCGATAATTCCGTACTGCAGCCCAGTGGGACTTTCAACCTGCAAATCGACGTTAGTCAGTGACATATTGGAAGAACCATAAGTGCGGCACTGTGACCTTTATACATACGAAGGATGGATATATTCTTTTGACATTTGCAGCTCATTGTCATATCCGAATTTCCTTAACACAGCCCAAGTCGTTTCGTTCCTTCCGCGTTGTATGAATAAACATTGTAAGTACATAAAACCTACATAGATAATTGCAATTAATATAAGTTCGCGTATATTGCGTTCAGCACTTTTTTTTTATATTGAAATAATTGAAATATTCACCTTTCATCGTGACACATCCGTTACATATACCGTCGCAAATGTTTTTCGACAAAACGGCTTTTACGTCCTCCAGTACCTGCGGTTGTAACGGCGTGTTGAAGCACCACTGCTGAAACGCGTTCAACTCCATATCGTTTAAAAGTCCGTCGTTATCTACATCGCATATCTGTATTGGAGAAAAAAAAAATAATATAGTTTATGTCATATTATTAATTTTTTGCACATTCTTATATATATATATATATATATATATATATATAATACATACTTTAAAAATTCGCTGTAGGGCAGTTTTGCACTCTTCTGTGAGCTGGAATAATAATGGAATTGAATTAAAAACGAACTTAAATTAAAGGGAAACGTGACAGATATCTCACCTCCTGTGTATCGTAATTGTACAAAGGTGTAGTCGGATGCAGAACTGCCTTTTGTGCATAATAAAACGTTTCCGAAACATTCTGAAGTGTTTTTGCCGAGCACTGAAAAGAGATGTATATATATATATTTCACTTTTTTTCGTACGCTTTTCCCATTTTTCTTATCTACCGGTCAAACACCATCTTACCTCTATGCAGCTTTCAATCTCCGTGAACTCTTTCATGATTGGATATACAGCCTGGAATTGCAAAAGCAAGAGTCATTAACACAGACGTGCTAAACAAGCATAACTACTTAAGCCTTCTTAAAAAACTGCAAACCTCTATGGTGGAATAATCCACGAGATCAATCTTATTGCCTACAAGCACAACCGGACATCGATTGTCGGGTGAGCATCTTCTGATTAACGGTAGCCAGTAGCTGGCAGCTCTGTCCAGAGTATCCTCGTCGTCCACGGAGTAAACTACGCATATCACGTGCGCCTTTTGGATCTCCTCTGCCAGTTGATCCTCTGTTTGTTCCACCGCTACAAACAACGCCAAGTTAACACAGTTATTACTTTTTGGCTCTAAACAATAAGACAGTTATAGGAGAAAATATGACTGACGTAATAAATTCTCTGACAAAATACTCAATCATGTTTAGATGTCTCTTAATTGTCAATGCAATACTTGGCAATACAGATTTGGCGAAAAGAGAGAGAAATACAGAGGGACGCGCACAAGCTACTCGAGGAGACATACCTGAGTAATCGACTATATGCGTCGGCACCTGCTCCGGCGTGACGTCCGCCGGTATCGTGATCTCCTCGGCCTTACTCGGAACCTCCTCCGCGTACTCCTCGCTCACGAGGGACAGTATCAGGGAGGTCTTGCCGACGCCGCGCTCGCCGATCAGCAGTATCCTGACGTTGCGCCGAGGCGCGACCGGGCGTTGCACCATGCCTGCCCGGTTGTACCGCTCCAACAACGGCGTTCAATCCCTCGCGGACGGCATCCTCGCTTCGCGCACGGATGGTGCCTCGCGGTGACCGGAGTATAACCTGCAACGCACAGCCGCGAACGCGCCAACAACACCGCGCGGCACCAGCCTTGACGACCTCTATTTCACGTTGACATTTTATTTAACGGCGAGGACGACGATCACACCACACCGCACTCTCCCTTTCGCTATCTTCTTTAGTATTTTGCGGCGCGTGTATCGTCCCGTACGAAGCGATCGGTCCCGCACTTTGCTTCATCGACGCTTCATCGAGATCAGCTCCGATCGTCGCTGCTGGAGACTAAGCAAACCCCGGCGAATTCGGTGGACTAAAGTAGTAACGCTCTCCGGGGGTGGCCTTTTCAAGGTTACCTATGCCACCGCAATGAATGATGCCGTGTATATGTGTGCACGTGTAGGTTGGAGCCTTTGAGTATATGTACATACACTCAGAGGAAGGAGCGGTGTGTGTGCGCGCGCAAAGATCTGTACATTATACATTTGCCCTTTGCGCTTGATTTCTCTCTAACGTACAGCAGATAAGGAAGGTATTTTCGCACGTGTGTGCAGTGTGTGTGTCTCGATCTGCGAATTAATTTAATCAATTTAATGCGAAAAAATTCTCTTGTATATAGAGCGAAGCGTACGTCGAGAAATCGAGAGAAAAGTTCCTTCCAACCGGAGCTTTTAATTTTCAAAATCTATATATCCCTCATCGAAGATTTTCCTGTTTATTCCCGAGAATCTCGCAAGATACAAAATATCCTCACTTAATTTTTAGGCTTTTCTCTTGATTTTTTGATACGCTAATCATTTCTGGTAATAAATCAACGCGCAGGAAATTAGAACGGAAATAAGAATATACGATTCGATTGGAGAACTTTCTCGCTTCTTTTTCTTCTTCTCTTTGAGAAGACACTCGACTTTTTCGAATTGATATGGCCAGGTATATTGTTGCCAATAATCGATTTGAATAAATATACGAAATCGTTGTATGTATATATCAATTAACAATATTTGTTTAGTGTAAGCAAAAAAAAAAGCGGTCAATTCCGTTAGAACTTTTAAAAATTCTTGGTCCACACTCGGTGGCTTATTTCTCTAATCACCGTCATCAAAAACTTTCTCGTAAGATATATTGGAGCATGTAACCTGATCGGATCGCGCCTTACGATTTACAATTAAATTTTATTAACGCATGCGTGTCCCTCGTTGACTGTGTTATTGTTTAGAAATCTGCTCTGATCTGCTCGTCGAGAAGGTTGGATTGATTCCGATGTACGCGCCGTAATTAACGCACGTGGACGTTTTCTGCACTGCACGTTGATAATATCGATCAGCTGGACGATTTGACAAAGTTTAACCTGTCAAGCCAACCGGCAATTTATCACCGGCTTCCCGACTGGCGGACGACTGGCAAATGTTGCACGCGACTCGAGCCTCAGCCTCAGCTCTCCTGACCGTGTTGATGCTACTTTGCATAGCGAGGAGTATCCGTGCCCAGGTTTATCAGAACATGTCAAGTTTCGCCGGAGTGCATTCTGTGGCCTACGTCACGGTGCCGGACGACGCAGTTGCGAAGAGATTAGCGCGGTAAGAGTTTGCGACGTTAAAATTTAAAAAATGCTTGTTAACACGATTATCGCGTTGGCGATTCTTTAACACGCGACCTCTCTCTTTTTCATGAAGCGGTCTGGTTGAGAATAAGCTCGCTGCCTGCGTTAATATCATCCCGCAACTCACCTCTATGTAAGTTTCTCGTCATTCATTATATATATATAGTTTAGACAAATTGAAAAATTATTTTCCCAACAGTTTCGAGGAAGAATTTCAATATTATATCTCTTCTCTCATTCACAGATATGAATGGGAAGGAAAGATTCAGGAGGAGCCTGAACTTCTGTTGGTAAGAAAAAGATCTATCGAGCTTTGCATTCAATCAATGCAGAAACAGATTTATTGATCGTCTGTTTATACTTGTAGATGATAAAAACCAGAACGGAGAAAATAGACGCTCTAACAAAATATGTCAAGTGAGTTAAGCATAGCTAATGTGTATCTATTTTAAAATTATGGCAACTTTTGTAATTTGATCTTTTTACAGAGAGAATCATCCATATACAGTTTGTGAAGTAATTTCTTTGCCCGTAAGTTAATTCACATGTTTTATTCTGCTAAAATAACTGTCTGTGGTATTTTTAATACAGTCAGAAAAACAAAACAGAATAGTAATAGTCTTAGAACATATATTACTATATATGTTCTAAGGTAATAGTTCAATAGTAACTAACAACATAATATAATACTGAATAAATACACAAAATGTAAATTTTATAATTAAATACACAAATTTGGTAAATCTTTTTATTTTAGATACAAAATGGAAACAGCGATTACCTAAAGTGGATTAGCGATGTGGTGCCACCACTTGATAAAAATGCTTAAGATAATTAAGATATATAAGTATGAATGATCGATAATTCATCAGTAAATTCATTACTTCACGCATATTTCTTCTTCAAGCTGAGTTAAGAATAAAAACCTAGTTGTAACATACATGCAATAAACAATCTAGAGAACGTGAGAGATTTGCATTTGCAAATTCTTCATTTACATTAGAATATGTTAATTATTACAGTGAATTCGATTGGACGCCCTAGTGCGCACTCAGGACACATTAATACCGTTATACAACGTTCTAATTTCAATGTAAAAGTATCTAAAATAATAAAATGCTCAATACATATTTTACAAAATAATATAATAACGTATTAAGAATTTTGCTCCGTTTAATTCGTTCTTATATTTATATTAAATAAATATTTTTACATTGATTTATATATAACGGTTTTAATGTGCCTTGAGTGCGCACTAATACGTCCGAATTCGCTATTGGACATGCTCAGTGACAATATTAATAAATCTATCCATAAAAAATAAACATACCGCTCATTTTGCTATAACGATTCAATTTGTTTTTTTAAAATTGCTTACAGAAAAAGAATGAAGACAAGAAACATATTTTAAAAGAAAATACTTTTACTCCTATACAATCAGTTATTAAACCAAAATCCGTGAGCTCTATAGTATTTTGGAGCGAACCATTGAGGAGTAGAAAATGTCCCAATTCCTAGACAAATGATATTTATATAAAGATTGTACTACTCTCTTTTTTTTATTAGCTAATACTGTTTTACTATGTAGGAAAAAATCAAAAATACAAATTTTGTGTTGCTTTCCTTTTCTCCATCAAACCACAGTTGTTTATAGTTGAGTGTAGGAAACGCTCCAGTATACTATAGAGCTCACTGATCAAAATCGATATTAGAAATTTTAATACAAAACATTCGAATTCATTTTCTGGAAAACTTTGCTTTTTAAATTGTGTCGTGACTACGGCAAATGAGCAATATATTTATCTACTCTTAAACATGATTTTGTATGTTTATGTTGTACTATGAAATATAAATGTATAATTTTCACGTGGTATTTTAAAAACAACACATTAAACCTTCCTACATGACAAATAAATTTTAAGGCTCCTGACTATTCAGTCTCGCGCATTGATGGTGATAACATTATCACGGTAAGAATTAGAATCTTGTTCATCATACTAAGTTTTACAACACGTTCTCAATAAATTGATAATTTATCAAGAATTTACGGTTTAATTTTTGCAAATTAAACCGTGCGTAGATTCTCATTAGTCCCCTCCTTTTATTATTTGAAATTTTAAAATTTTTGAGTCTAATTTACTTTTAAAAATTGTGACGTCACAGTTCCGATATAGTCACGGTAATTTAAGTCAGAAGCCTTAAGATACTGATATAAACATCAGCTTACTTCTATATAAAACATTTAACTAATTAATTTGTAACTAAGTATCTGAATCGACTGGAGTGTTACAAACAATTGAGATAATGCCAACATGGTCAAAAGCGGATCTTGGTGCTTAATAATCTTAAAATATGTGAATGTTACAATTTTCAGTTCATGTAAAATAAAATTCACATATAAGATTATTAAGCATCAAGATCCATTTTGGACTATGTTGACATTCTCAATTAATTAATTTATTATTTATTCTGGTCGAATACAAATAATTTGCATTGTGCAGTACTTTAAATCTTCATATAAAATAATTGACAATTTTTTACGATTTGCATTACAAAAAGTTACGTCAGAACTATATACTGTGTATATGTGTGTTATATATTATATAAAAAATATAATTTCCAAATTAAAATTGCCAATTTATTTATAAACCAAAAATATTCTCAAAAACGACGAATCTCCAGGTGTACTACATTCCGTACATAAAACATTTAACTAATTAATTTATTATTTATTCTGCTCGAATATAATTCGCATTGTGCAGTATTTTAAATTCTGATTTAAAATAATTGATAATGTTTTACGATTTGCAAAGAGCTACGTCAGAGTTATACATAGGCTGCGATCCGATTCATTCTCACAACGCTTTTGGAATCATTTTATCCTTGTTAATCGAATATTAAATAAAGACAAATGATGCTCACGAGCACTGTGAGCGTAAATCAGATCGCAGCCATATTGTGTACATATTATATATTATATAAAAAATATTATTTCCAAATTAGAAATGTCAATTTACTCATTATCGACAGCCCTTTTTTTGTCCCTAAATATGAGCCTCTCTTAACGTATCAAAGTTAGAGGAATTTAACTATTTCCCTATCACGCTGGCCTATCAGTGTGGGTTAATAGGGGGATTTATTCATAGATGAAAAATCTTCTCAAAAATATTGCGCACACTCCAGATCGTACATTCCAACCAATTCCGAGTCTGAATATACGATCTGGATTGTGTGTAATCGAAGATGACATTACTGTTCGCCCTTGTAGCCAGGATAAATTAGTAATAACGCAGATGACAACGTCTGATTAATTTTCATATCGTAAGTTTTACCTAAATAATGCCGACATATAGGACAGAAGTAAATCTCAGAAGCAAAGCTCCGTTTTAAACATTTTAAGCAGATGTTGTGTCCGCAGGTAGTCGTTACAGGATCGTAAAGTATTCCAAGGCAGCAAACGCACTTAAATCTGTAAAATACAAAATTGTATTGTCAAGTGTCAGGTTGATTATTCAAAGTTATTTAAAAGGGCCTAATATTTTTTTAAAAGAATAGTACCTCTCTGAAACACACTCCAAGAAGGCAGGTTTCCCATCGATCAACGTTGCTCTACATTCGGCCCACAAATTTGCATTTACTTCATCGTCTTCTATTAAACTCTTTAATTCATCCTCCAAATCAAAAGTTTGCTTAAGTTGCTTAGACCTCCTAGACTTCTTACTGGCTATATTGTCCAGTGACTGTTCGTCATCGATAGCAGGTCGTTTCTTAGCTGTGACTGAATTCGATGTCTTTACTGAATCGAGATATCCATCAGGATACAACATCTTCAAACCAAGAAAAGCGATTCTCTCTTTTCCTTCTTTGGTCCATGGTGCAGGAGTGGGATCATCTCTTCTTAATACATACTTCCACATGATAAAGCCGTTGCTTGTGTCCGGGTAATATTTTACCACTTTATATATACCATCGTATCTGTGACAAGAGAGATTAAAGATTATTTAAAAAATAAATAGAGTGCCATACTATATATGTATTTTTATCAACGCGTTTAGAAAGTATACCTATTCCCTTCCTTTGGTGCATATTTACTAAATTTCCCTAACTTGTAATTGCGCACGACTCGAACTGGTTTCCCTAGCATCCAATTGCTTTTAGTGGCCGCCGCGCCAATTTTATCATTTACAGAAGCATTACAATTCTTAGCTAATGCCAAATTCATCCGGGTTAGTGTCTGGTCCTTGCTTTGTTCGTGGTTGGTTCTTTTGTTACCTGTATTCATTAAAAAAAAAAAAAATACAAATATGCACGTATGTATGTGTATTAATTACACATAGACGAATTTTGTGATTGCAGGACTCTGATAAGCAACAATTATTTTTAATTTTGTATACGATACCTGACAGATCTCTACCACCCGAACCGCTGTATAAAAATTCATCACCATTGTCATAGTCCTCCTCGTATCCGCCCGATAAAACAATAGAATATGCAAAATCCTTTTCTCGTCCATGGATGCCAGCTACGGGCGGTCTATGCACTCCCGCTTCCGAAACCTGAACAAATATTTCTTTTTCATATTCATTCCACAAATTCATCGAGACACTATGTGCAATCTAGAATTTTTCTCTACCTGAATTCTAAACATCCAAGTCGTACCAACGTCCACACCCGGAATTGGTCCGCAATGATTTTCGGGTACCAAGTAGCACACTTTTTGTCTCCGGACACACGCCATTCCGCCACCCCAATTTCGTTCATTTTTGTCACGGACTAACTTCTTTTTTGTTTGCTTCAATTTGTCTCCTGCCTACAATTAACGTAAGAGAATGGTAATGGCAATGATAATGAAAATTGTGACAAAATAATCAATAAAGGTATATGTGTACCTTGACAATTTCATTTTCATCATTCTTGCATTCAGGGCAATACCAATACGCTTCCTTTGGCAATTCCAGGAGCGGTGGATTCAGACATTTTGTATGATACATATCATTGCACTCGTCGCAAATCAAAAGCGTATCCTCGTCCTCCTTGCCTGCACAGCTTGTACAGCCGCATGATCGACACTGCATATCAGGATTGTCCTCGCACTCGTCACAAGCAGGGGCTACACGTCTATATTTGCCATTACTTATCATGAATCGCTCGTCTTCTGCAGTTCTCTCTGTTAACAACTTGGGTGCTTCTATCGCATATATTTCTTCTCTGACTTTCTTTCGAATGCAAAGTTCATTGTTGCTGTTGAAACAAAAAATTTATTCAAATTAAAATTTTTTTGTATGATTTTAGACTCTGCATTTGGTATTTTATTATTTTGTTTTATTATTTTGTGTACCAATACGATAATGACAAAACGAAAACGTACCTGTTGATATGCAATTGTCCAACCAGCTCTTTCAATCGTCTCTTTTCCACTACATCAATTATAGTGAAATCGAACCACAGTCCAATTTTATCGGGACTATCTATATCATAATTAATCATAACTTTTTGACCAACAGATAATTCTTCAAACGGTATAACATGTCGCGCGCGTGGTCGTACAAATTCTTCAGATATGTTGGATGGACAGATTACGTTATCACACTCCCATAGTATTTTATAAAGCAGTTCATCTCCCTTTTTATAAATATTTTTTATAATAGCTTCAAACCAGGAACCAGTTCTTTCATCAATACAATCAACTGCATCACCAATTTTATAATATAAACTTTCAGCTTCTTCCAATTCTTCTTCTTCTACCTCACTCACTTTTTCTTCTTTGGTACTTTCTTCATTGGTAGAAGTTACTTGTTTCTCAACATTATCTACCTCTGTCTTTATCATAAGCAATATGATATCATTGAAGTTGATATTGTAATTATCAAGGTGGTAGCCATTTTCTAATTGCTTCCCGGAAAAAAATAACCGTTGCAAGTCCTTTTCAATATGCAGCTGTTTTTCAACTTCATCCTGAAAGACAAAAAAATATTCTTATAAACGTATATTTTATTAAATACTTGTAGTTAAATCATATCATATTTCAGCATATGAATAAATATTTTTGCTAGAAATGTAATCATATTATTAAACTAAAATATGGCGACCATATTCAGTGATAAAGGAGCATCTCTTTTGACCGTGATCAAATGGGTGCCACTTGACAATAACAAAGTTAATAACAATAAATAATAATTGATGAATAACCAGTGACTTATGTGACTAATTATTATTAGTCATATATCTCCTTGGCTGAAAAAATGCGTTACAAAAGACAAGTGACTTGACGCTACGGCACCACTCATGGCACTCATTTGCAGGTTTCGAAAATAATAAGTCAATTAACGATACCTTTAAATTTTCCACCGTAGTGAGTTTGTTGATCTTGACCGATATTTTCTTCTTCCCATCTATGGTCTTCACTTTGATGGACATGTCTAACGGAATAAAGTTATTAGGTGAAAGAGAGATAATGTACAGTTCTGGACCACTGGGCCACTGAATGAAGGCGATAACGATGAACTTAACGGACGACGTTGAATATTGAAAAGAGAGAATTTATGTAGGAGGTTAAGAGGATAAATGAGAGAGGCAAACTTAATTTGCTTATATTAATAATTTGTACACCACTTTGCCCTCTGCATACGCTACACCACTATTCGTCGCCACTATCCATGACAGTGACACTACTGACACAATTGACAGTTCTGATGAGCGATCGTTGATCGTTAGACCGGTTAGACCAACTTTGGCGGGAACACTGAACACAGGTACGAGAGCATCTATTACTGTCTACTACCGCGACAACAAGGAACAGATGGAGGGAAAGTCTGGCGTGTTATTCGTCGATGTGTTTTTAAACGGTTAAACGGAGAGAAACTTGGGAGAGAGAGGACATAACCGCAAAATGTCTTAAGCGCACCAACGCCACCTGAAGAAATGGATGTGAACTACGTAGCAACAAATTCCCCTTTTCTGCACCGTGGGTATACAATTTGTGATGCGTGTCGATCGCGTGAATATCCACTTTTTGAGACTTTATATTCGCTCGACGATGCCAAGTTTCAAAAACACAACATATATCGGTATACCAGCAGTCTGGAAAAGTGGAAGAAGTATATGGACACGCACCCTCAAATATGTATACCCGCGGTGCAGAAAAGTGGGATGTGTTGCTACGCAGTTCACATCCATTTCGTCAGGTGGCGTTAGTGCGCGAGGGCAGTTCGCGATAGCATGGAAAAGGCCGTCATGTCCTCTTCAGGTCGATCAGGTTTCTCTCTCTGTAGGGGCCGGGGGGGCGGGGAAGTGAAGGATCGCGCCGGAAACGGCAGACGGCGCGTACCGCGTTCACCGGATGTACGTCGAGTGTCGAAACAGCAATTCGACACCTGCCGACACCGTCGTGACTGTTCCTCGGGTGGGAGGGTCGCGTGCCGCCGCCCGCCGCCGTTCGTCTTTCCGCGCGCGGCCGGGAATAAATGCGCGCGAGTGTCGCGGATCGCGCGGCCGTCCCCGCGATCGCCCGCGACGCCGCGGCGCCGCGCTTGACGCCGCGAGTGCTCGTCGACGGTGACGCCGTCGCCATGTTTGTTGTGTAGTTTCGGAGGGATGATAAGCGGGCACGCGAGACGGCGTCCGGGGGATTTTGAATGAGACGCGTGTGTGAGCCGCGGCCGCGTTACGTCCGTTCCGTGCCGGCGTGCGAGCGCGCCGGCCGCCGCCGACTCGCCGCGGATTATGGTAAGCAACCGCCGGGGGTGCCCGTGACGCCCGGCCGGCCCGCGCCGCGGCCCGGCCGCCGATTTTCGCGCCGGATTTTCAGGTGTCCCTACGATTGCCTCGCTCCCGTGGTTCGTCGCCTCCCACCCCCTCCCCCTCCATCCCCCCTCGCTCCGACTCCGATCTCGTCACTCATCGCCGTTGCCGTTGCCGCCGTCGCCGCCGCGGCCGTTGCGGTGCGACGTAACGTCGCACTTTCAAATAATCCTTGCGCGTTTTCGCCAAGGGTGACAACGAGTGGCTCTCCATCTCCGATTTTAAGAATCCGTCGACCGGCGTGAAACCGTCTCCCGGCGAAGCCGCCGCGACGACGCGACGTATCGAGGCAGTGGGCCGCATGTAAATCGATATACGGTTCGCTCGTATGTGTATGTGCGTGTGCGTATGTGTATCGGCGTACGTTGTACACGGACGCGTGTGTCTATATACGCAGCGGATACGTCGCGCGCGTGTTAAGTACTTAAGTGTGTGTATGTGTGTGTAATTCGAGCGCGCGCGTACCCTCACGCACACAAACGCGCTTCCGGAACGCCCCTTTTTATGAAACGATCGAACTTCTTTCCCGCGCGATCTTACCCGGCGCGAAACGTCCCGCGCGCCGACGTCTCGTAAGATCTCGTCTCTTTGAAACATCACCTCGCGGCCCGCGACTCCTCCGTCCGTTTGCTCCAGTTTGCTCCTAGCTTCCACATATGTATTTGCGATCCTCGAACAGATCCGAAATCTCAGGTCAATAACTATGAATAACGATTTCTGACGCGTTTGCAACGTGTGCCTCACGTTTTAGTCATTTTGCAATGTCGCGATAAAAAAATAAAAATTTTAATTAGATACTTTTAGCAGGGAAAACCTGATTTTAGTAAAAATTTTCGAGAAAAGTGATTTTCGCGGAAGCAATGTAATTTTAAAATAAATGTTTTATATTAGGTGGAGCTTGTTAGACGCGTTTTATTTAGGTTTACATTGTCTATTGATAGGAACTTATCAAGATTGGTATTGTGCCGTTTCAGGACACTTAACAACTTCGTTGAAATGTGGCTGAGAAGTGAGCGGATTAGCAGGAGATTGCGTGGCCGTTTAAGTTTGAGCGGTGTAACGGCGTCAAAGGCAACCGGTCACCGAGCGCAAGTCACTACAGCAAGAAAAGTACAACACATTAGTAACAGTAGTCGAGTAATAACGTCAAATAAATGCAGCCGATTGAGTCAGTGGCGACGTAGATCATCCAGTTTTCTAAAAGAAGTAAGTTGAATGTATTATGTTTACAAAGCTAACATGACAGGATTTAAAGTAACATTCTTTATTCGTATTGTATTCGTCAAATGATGATGCATTACGATATTGTCACTATGCTTTTGTAATCTAAACTAAAAAAAATTGTTACTTTTTTTCGTAGGCTTGTAAAGAAAATGTTTTACACTTTGCCAAATCCACACCTATCAGACGGGAAAGAGGACCTCGTAGAAGAAAATGCATAAAACGTTCGATGGTTACGTCGACCCCTTTGCATCGTGCTCCACCAATAGACGCAGTTATTGTAAATTGCTCTATGATAATAGTTATGTGTTATATCCAGTGCCGTAACTGGCTGCTATCTTTGCGCTTGGTACGAGCTCAAAATTTTGGGTCTCCCCCCAGACTCACGATTGCGCCCGATGCGGCGGCACCGGTCTAGTTACGACACTGGTTATATCTGAAAAATATCTGAATTATCACAATGTAATATGCGTGCATTGTTTCTAGTCCGCTAAAAACGCGTCGCCGTCTAAAGTTTCGGAGGAGTCCAAGGAAAACTGGAATGGCGGATCCACTTTGCCTCTCTGCTCGTCAGTAACAAACACGGATTCGCGTAGTTTGATGATACCACCGATACATGACTTGAAATCTTCCGTACCGAGTGTATCTTCATTGACGTGTCTAATGCCTCCGGTATCCTTAGGATCACAATCGGATCTCACATGCTTGCTTGACGATGAAGGAAGCAAGAACAATGGTACAGTTACACTATGCTTATGCAAATGTTGGAATTATGTTAAATTGATTAATGTCAAATTATATTTCTACGTTTTCCCTTTCTTTTTTTTTTACAGATACTACACTACCATCATCGTTACACTATTCCTCCTTATACGCGCATGCCGAAACGTCATCTGCGGAATATTACAGTTTGATGCACTCAACGTCGATATACAACGTCCGTACCGCGTACAACACGTCCGACAAATACTTTCCGAACGGAGGAAAGTATTCGCTAATCGATAACAATGAAAACCGCAGTGATCTCCCAAAAGATCAATATGCTATTGAAACAGACCCAACAAAATATGAAACAACTGCTGGATATCCCAGTACAAAATACAGTATACCAGCAAGTATGTACAATATAAATCCTCATCATCCATCCGATACGAACGGCAATCTTAGTGACAAATATGATTCCGAGGACGTCGACAGTCGTTATCACGAGGTTGAATACATGGAGGTGGGTAGCGAGGAGATAGTAGAATCTTGCGATGTAGAGAACATGGTTACTCAAGTTCAGGAGGATTGGGAGCCGTTCGATCCTTACGTCTTCATCAAGCACTTGCCGCCTCTTACGCCAGCGATGAGAGCAAGATGTCCGGCTCTGCCACTCAAAACACGGAGCAGCCCGGAATTCAGTCTGGTCCTGGACTTGGTATGCTCGCCCCACATACACGTATACACAAGAAATACACATACACGGAGATAGAAGTTTGAACATATAAATTTGTACACCCATTTATATAGCATATTCGTGTCTAAATATTCAAACACATGATTCAGATTCTATCATCTAGAAAATTAATAGAATATAATATAATCAAGAAGATATACCATAATTTTGCAATAAGTTATATCATCCTACTTATATTGATTTTTTGTATGATAAAATTCATTAGCATTTCTCTCCATATACCTATACATTTACAACACAGGAGCGTGGTGCTTAACAGCTACATTTATCTATGACCCTTTTGCAGGATGAAACATTGGTTCACTGCAGTCTGCAAGAACTATCTGACGCGGCGTTTCGCTTCCCAGTAGTCTTTCAAGACGTAACGTATACGGTATTCGTTAGAACGCGACCGTACTTCCGCGAATTCCTCGAACACGTCTCGTCGCTCTACGAGGTGATCCTATTCACGGCGAGCAAGCGGGTGTACGCCAACAAACTAATGAATCTACTGGATCCAACACGGAAACTGATCAAATATCGTCTATTCAGGGAACACTGTGTCTGCGTTAATGGAAATTACATAAAGGATTTGTCCATTTTAGGCAGGGATCTATCTAAAACCGTAATTATTGACAACAGTCCGCAAGCTTTTGGATATCAGGTAACTTAATAGCTTGTCATTTATATATATATATATATATATATATATATATATATATATAAATATATACCTGACACAATAATAAAATATATTTAAAAAAATCATGTTTTGTTACAGCTAGAAAATGGTATACCTATAGAAAGTTGGTTTGCCGATCGTTCAGATAACGAGCTAATGAAGTTATTACCGTTTTTAGAAAATCTGGTAAATTGGGTAAGTTCTTATTTTATAATCAGATATATGTATATTTATCATTATAAAGAGTATACAGTTATTCATTAATTTTTCAATTATTTTTGTCACAGGGAGGTGACGTAAGGCCGCGCATTAGAGAACAGTTCCGACTATTCAGCTTTTTACCGCCGGATTAATTTGAATAGTGTACACAAAATTTAAGGTTGCTGAAATATCTTGCAATCAACAAAAAAAAAAAAGAGAAAATACAAAATATCTTAAAGATACTGAGGATAGATAAATAATAATAGTTATTCCGCGATGCGTAGCATAAGCCGCTATAATATAACATTACAATGTTTCACAAATGAATATGCCTGTTGGTATATAGAGATGAAATTATATAAATACTTCTAGATCTTTGGAATTAATGTTCTGATTTATTGTTCGCAAAAAAAAAAGTATAAAGGAAGGTGTTACATACACACGTGCGATTTTGTTAGTACATTTGTTTGGACTTTAAAGTCTCAAGTTAAAAAGAATCAAATGTCAAGAAAAGAATATCACTAAACATAGTCTTGTGATTTACTGTATAGTTTCTATTAATACTTCCAAATGAATACCAAGTCTCTCCATGACGTGATTATATGACCTCTGTATATAATAGACTCGTATCTCTTACGTACAAAATATTTCACAATTTATTATCATAACAATACTTAAGAGCAATATGTATATAATTGGTAATTCATTATTTTTTCTGTATCATCAATATATGAAATTTACGACCTCAATTTGTTAATCTCGCGATTTGGGATTTTTTTAAATATTTAAAATTTGAGATATTAAAAATATTATTTAAAACTTTATTAACAATTTTTTTTATTTTTCTAAGCTGTTCTGATTTTATATTCTATTCTATGCTCTAATTGTGAAAAAAAATTGCTTATTATTTTTAAAGCAATTTTTTAAACTTTTACATTAGATTGCAATTCTTGAAAGTTCTTGAAAAAAAAAAATATATATATATATACGAAGATGTTAAGAATATCTGTCAATAATTGTATAATTATACGTATCATATAATTATATAATTATACACAATTACATGTGCTACACATTATAAATCTGTGTATAATTCATAGTATAAGGAGCATAGACCGAATTCAGTATCAAAAAGAACAGAGTTAGCAGCATAATGTAACAGAAAGCATCGCAGAAATCTTACATCTCGTAGTGTTTATCATAGTTTAAGATTATACTCACATTATGCACAAACACATTATAATAATAAAGCAAATCGATTGTTACTCGTGAAATTATTTGGATCACGTATAAGCCAATCACCCTGAAACGGTTTTTCTTTCTACGTCACGATTGCGAAAATGCCTCTTTATTTTGGATGTTATAATAAACTAGCTTTGTAATGTTTGTTATAGAAATAAAATTAACGAGAGATGATATAATATCAATAAAATGATGAAGAATGTAACATAAATAGACAGATTTCTCTTGATTTGCGTTTCAACGGTGCGATAACTGAAACGCTGGAGACAAGAAACATTTAATATAGACTCAAAGAAGGGTTGTATTCAAATTTGACATGCACAGTCATTACATATATACATGATTTACACATCGAAGATTACCTCTCCCGTATCTGCATGCAACAGACAAAAATGGAGATTGGTGTATTGACTAGAAAATTTTCCCCCTGATCTCTCCACATTACTGTACAACATCTACGACTATACTGTAATCTAACAACGCGCGCTTAATAATATACACTACATTATTAGTTACATACGTCAATAAAATAATTATAAATATATAGAAAGGTTATAAATATCACCAGGAACATTGATATGACATAATTGGCAGTATATCTTACGAAAACTTCACACCTAATCAATGAATCTTCCAAAACCGTACTTCAACATGCTTTGGCATGTTTATTGCCCGACATTGGGATATCACGTTTGAATTTAGTTTAGACAACGATCGCCGTTTGCTTTTAATTCGATATCCTCGGTACGGTTGGATCATTGGCTTAATTCTTGAACTCCAGCGTTTCATTAGTCTGACTGTCTATAGCTTGAGGAGAAAAAAAGCTGAAAAATGTTATGTGCAGTATTACGCATTTAAAAAACACTGTGTAAGTATCTCATGGAATGATCAACTTTAATATATATATTATATATATCTCATATGTTTATAACAACAGTCTAAAACATATTAAAGTGTACTACATGTCATGCTTCAACATTACTCGCACTTCAGATATATCCATCTTGCGACGAGAAAAAACAAGATATGACTGTCTTTGCCAACGACTTTATCTTACATGCCATTGAATTGAGAGCCATTTACTGGATGTTACAAAGATTTTCCTTCATATGGTCATTTTTAGTCACGTCGGTGGCAAAGCACAGGAACTTCAATTTATGATTAACGTAATCGGTGTATCGCAACTCGATGTATCTGAAGTCCGAGTAAAGTTCTATCTAATCCTCCGTACGCTGGAAATACCTAATCTCGATGCGTTTACAGAGATTCACAAGCTTCGGATGACCCTGAACGATCATAGCCAGCTTGTTGTCGAGTAACGGCGTCGTGATTATCGTGAATATGTGACCAAAAACCAAGGCGTCCAACTCGTTGGGTTTGCTACGTACATAATCATGCGAAAAGAATCTCGTCAAAATCGCATCTCGTAGTACAAATATATATAAATGTGTGTGGTATGTGTGTAAAATCATTACATATTTACTTAATAAGTTACGATATATATTTTATTAATTTATCGACAGTGTAAAAGAATGCTCGGAAAGGGGTGGGAGCGATTCAGGCTGCGATTGAAAGCCATCCCATAAAGTGTCCTTGGAGGATGACTCAATTATTTCAAACTCTTCCGCAATCTCGTTTTGTATTCCGAAACTAAAGTAGCGACGTTTGATTCTGAGCATGTGCTCGATAAGCTTAGGAAATTGACGGATCGTGGCGGCGACCTCTTGATTGGAGGGAAAGGAGGACGACGTGAGAGTGTAAATATGACCGTAGACTAGGGCATCGACTTCGGTAGGGCTTTAATGGAACAGGATTGTAATTTGTAAGTATTGCCAGTTAAATGAGAGCAACAAGTGAGAAGAGAAAATACAAAAACTACTCACTCTTTTCCAAAGAAAAATTCTTCGTCCGCTAGCCTCTCGGATAACGCTATGCAGCACTTCTTCACGTCGTCGAAAACCTCGTCCAAGCTTTTGTTGTACCAGCCGAGGACGCTGAGCTTTTTTATGACCTCTCGTCTCTTCTGCCAGTTCAGATAATGATTGAGCGGCCAGGGGTACACGCTTCCATGCCTCTGCTTCGTGAGCCCGTTCAAAATCGTCGGGTCCACCCAGCAAATGTACAGTTCCGCATTGACGAATACATTGTTAACGAGAGACTGGTACGCCCTCATGTCCACCTTGCCGGCGGGATCCAGATGATCGGACAGGCTAACCCCTTTACTCCCTATGTGTGCCACTATGCCGTCGAACTCGGATATCAATTTCGTGCCGCACTTGATGAAAGGCACGCGGCCGGACGGCGACATGAACTCCGCATTCTTCCTCGGCTCTATTTGAAAATCGAGCTGGCACATCTTGAGGAAGGCCTGCACCGCCAGACAGTTCGCGTTGTCGGGCAGCAGGATCTGCTCCACCTCGTACGGCTGATACAACGTGATCGGTTGTGGCCATGGCTCCTGAGCTGCGGCAAGAGAGTGCAAGATCGTTAGCGACCGCGCACACAAGGTGGTTCACCCACGTTCTCTAATGTAACACTTCTTACATAATCGGTATATTCGCGTATGCATATATACATGTGAAAAATTAACGAACGAAAAGCTACGACGCGAGGGAGAAAGCGGGACGACTGAAAGCAGAGGATACCGAGGGACGAGCGATTTCGTCCTTATTGATATTGACAAATTTTTACCGTGGCCGCGCGCGAAACCACGCGCGATCTTGTTTACAAGTTTTGTTGATGCAAGGTTAGAATCCCTCTGCGCGTGAGACCCGTGAAAAAAACGGTGATTTGGACAAACGTGACTTCCAAACGTTACCTTCCAATTCCACCGCGATCGAATCGCCCAGCAATACGTGTGGCATGTCTGGAGACAATCGTGCCCGTACGACAATGACGACGCTATCGTTTGCCTCGCCGCGGCTCAAGATACGTGAACCACTCGCGTATATAAAAGCGCCACGAGCGAGCAGTGATCAGAGGCGAACGTATATTGTACAGGCTCGCGCCTTCTCTATTATTACGATCTCATTATATTTATCTTACGCAAAATTAATTCGACAGAAATTAAAATCAAATTCATGGCAAATTCAACTAGACTTTGATTTAATTATATACATATATATATAATCAGCGATTATAACTTTAAATAGTACTCGCCGCGCGATAATTAAACGCGGCCTATATATAATTTCATTAACGTAAAATTGTTTATTGTGAAAAAAAGATTAATAGCGACAAATTAATGTAGTTACAATCGCCGATTAAATTAGGTAGTTTAATCGAAATAATCATTTTTACCATGTAGATTAATAAGACACCGATCGAGATTCTCTTTTGCAAAGATAATTCCGGCTTCTCCCGCGTCGACTCGAGATTTATCCTAAATAAATGACAAACAATTATATATTTATAAATTATAAAATCTTGTCTCTTATTTATAAAATTATATTAATTTTATTTTATATCGCATTATTTAATTGTAATATTATTCGTTGAAAAGTAATTAACCTTCGAGGACTTGCAGAGGCCGGACAGAAATACGTGCAGGACACGTGCGTGCAATGACAAATCATTTTTCTTTTCGACGTCTTGGAACTCGTTCCGATAAGAGTGCATGATTATACAAAAAGCTTTCCGGCTTTTGCTTCTTGACAAGATTTATGTTGTGAGATTTTCTGCCGTGATTATCCGGGTCGATAATTTTACGTTTCCCGCGCTTGAAAGTGAAATTGGCGAACAATTTAGACGTTGGAGATTGGAGAAAGAATAATGCAAAAGAGATATGCAATTAAGGGAATTCAGTGACAACGGACAAACTATGTAGATAATTAAGCCTAATTTTCCAGACAAAATTTTTCAACTTTCGTTACTGCGTATAATATACTTGATCGTTATATAATGACATCATTCATCAACGTGGTCAATACATAGGAATGTTCAGTTAATTAATCTATTAGATTAATCTTGTAAACGATTTTTTAACACAAGAGATTTGACGCGAGGCGTCATTAATTCACGGCGTGACAGATTCGATATTTGAAAAGATCGCTTCGAGATATAATATTAAGTTTAGAATGAAAACAGCTGATTGATTCATATATTATATGAACTTTATAGGATAATAGAAATTTTCGAGTTTTTGGAAACTATATACATATAACAACATCGTTTGAATATATATATTCGAATTATGTATATATATATAAAATTTTTATTTAAATTATACGTATAATTTTCAAATTACAAATAAAGTTTATATAACGCTCAAATTATATCAACTTTATTAGATAAATTTTAACATTTTTTAAAAATTTATAATTCGTATATATGGAGTATCGCGAATTTTATTACGTGTCTGTCGCGTTTTGCAATATTCTAGAAATAAACGTACGAGCGAGGGAAAAATTAATTCTCTCTCCAATCTAATTGTATAAGTAATCTGGAACAACAATCGATCGCGTGTTGCGGATTCATTTACCGTCTACGAACTCGTGGAGTACGATGTCAAGATCGATCGAATGGTGAGAACCCTTCCGGGTGGTCCGCGGTCGACGGGGTGGGTGGAAGGGGGAAGGGGATGGAGGGGAGCGCTCCGACATCGAAGCATATGTTTGTAATTGATCGCGATTAATTGCGGCGGACGATTGGCATGCGTGACGTTTGTCGCCACGCCGCCGTCACGGGATCTCGATTGGCCCGCCGAGACCGAAAATCGAATCAAATTCTATCGAGACAACTGCAGTGTATAACGTTTATTGCCGATACTGGATCCCGATTTCATGCATGATTAAATGCATGGAACCGTGTATTATAAGAGAAAAAAAAGAGAAGGAAAAGGAATAAAACAAGCAAGAAAAGATGAAAAAGTTGCAGTCGATTTAGCGCACAAACATCGTAATAAAGTTAGAGAAAAAGGCAAAACGGGTCGAAAAAACATTCGTATATATTCGTATTTTAATGACGGATCCCTAGCTGTTTCTTTTGGTTGTTGAAGATTTTTATGTTCTAAATCCGAATATATATACGAAGTTTTTTTTCAAGATCCCTGAAAACGATGAGCTTCTTTTCTACAGCGATCAAAAAGTGTCGTATTTGAGAGAGGAATAAGAATTTTGCAAATGGATCGAAGTAATTGTCATACAAGTTAATTAATTAAGAATATAGACAAGTCAAGATTAATCTATCTGCAACTCCGTTCTAAAAAGTATTGTTTATACACGTATCGACGTATAAAAATCATGATATATATTTATTATATATATATATATATAGGTATTTAATTAAATTAATATATATATGATCACAGAAAATCGAAAGAAATGTGTATTACATGCGGATCGTCGCGACGCGGCGAGTCCGTCGACGTCCTCTTCTTCAGCCTCCTCACGTTCGTCGCTTTCGCATGCATGTATGCGCCGCGTCCGCGGACTCCGCGCGTGTGTGCGTGCGAGATAGAGAAGCATCGCCGCGTTGCGCAAACGGCACGCCATCGGGGCCAACCGGCGGGCTGCCAGTCTACCTAAGTCCATCGTTCGCGCCGCGCCGTCATCTTCCTGCGCTACGTTCAGAGTGTACCGTACTTGTTGCTCCACGGAGCAACGCGCGCGGCGCAGTTTGTCGTGGGGAATAGACAAAGACGGGAGAGAGAAAGAGAGAGAGAAGGAGGGTGAAGAAGCAGCGGCCGGTCGTGTGAGAAGAGAAGAGAAGAGACGAGACGAGACGAGAAGAGAAGAGAAGAGAAGGGAAGGAAGCGGGAAAGAAAGGGAAGGCTACACGCACCGGCCACGCACGGCTCTCCACGCGACACTTCCGTGTCGCACGCGCGGACACGCAAGCCGGGTGAGAAATAGAGAGAGAGAGAGAGAGAGAGAGAGAGAAAAAAATATGTGCCTCGGTGGCGATCTAACGACGCTATGCGCCCGGTTCGCCTCGCCGTTGCTGTACGCGATCGTCACCGACGTACATACGTCGACACTCGACGGCAGGGCCGCCACGCCAGGCAGGCCTCGATCGAACGACGGCATGCATGTGAATGTATCCCTGGCGACCCCGCCGCGAGAGCTGCAAGCCCCTGGCCTTCCTAACCTAAATTCTAAATTCTGTCAGTCGGCGCCGCGCCGAACGGTAATGTCGTAGGAAGGAGAGGACGAGGAAGCGGAGAAGGAGGACGGCGACGAGGTTTCTCGTGCACGCTCGATCTCTCCGTCCTCTTCTCCTCTCTCTCTCTCTCTCTCTCTCTCACCTCCTTCCTGTCTCCCACCTTCGATTTTTTGATAGCTAAAAATACAGTTTTTGATGGGGGCTACGCCGCCGGACTATTTCGGCGTCGGCTCGTACTTTTCCGCGTTCCGCGAAGGTCCACCTCTCGCCCCGGCGCCCGAGGAAATCCTTCGGCGCGACCTGTCTTTTTTTTCCTCTCCTTGCGCGAAAAAAAAGGAGCTGCGCGGCAAAAGGGTAGTGCCCGGCGTTTCGATCGTAGCAACAATGCGGAGTCGAGATCTCGCGTTGATGATCGTTTGACCCGCGTCTAGCTTCATTGTTTACCGATCGTACATGTGGCACGGTATCTCGCCTCGTGTCGCGAACGCACGAGGATCGATGACAACGCACCAGCCGCGCGTATATCGTTGCGTGTTTACCGAGTCGGTGAACACGCTTATCGCCGTCAACGAAACACGATCGAAACGAAAAAAAAAAGAAAAGGCGCGAACCGAACACTGGCGTGCCGGTGTTGGTTGAATCGCCTCGCAGATATGAATGAACGCATGCATACCGGGAGATCGGATATCGGTTTATTTTTCATTGCGCGTTATCGGCGGCCGTATCACACACTCGCGGTTTATGGGAACCGATAATTATTCCTCCGTCGAAATAAAGCGATTGGAATATAGCCTTTAAATTTCAAACCAGACCGCTGATTAATACTTGGAAAATTTCCCGCGTTTTCAGGTGGATTCAATCACGGGGCTTTACATGCCGTTTCTACGCGAAGACAAAAAACGACAATCGTATGAATAAATAAGCCAACAAATTTTTCGCATTTTTTTTAGGTGGATATTTGGACGCAGAGTTTTTCCACGTCATCTCTTAATCGAGAATCTGCCGAGACAATATACGGAGTACGAAATGCGAGGAAGGAACGATTGTTCGCGAATAAGCCATCCTATTTGTCACGTTGAATCAAGAGCAGCGAAATCGGATAGATCCGAGCGCATAATGGAAAACAAAATCATCGCGCGTGGGACGACGCAGTTTAACTAAGCAGGCCGAGCCGTTTTCGGATTTTGCGATGGAACAAACCGCGCGTCGGTCGGTCCTTTTACAGAGACACGTAGTGTGCGGGAAACGCCACGTCTCTCTGGACTTACCTACGTGGCGCATTCACGTGCGCGCATATTTATTTTAATCTCTTTCGCGCTCTTTAATGCCGAACGGGGCTCGTCATCTCATGGGGAAGTTAATCGTTACTTTATATTTAGCCAGGTTCAGCCGCATAGTTTTATTGTGATGCGCGCACGAGAGCACGCTTTTAATATAGATTAGATGTATATATATATATACATGTGGCAAAAAGAATGAGTCAGGCAGCACACATTGCATAAGATGTCGCGGCTGGATGGGCCTATGCGTCCAGACTTAGCTGCAGATTACTTGTATCAATAAATGCGGCATTGGATAAATATCTGTTCGACAAACGTATTCCTCTCGTTTACTTGTTCGCTGGCTCGCTCGCTCGCTCGTCAATTTCAAAGAAACAATAACATTTAGGGAAAAAAATTTTGAAGTGTTTTTGCACGCTGTTCTTGTACACATATTCCTCGCATTTTTCTCGGTACCGGCCTTGTAATAATTTACTTTTTTATCGCACGAATTATTAATGCGAATCATCGAAACGTAACGAAAGCGAAGGCCGAACAATTTTCTAAATTAGTTTTGAGTTGTCTTATAAACGTTGTCACTTATAAAGGTACGCTTTGTTACATCTTGCCGTTTGCGAAACGCTTGCTGTTCGCGGCCGCATGTAATTGTAAGATAACGATGAAGCTATTGTGGCTCGTAAGTAGGATCGTCATGTAAGTAGAACAAACAAATCAAGTGGGGATGCAAAGTGATTCGAAACTCTTTCGTGTTGTAATCATAATAACTTCGCAATAATTACTTGTACTTGCTATTACAATTAAATTCACGGAAAAGAAAGAGAGCTGCTTGATGATAAGAAGCGCGCTAGGAGATATACTCTACGAGGAAACAAATATTAAAATGCTGTTATCACTATTATTATTTGATCGCTCGTACCGTACTATCTGGTTATACTTGACATTATCATGGAACTTGTGTAGATAATTGCTTCCTGCGCTATATGTTGTACGATTAGTAAATATATAAAATTAGTTTTCCCAACAAGTTCATTCAGTTGATACACGCGCGTTGAAACTTACAGTGCTTATCAATGCCATCGATAGCCAAAATGTTGGTGGTGTACATTCTAATGAATGTATGCTCTGCTTTCAGGAGGCTCACCATGTCTCATCATATCGTTACCGTATGCGTGGTGTGTGTACTGTGCGCCGCACACGTGCCTTGTTCGGCGCATACGAATTTATCGGCGATGCAGGCGTCGGACAATTCAACAAGTACCAAAAATCACTCGGATCCACACGCGCAGGGACAACAAGGGTTTTGGCCGATAAGATCTAAGACTGTAGATCCGTATCTGAAGAATCAACAGAAATACAATCCAAATAACGTCACTAGCAATAAGCGCGACGCTGTGAGATCTCGTAATAGTCTGCGACGCATCGACAGTAATAATAACACTATCTCGGTAACCGCTGATGCGACATCGACTGCATCGTACGATACTCATCTTAAGAAGCAGATGACAGAAAGCTTAAAGGGCGGCGGGAGTCCGCAGGACACACGGCCGTCCGTTGGGAGCGCGAACGCGTTTGTAAATTCAAGAGACGCGGAGCTCTTGGAGCGTCTGTCTCAAACGGAGTTGATGCCGGATGTCAAAGAACAGAAGTCTGCACAGTCTAGTGAAAATTTACGTACTGTTAATAAATCTAGATTAAAAAGAGACGTGAACGAGAGGTACTTCATGCAGAAGATCTTCGAGGCCTACGGCGATGGAACGAGTATAACTATGGAGGGTTTCGAGAAACTTGTCCGAAAACTAGGTCTACTAAGATTATTGACTGATGTATCGGAGGTGGATAACGGTGGCACTGATAGAAGTATGTACAAAAATTGAATTGTGTAATAAGAGCTAATACGCGTTAAAGGATTACATAGCGCGGACTTATCAAGAAAATCAACTTTGTACGTTACAGATAGTAAGAGTTTTCCAAGTAAAGGCCTACACGACACAGATAGTAAGAATAACAAGGAAAGGGTAAGATATACGCAATTTATCAGAATGGCATAATTCTCGGGAGTATAGAATTTTGCTTTAAAGTAAATTATACTGTAATTACATGCACAATATCGTCGATTCAGTGCGTTGACTTTTATTTCAGTGCTTAAATAGTCAAGAGTTACTGAGTACTGTCGCCCAAGATACGCATTACGTTTCCAACAGTAACGCGACGACATTGCCTAGCTGGCTCTTCGAACGCGTATGTCCGGTTCTTGTGTATCAATTAGCGGCCGAATCCAGTTCGGAGAGGAACGGCTGTATACGAGTACCCGAGAATTACAAGCCCGTCGTGCCAGTCGATAAGTTTTATACCACAGAGGATTCGGCGCGCAATACTGTAAAAGGTATACGGATGTAAACGAACGAACAAAATGTAACGTTCAATCTAATCTTGAAGACACGTCAGTTTCCTCGTTGTAGGAAAGCAATCAAAAAATGGTCTTTTACTTATTCCAGTTTGGGTATATTCAACAGTTAGTATTTTCGTAATTAGTCTTAGCGGGCTGCTCGGCGTAGCAGTAATTCCGATCATGGGAAAGAACTATTATCATCACGTGCTACAATTTCTAGTTGCGCTGGCCGTAGGTACTTTAACCGGTGATGCCTTTATCCATCTATTACCACACGCAAGTTTTTTTTTCATTCTATCAAGATGTTATATACGTTTTATCCACAGCGGAATAATAATATTTTAATATCACACAATAATCTCTCTCGGATCTGTAGGCGATGATGCCGCTTCATCAGCACGAACACGACGAACATGAGGAACATCACGACGAAAGCGCGTTATTAATTGATCATGCGAATCTACACAGCATGAACATGTGGAAAGGATTGGTCGCTATGATGGGCTTCGTGGTATTCTTCTTCACCGAAAAGGCGATAAATATGATATCCGAATGGTGGAAACATTGGCAGCATAGAAAAAAAGTATTAAAAAAAGCAAGTTTTATCTCGCTTTATCTCAACGCGTTATATAAATCGGTGAAATAAAATTGCAGTTACCTACGCGAGTGAGAGTGATGAGAGAGAGTGATGGCCCAAACAGTAATGTTGTCGGTGAAAAGCTGTGTAAACACAAGTACTCATCGTACCCGTATTGTTACGGCGAAATCGCTAGCGAAACTCAAGGTAACAGATGTTTTTTTTTTTTTTTTTTTTGTATTAAATGTAATGCATATTAAATTTCGGAGCTGCCTGAGCCATTCGCGTTTCGATCAAAACGGCAGCTTATATGTCAATAAATTCACGCCTGACGGCGTGATTTGAAAAGTAGAAATAATCAATGTAGAAATATATGTAGATAATCATCACACTCGCACTCGAATGAATCATCATGAAAGACCACCTATCATCGAGGAGGAGAAACCGTTGACGTCCAACTGTAATTCCGTCACGAAAATCGTGGCCGATGACATGGAGAAAAAACCAAAGGATGATTGGAGAATGGACGACCCGATCGAAAATGCTAAGAAAAGTGTCGATGGTGCCGATGTATCGTTAAATGAATCGGAGAGCTACACCGTCATAATACGCGAACACGAGACCAAACATCACGGCCATAGTCATTCCCACGGTAAAACGTTTTAAATAAGATTTTAAATTAATAAGATATAAATGATGTAATCTTACGCTATTCGTGCATATCTAACGGCACGAACGTTTTCGATTCCAGGCCACGTACACTCGGCCCCCGAATCAATGTCCAACGTGGCTTGGATGGTCGTAATGGGGGATGGTTTGCACAATTTTACGGATGGAATGGCTATCGGAGCGGCTTTCTCGGCAAACATCGCAGGTGGATTTTCCACGGCTATCGCTGTCCTCTGTCACGAGTTACCTCACGAACTTGGTACTTGTCCTGATTCACGATGGCGTATCTACAAACGTATAAATGTATAGTAATGCAATAATATGAATATTCTTCTACAGGTGACTTTGCGGTGCTACTAAAAGCGGGCATGAGTACCAAACGGGCTGTTTTTTATAATGTGCTATCTTCAGTGCTCTGTGTGTTAGGTATGATAAGTGGAATATTGTTGGGAAGTACTCCCGACGCCACCAGCTGGATATTCGCAGTTGCCGCTGGAATATTTATATATATAGCATTAGTAGACATGGTGCGTATATATTTCTCTCTGATACTACAAAGATTATACCTACATTAACTCGAGAAATGTTAATGAAACGCTAACCTCTTTCTCCTCAGGTACCAGAATTGACGTCGAGTCATTCCGCGGAAAGTGGTTCGCGATTGCAATGCGTTTGGCAAACTTTAGGCTTATCGACAGGCCTCGGGATTATGTTACTTATCGCCGCCTACGAGCACGATCTTAAACATATTTTCGACAATTAGATTTACTAGAGTAACTGCTTGTATTGATGTCATAAACGAAACTTCTTCCTATTACGTTGAAATTGTCAAATTATCTCTTTTGGATTTAATCTCGATTCTAGCAATTCTTTAGCACTTAATGGTTCAGTGAAAGTTGCTCTCTCTCTCTTCCTCTCTGCAGTAATTATTATTTCGTACATTTCGAAAGAAAGAACGTAATGGGAAGGCTACATAAATTAGATCGCAATTTAGATGAAGCGACAATATCCGAACTAGGATTGCCGGTAAAAGTACTTTAGAAAAACGAAAGAGCGTTGAATTTCTGAAGAAATAAGATTTCTATTAGACAGAGTACCAATAATCGAATTGTCAAACAATCGAATTACAAACTGTGTTAATTATTTCCGAACCAATCGTATTAAAGATATTTTCATGCTTTTTCTAAGATCAGCTTAAAAATACTCGTATCGAGTGAGCAAAATTAATTTTTCATCATGATAAGATAAATTTTAAATCGTGTAGTAGCTACATAAATAATCGTCAAGAGACTGAACGATTCTGAAATAGCAATTTTTTTCCCTTTTTTTACAAAGTTATTCGCATGTCAACAATGCCAGTTATTGTCATTGATTCACATTCATTGTTAAATGTACGATATTGATATAGTATCACGTATAGTATTATTTTACGAATGAAAGATTAATTTTGTACAAGTGCTCCGTGTAGATTACACGGACATAACGATTTAATACGACATTTCCAATCAACTAGCTGGAATAATGGTACGAGAGTTTACATGTGGTACATTACATTTAAGTATTGTTAGTTTGCAGCAAATTTGTGATAATTTTGCATAACCAGTTACTTACGAATCAATGTATATTTCATTATAGGTGTACAACTACATTATCGATACTTATAATATTCATCGTAATATTCTTGCAATTTAAATAGATCTATCACAATAAGAATGTAAATTTATTTTTTTAACTGTCTTGTTATATTTTTTTTACAAGAAAGTATAAACTGTGCTGCAAACGATCTCAAAAAAAGGTGTCTCACGAATAAACATGGCTTAAAAGAAGTATCATACATGACAATATTTGAGAAACTTGTATTTATGTTTATAATACACGAGTGTTTATTTTCGCCAAATATTAATGATAACGTTAATATTAATAATAACAGTAATGATAGTAATAATTTTAGGCTTTTATATACACTGTATTGAAACATTAAGAACTTTAATTTTTCTGACGTCGCCACTTTTACTTTATTGATTATGATGATGTGTGTATATTGGAATGCATTTAAATGTAGCAAGAAATTGTAGCTATGTAAAAAATTGTACACGTTGCTGATACATTGACTTTTCAAAAAATTATTGCTATTCTGTCGAAAATTTAATTTTATCCATCTTTTATACAGTATAAGTTCCTCTTCATTGTATATAATTAGTATTAATATTATGTAACCAATAACGCAGGCGTGCTATTTTGGTTATTTTTATAGAAAATGTAAAAATGTAAAGAGCGTTCTTGTAAAATCAATTTTGTTTATACATAATTGAGATTTGAACTGCGCTACTGAAATACAGATACAATAAGCTACATTTTTTGGATTTAAAAAAAAAGTTTGAATGATTTTGTTAATTGATATTCGAATGCGGCATTTTACTGGATATTCACAGATAATCTCTGAGATAATAAGATATTCGAGATATCCGAATATTCACAGCACCGCTAGTAAGAGCATCTCGCGTGGCAAAAATGATTAAGAAAACCCACCAATAGAAATTACATTGCTTCTCAATTATTTAAATAAATATTAATAAATTATAGAAACAATTTTGTTTGTCATATTCCCTGAAATTGAAGATAAATCTTTAGCGTTGCACAAAAGAATCATTGAAATCATAAAATCAATATTGATAACTTTCGATTACTTAAGAGAAAATACTTAAAACAATTAAATATATATAACAAGATTTTATAATAGTCTTTTGGCTCTATTTCTTCGATTATATACAAATATAATATTAACAAGTCAGTTTAAATAGTTCCATTACACGTGAAGTCCGTTGCACGTGTGTAATCAAACACTCGGTAGTTAAATTAGAAAACTGTGATTCTGAATAACAGAGAGTACTGTGACACTTTTATTAATCGCAGCGACATAACAGTAAAGATAAGTCCACTTTGAAAATCACGTAAAAATATCTCGTCATACAGAAACGAAATCATCCCGATCGCTCATCTGCGCTGACAAACTAAACGCCGTATCCGTGCTGGTCTCACTATTCAAGCTCTCATTCGCAAACGAAGGTTTTAAATTAGCGGAGTCGTTCATTTCCCTCATTAACCCCGCCATATCGTCGTCAGGATCAATTTCTTGCGCCTCGCCCACCACGTCGATTTCCATCGACTGATTGTCGGTCATCAATATTTCTTGTTTAATAGGTTTTTCCTCTTCAAACTGCAGAGACGAATGTAAGGTACAAAACCAGGTTCATAACCAGTTTCAGAAAGTCATTGGCGAGCGAACGTACCTTCATAGGCTCCAGCTTGCACGGTGACGGCAAGTTCATGTGAAATACGCAGTTGGAATCGAAGATCACTGGCACAGGTTCGTGACACTCGATGTCCGCTCGCACCGCTCCGCACGCTTTAAATAAAACTTGATGTTGATCCTGTAAACAGTATCGATCGAATGAAATTTAGAACTCTCCAAAATATGTTAATTACACATCTCTTTTATCCAGAAAGTAATAATATGAATGTGTACCTTCAGGATATGTTTACGACAGTGCTTAGCCGACGGAAGCGTTCTTTCGCCACATTTTACACCACCTTCGGTGAATACGCATTTGGATACATTGGGCGGTTTTTGAATAGGTTCAGTTACCTAAAGCATAATTTTTTTTCTTTATAACACAACCGACGTATGTCCTTTGAATATTAATGATATAAAGAATATTCGCGATATTACCTGTGCTCGACGTTCCAATGACTTCCTATAAAGTATCGCTTCAACACCGCTTCGTCTGTGATAGCGATTTAAAGCCTTCAGTTTCTCATAAAGCTTTTTCTCTTTTGCAGTTTCTTTCTTTTGACTGTGTATACTACCTATATATTGCATATAATTTATTTATCAGAAAATGTAAACAAAATTCTAAAATTATCTGAAATATACTTACATAATGTTTCCTTTTCCTTCTTCAGACCGAGCAAATATTTTCGTCTTTTCTCCTTTAGTACATACTGAAGCCTTCTAAATTGATCGATATAAAGAGACTGAAGCCTAATCAATTTTTCTCTCGCGATATAAATTACTTCTTCTGCAGTAAAGATGCCAGCATGCCTTAAAAAATTGATACTAATAATTCGGGGAGTAAGTAGTATCTTATCCTTGCGCATAAAGCAACTACAAAAAATTAGCTACATAATACAAACATGTATTTTTTTATTTTAAGAGGAAACATAATTATATGAAAATCTAGACAATAAAATAGAGCAAATCTATAATCACGAAATAATATAATGCAACAAAATCGCAAATGCAAAACAATCTTAATTATATTAAAGTACATAACGCACAGTATGATTTTTGAGAAAAGGGGAAATTTTAAAAAAGGGAAGAAGATATTATTAACATCAGTAACAGTTAAAATGTATACTCTTTTCAAATAAATTCTAATGTTAGATGGAAGTAATCAAAATGAGTAATATTTTTTTAAGTAAAAAGTTGCACAAGCTAAAGCATACGAGCAAATTACTCTAACGTTGTAATAGCACGCTAGATAATTTAAATACATGCATATACAACAAAGTTATGAAGCACACTTACTTAAGAGGGTCCTCTTGTGGACTATGTAAACTCTCATTGTCACTGTCATCGAGATAAGCTCTCAAGGTATCAGTGACAACTGTAGGTTCTACGTCACTTTCTGAGGAACTGGCATAATCTAAGATGTCACTTCCACTTGCATTTATTTTGTAAGCATCAACTTCGGCTGAAAACAATAATAACCTATTACACAACTTATTACAAAATTTATAAAAACAGAAAAGTAAAAGCAACTTTAAATATTTGTAAAAATCTAGGAAATGTATACAATAATGTATAATGCAATTATATTAGAATTTAGTAATGCTTACTGAAAGGATCTAAAGCTTTCACTTTTCGTTTTTCCTCTTCTGTATCTTCAGCACTGGAATTGACAGACTTGACATAATGGCTTAAATTAAGTAGCAACATCTCAGGTGTTTCTGGCAGGGAACGCCTTGATGTCGATTTAATCCGAGCAATTTGTGCTTTTCTAGAATGTTCACCGCAATAGCTACAAAAGATAAATGCACAGCTATTAATTTGTCTAAAAAAAAAGATGTTTTACAATCTTATCAGGCACAACAAAAGAAAAAATATATTTACGAAACATCTCTTCTGTCCAATTTTGGAGCTGGATTCTGACACTTTCTTCCATTAGTGTTATATACAAATGCACATTGTTTGTAAGGTGCACTAGAATCCTCCAGGATGTGCTTAGCGCAATATGAATAACCTTCTAGACAAGACTGCGTACATTCGTAGGACGCATAGAGGCAACTTTGAGTCTGTTTGGGACGTTTCGGAATTGTCGTTGCAGTGGATGCAGGCATCGTAGGCTTTGGTATCCGAAACATACCTTGGTTCTAGAAAATAAATACATAGTATTAATTTCAAATGAAATTGATTTAAGAAAGTAAATATGAAAGTATCTAAGTAGTAAGTGTTCCAAATTAGTCTACAGGTTTCTAAAAAGAAAAAAACATGGTTCCACTTTATCAGTGCATGTAATTGTAGTGTTCATAAAAATTTATATACTTTACAATATTACTTTATTATATTAAAAAATGCTGTTCCCATCCCTCGTTCCTAATTAATCCTGGACAATAGAAGCAAAAAAAAACTTACTGCGCAGCGAGAGATAATTTTCAGACGTCAGTTTTCGTCGAGAAACCGAAGAAACGTTTGTCCCGATGACCGACGGCCCCGGGACCCTTTATATTTGAGTAACTATTCTATTTACATATATTGAAAAAAATGCAGAAAGATTGGGATTAAGAAATTAAACCATAGACCACTGAACTAAGAAGAAGTATGGACTCAAGAGTTTCAGGACTGGCAATCACTGGCAATAAGCAAGATCGTGTTCATAGGCGCGTTCAATCCGTAGAGTGCGTTTCCACTGAGGGTGCCGTCCAATGGCAGAGATTTTTCATGTAACGCGTATTGTGTAACCAATCAGAAACGTTACGCGTTAGTCCAAATCCAAAGCGCCGAACAACGGTCGAATGCCGCGCCGGAAGTGCCATTAGCATGTTCCGTACTACGTGCCGAACAGTCTACAGACACGCCGTCGAAGCGCGCTTACGCGACGCGGCCGCGCTGGCCTCCGGAGGGCGACAGGAGGCGAGGCGACGCAACGTCGGAGAGGAGGCACACGTTCGCGCGGGGACGTGAATTCCCTGAAGGAAGAGCAAGCAAGGTGAAGACGTGGTCGACGTGGTACGATAACGCGCGGTTAGCCACGCGTGTTACGCAACGTGTGACGCGACCGATATCCTGTCGGTCGTTTTAGCACCATTTATCGGTACCGCGAGCGGCAGGGCGAGAGAGAGAGAGAGAGGCGCGAGATCTTCGGGGACGCGTGCCCGCACGTTCGGCCGACCACGATGATGCATCGCCTCCGCGAGATGCAGCGAAGGTTATGACGGCGTGTTCTCGTGGACGATCGTCTCGCGCACGAACGCGCGCGAATGATAATCGGATCTGAAGATACACGACGCTCCTTCCTCCCCCTTCATACATGTACATTCGACAACGGTGCCCGACCGACGTTGACGGAACGTCGCGGCTCGACGCCGTGCGCGGCGGCGTTTCCTCGCGAGCTTGGTGCGCAGAAGGCAGATTGAATAAAGTGGTGCGGTGGGAAATCGACAGCGAGTCACCGAGACTCCCTTGCTCATTCCAGGTAATTCGACCGGCCCAGTGGTCGCACGATCGACTCGAGGGTAACAAAGAGGAGAAACCTCGAGGCCCTCGGCGTCTTTGGGCGCACAGGGTGTTCGTGGGACACGTGCAAGGACGCTCAGTTCTTGCCGTGTCCAACAACCTACGTCTCGTCGCATCGCGTTGCGTCATTCGCGCCCATGGCGCCATTTTGGATAATTCGAGAACGAGCGGCGTGAACATAGCCGGCAGTGGCGGGACGTGACTCCAGTGCGCGCCCAAGTGCCGCACACTTCGTTCCTTCCCCCCCTCCCCCGCCGTCGAATTGCTCATACCACGTCAGAAGATTCCCGTCAGGAGTGTGCGTCGTTCAGGAATCACGGAAGAATCGTGTGTACATATAAATGGCGGCGGACGAAAGATGGTATTTCACAAGGGAACAGCTTGCGAACACGCCGAGCAGAAAATGCGGTGTCGACGGAGACAAGGAGTTGAGCTATCGGCAGCAGGCGGCGAATTTCATCCAGGACATGGGACAACGGCTTGTTGTGTATCCTTTTTGTCGCACGCGCACGATTTACGCGCGGTGTTCTAGTCGAGCGCGTTCTCCACGCTTCCAGATCAACTCGCCCCCCTACCTCCTCCTGCCGTTGTTGAGATTCTATCATCCGTCGTAATCTGACTTGGGCGGATGCCTAACCAGTGACGAGTGTTGGAAATGACTGCAAGAATCCATCTCCTGGAACATGCACGGCCCCCTCCTCCCTCCCCCCCGATCACGGTTAACGCATCCCTTTGCTCTGCGCGGCATGGACGGATGACATGCTGGGAATGGAGGATTCACCATATTGGAATCCCGTGCATCAAAGGTACCGTAAACGATGTTTGACAATTCCCACAGCAGTGAGGAAACTCAACTGATCGGGGATGCGGTATCTGGAGCGACACGTAAGTGTTGCTTGAAACACGTGTATGTATGCGCGCGCGTATACGTATGCATGTGTTGTTTGAATGGGATCTGATGGGATTCATCGAGCATCGGGACGGACTGATTTCAACAGAAAATGAACATCTCAAAAAGATTAAATGTCTTGCCTAAATCAAGCCTACAGATTTTGTTGCATACCTCTTTTTGATCACGTTTCATCTGTTTACATTTTGCATACAAAGTACAAGCAAACAAATACAAGCTCTACGAGTTCTAAATATATCTCTTCTAGGAACAAATGTCTACGCATTTAAGTTTCAATGTAGCACTATCTTTGTAGACTATTGTGTAACAAGCTTATGTGGACAATTTAAAAATGTGTGGAAAGTTTCATTCTGGTTTTTACTTAAAACTTTTGAAACTTCGAAAACTACATCTATTCCATTTATGTCATATTACAAAACTGCTTTTTTCGTTACATTTCAGCTAGCAAATTTCTTATATTAATATTTTTGTTTTATATATGTATATATATAAAACAAAATCCATAGATTTTTCTTGACAATAATGTGAATAATGTATACATTTCATTAAATTTCAGTATCCTCGTACCAAACGTTAAACTAAACTGTTATTAGGATGAAGAAGAACTGAGTTCATTAAATCGACTTTCCCACATGGCTGTAAACTGAAAATAAAATTCAAATAAATTATTTTATATATAAAGACTATTGTACCTTTTCTCTTTACGTTCTAATTTTACCATTTAATTTAATTCAAAGATCTGAAATTTTAAAGTAGTATGGAGCTTAAATTTTTTTTTTTCTTTATGTCTTTAATTTTGAAACTGTTTTTTTTATATTGAGTCATTTCAATTACCTTGTTGATAAAAAAACTGCAATTTAAGAAAAAGCTGAATTTTTCTTTATTATGTCTACAGAGATAGTACTGTGGATTGCGTATATATTTTTCTAGATTTTATTTAGAATAGAATATCGATCCCTTGTATTTAATTTATAATGCATCAGTATCTAAAAAATAATACAAAATATATCTAGCATATAATGCAGAATATTTCAAAATTACCAAAGATTTTGTCATTGTTTAATACAACTATTGTATAATGTATAAATTTGCACAAAGAAAAAACATTTTGCTACAAAGAACTCTGATATATCTTGAACAATTTAAAATATTCTGCTAAGTACTTTTTAATCATATGCTAATAGAAATAGAATTGTTTTACGGTACATTTGATACATAAGATTTCAATGGATCTTCTATTTCCCACATCGGTCATTTGTTCATGCTGTGTGGAGATTGCAATATATTCCCTTTTTAAAATTATTGTGAAAGCGATAGGACTTTTATTATATTTTTATTGAAGATAGATATTTTATCTATAGATTTTTTATCTATATTGTATCTATATAACATTTGTAAAAAAAATACTTTAAGAATTGCAGAGATAAGAATTATATTAATTTTTAAGAATGCTTTCTTGTTGCAGGAGTATTGAATATTAAAAATATATAAACATTTTTAATTTTCCTTAATAAAATATTAAAAATCAGATCGCAATTATGCATCAACACAGCTATTGTCTACATGCATCGGTTCTTCGTGTTCCACTCGCTGACGCATTTCCACAGGAATTCTATTGCAGTGGCAGCACTCTTTCTAGCGGCAAAGGTAGAGGAACAGCCAAGGAAATTAGAACATGTCATCAAAATGGCACATATGTGTCTCCACAGAGACTCAGCTCCACCTGAAACCAGGTCTGAGGTAAGAATTTCTATATTTTCAATTTATGGAAAATCTTTTTATGCATTCTTTATGTGACACAATTAGATTTTAATGATGTAACATTTGTATGTATTACTTGTAGTCATTTCTGGAGCAAGCGCAAGACCTGGTATTTAATGAGAATGTCCTCCTGCAGACATTAGGATTCGATGTTGCCATTGATCATCCACATACCCATGTTGTTAGATGTTGTCAACTAGTAAAAGGTACAGGTTAGGTTTTACAGTATACATATATCAATCAAGAGTTACGTCACGTTCTATTTTAAGAGGACACGTCCTGTAATCAGCCTGTTTTCAGCTACACTTCATTTATCTTTTCTCTTTTTTTTTTCTTTATGTTGTACAAGAAATTTAGCTGAAAATAATAGGTCTAATTTTATATTCTGTTCTCCATTCTTCCATCTTTTAAGAGAAACAGTAGATGTCTTACAGTTTTTGAATTTTAATCTTTAAGTTTCATATAAAGTAGAATATAATATTCAAATCTCGTTTGCAAATGAGAGAATCATTTATAAGAGAAATGGTTGTATAAAAAATAATTTAAACAACTCATTAATGTTAAGAATTCACATTATTATGTAAAGTTAAAGTTTAAAAGTAAAATATATATTTTATATATTATATATTTATATATTAATATATTATATATGTTTAATATAATATATATTTAATATATTACATATTTATATATCATATATATAAAATATATATTTTATATACAAGAAATGAAGGAAAATGTTAGTAATATATTATAATAAATGAAGTTTGTGGTATTTGTTAATCATACATTAATTCATACAATATGTTTTAATAATAATAAAAAAGAATTTAAAAATTGAATTTTTTTATTCTAGCGAGCAAAGACTTAGCTCAGACTTCGTATTTTATGGCATCTAACAGGTAACTATTCACTGTTTCAACATTACTACTTACTGATAATAGTACTTTATGGCTTCTTATTTTTTACAATACACCAAAATGTATAAATGTATAAATTGTCAGCTTAGAAATTCCACAGAGATTATCTCTCAAATATAGGATATAAGTGAAATTACATATAGAAATATCAGAGAAAGAATGAAAGTTTTATCTTTTTTTTTTTTTTTTTTAAGAATAATACAAAAATAATTTCGCTCTTAACAAATAATGATTTTGAACAATTTTAATCTGTATGTTTCTATTTGCAATAATAATAATAATAATAAATTACATTATTTCCATTCAGCAACTTGTTTTGCCATTTTTCTATGCATCTATGGTCTCGGGTTAACATGGACTATATTTGGATAGGCTCTAATTAATTATAATGTAATTTTTTATACGATTTCTTTTTTTTGCAGTCTCCATTTAACTACTATGTGTCTACAGTATAAACCGACAGTTGTAGCCTGTTTTTGCATACATCTCGCATGTAAATGGTCCAATTGGGAGGTAAGAGAAATATGTATCTTCTAAAAATCTTCCGCGCACACAAGTTGGTGCAATATGCTGATGTGCAATAATAAATTTAATATAAACATTATGAAATGATTCATGTCAAATGTATTACGTCTTTTGGATCGATTTTATGTCTATTTTGAGTTCTCTGAAATCGTATTAACATATACTTAATATTTTTTAAAATAATTTATTGTCCATGCACAGATACCGCAAAGTACGGAAGGGAGACAATGGTTTTGGTACGTGGATAGAACTGTAACTGGGGATCTACTTCAAGAACTCACAGACGAATTTCTTCATATATTTGATAAGTGTCCATCGAGATTAAAAAGAAAAATTATGAGCATCTCCGCGAATCAGAGCCCGAGCATTCATCATCCGAGTCTCCCGAATTCGCCATTTGTAAGTAAAACGCATGAATATGATTACGTTTTCGCGTTTTCTTTCTGTTATCTAAATCTACTCTCTGGACGAATTTTAACTCGTTACCTTTTTCTCTTTAGGATACCGAACCACGTCGCATACAATCTCCAGCAACATTGGATGGTGCCGCCGCCGCTGTTGTTGCTCATTTGAATCGTTCTCATCATGCGGCGGAAGGTGCCGCCGCTCATTCGAGCCGCTCTCATCATGCAGTGGAAGGTGCCGCAAGTACTTCCGCTGCTGTCGCTGCCCATTCAAGTCGCTCTCATCATGCGGCGGAGAGTGTCGCTTCTACCTCCACCGCCTCTGTTACTGCCCACTCGAGTCGCTCTCATCATACGACGGACGGCGCCGTTGCTCATTCGAGTCGTTCTCATCACGCAACAGACGCCACCGCTGCCCATTCGAGTCGCTCTCATCATGGCATGGATAGCGCCGTCGCCGCCGCTACTGCTGCCGCTGCCCATTCGAGTCGTTCTCATCAACAGGAGAAGCAGGATGAGAAGAAACCTATTGCAGGACCATTGAGAATATCAACCTCAGAATATCATCGAGATATTCGCGAGAAAAAGGAGCGAGAACGTTTAGAGCGAGAGAAGGCAGCCAGTGCTATTGGGTGCCATATCACCGATCCTAACAAGCTCCACCATTCGCACCATCATAAACCAGGGTCGAATGCAAGTATGCCGAGCAAACATCAGATGCCGTCTGTGCAAAAGAGCACTGGCCTTCATCATAATCATCATCATCGACCGGACATGAAGACCAGTCAACCGGTGCAGAGACACTCGGCTAGCAATCAACCTAATCGCGATCCGAACAGGCAACGATTGCTGAGAGAGCATGCCGGTACGGCCAGCACGAGCGCCGGTATAGCACACTCCTCGCATTCTCACGCCAATTTAGATAGTTCCTCGGCCGAATCCGTGCCTCATAGATTGGACAGTGGTGCCGTGCAGGATTCCGTATCCTTGCACAGTGGTTTGCAGGAGAAGATGAGTAATAATCACAGCGGACATAGACTGAACGCGCTTGATAACAAGCATCAGGCGCATGATAAGAGGTTGTACCGAGGGGAAGATCCAAGGCTCAAATCGGCCAAGTACGCAGATATGAATAGAATTGAGAATCGACGGAAAGCAGAAACGCTGGAGCAGAGATCGGAGGAAGTGCGGAAGCTGATCGAGAAGCCATTGCCGCCGCCGAAGACGGACGCACCGTATCTGATAAATGCGCAGCAGAAACAGCAGCCGCATCATACGAAGTACAATCAGCAGGAGCAGAAAGGTAGCTCTTTCACGGGTGAAATGAAGCATATGGCAACTGCTAGCCAAAATGTGCTTCCGCAGGGCACATCGCCAAGCGGTTCGTCATCGCAGAAATCCGCATCCGTTAAGACACAGATGTACAGTCAGCATACTGCACAGGGAGTATCCCAGATTTTAAAAGACACTATTAAAAACGGTAATTCCCAATCTTGTCTAAGCACATTGAACAATGCGGACGATACTAAATCGGACAAACGATCGCGATCGATCGTTCAAGAGGAATTTGCTGAGAGAAATTTCGCCGATGTGCAACAGGGCAATCTGCATACACCACCTGGCAAGCACAGATCGCTGTTCAGCCCGGAGCCGCCAATCGTGTCTAGAGACTCGCATGCGCAAGGCGCAAGGCCTAAATCGAAACAAAAGACGCCACCCTCCACAGCTGCGAAGCTAAAGGAACGCGTGTCACCGTTCGCGGGTTCTCCAACTCTGCAAGATTCGCTAAAACGATTGACCGCCAACGATAGCGCGGTGCCTGCGCATAAGAGAACCCGTGCGTCGAGTATCACCGAGAGCGAACAGCCGATGAAGATACCGAAAGTAGAAATCAAGACGGAAGATACGACCAGTTTGGAGGCGATGAAGATGCTCGGTCGCGTGCCCGACTTGATTCAACCGATACGCGACAATCCGTCGTCATCGAACGGCAGAAATAGCGCGTCGTCTGTCATTAACGATCTGAAACCACCGGAACTTATCAAACCATTCGAGTCGGATCAGCTTCGTTTCAACACGATGACGCAGCATAAAATTTCGTCGATGAATGTGACAGCACTGACTAATGGTATGGACCTCAATATAATAAAACAAGAGGTTCCGGAACCTCGCTCGAAGAGAGAGTTTTTAGAGCATTATATAAAGAAGGAACCAACGGGGCACAGAGCTCCAGAAGCAACGCACTCGCAGACGAAACTTGAGTACACGTCACCGATGAAGTCTGCGCAGAGTATAAGCGCGTTGCTCCAGGAGACACCGGCGCCGATGCCGTCGCTGTTGCAGGGACTGCAACAGCCTAACCAATTACCTACTCAGCAGGCGCATCAGGAACAACTGCATCACCAGCAGCATCAGCTACAGTCCATTCAGCATTCGTTGATGGATCATCAATTACCAGTGACGACTCATTGTTTGTCGATAGTGAGCGATAATTTCACGCCGATAGCTTCGACCGTCGATATCAGCGTTCTCTCGGATGTGTCGATGACGCTGCCAAGCAACAGCAGTATGGTGGAATTGACAGCGCCAGCAGCTTCCACGGTGACAGCTGTTCCAACGATCGAAGAGAAACGGTCCGAGCATCATAAGAGCGAGAAAAAGAAAAAGAAGGAAAAGCACAAGCACAAAGACAAGGAAAAGAGTAAAGAGAAGCACAAGCATAAGCACAAGGATAAAGATAAGGAGAAACATCGTGAGAAGAAGGATAAGGCAAAGAGCGAGGAGACGCCAGCGGCGGCGCCCATCAAAATTACGATTCCAAAGGACAAATTAAATCTGGGCACGGAAGCATCGCCGACCGTGGTCGGCGCAGGTACCGGCTTGTCAGACAAAAATATATCGCCGGGCCTGAAAATTAAGATCCCCAAGGAACGGCTCAAGGGCACGGATAGTGTGCCCAGTTCATCGCCTGCGCAGCCAACAATGGTACAGGGTCCGCTAAAAATCAAGATACGTACGGACGGCATCTCGAGGAGTTCCGCGACGGCGCCGCCGCCGTCGACGTCATCATCGAACGGTTCGAGCGGATTCTCGTACATGCAGTTCTCCTCTGAATCATCCGCGAACGATACGAGTCGGAAGCGTGAGCGACTAGAAATGATCGGCGACAGCTCGGGTAGCAGCGGTCTTCCGTCCACGAAGAAGCAGGTGCTGATACCGGCGACGGGTTATGGCCAGGGCCACCGACCCGGAGAACGGCAGAATGGCAGACATTATAACTCCGGCAGCAATAATAAGGTACGTGGTAGAGGCGTCCGTCAGCATCCCGGCGGTCGCGGTCCACCACCACATCACGCAGTTGCCGGTCAGCGCGGTAACGCTGGTGGTCAGTACCATCAGCGGGAGATTTACGGTAACGGTAACCGCGGCAACCGCGGTAGTCGCGGTCATCAACATTATCAAGCCCCTTATAACTCCCATCATCCCCCGGCCATTCGCGGCGACGTCGGCGGATACGCGAGAGGGACTGGCCGTGCTGACCAGAATACCGATTCGTATTTTTACGCTAATTATACATCAATATTTAATCCATCCGCCGGTTATGTGTACGATCCCGCCTATCAGCAGTACTATCAACAATTTCAACAATCCCAATATTCTATGTATCCGACAGGAAATAATTTGATAATGACGCCGGACGGCGCCATCAATACGTCAGTACCACCGCCGTCATTGCTCTCGAATCACCTTTTTCAAAATCAAAATATGATACAATCGGCTGCGTCCACTCGGCAGGAGGATGTACAATTGTTTCCTCCACCACCACCTCAACCACCACCATCGCCTCCTCCCTTGCCGAGTGGACCGCCACCTCCGCCACCGCCACCACCACCCCCTCCGTCAATGTCAGAATGATGGAACATTTTAATTTACATGTATATATGTACATATTGTATATTTGTATATCGTTGCGTTGAGATAAAAGAAAAAATATATCTATATGTACAAATTTTTGAAAAATGACACTAAAAAAATTAGAATTTTTTTATTTGTGTCATTTTTCTATCAATGTAACGATATATATTTTACATGTGTATATATACATACATACATACATACACGTGTATGTATATAGTTGTGCATATGTATATTTTTTACATGATTTATTTTACGTATGAAGCATTGGGTTGTTTGACAAGTTCGTAGTAAAATTTGAGAAAAATTCGAAGGTAATATATTTGTCAGAAGTAGCATTTGTTTGATATTCATCATGATTTTATGTTATTAATAATAGATAATATACTAGAACATTTTGTCATTCAGAAAAAAATCGGTTTTAAAATGATAAAATCACGCACAGTGCTTTTACCGATATCATCTTCATAAACATTTTTTTGGGGTGAAGGGGACTATGTAGCATTTTTACTCTTCTGATAGTAAAAGAACATTAAGTGCTGTGTATGTGTGAAAACGCATTTTCTTATCCTACATTTCTGAGCATCGTTAAACAAATACAATTCAAAAAATTTTAATATTTTTTATTTGAAATGATGCTCAGGCTTTTCAGATCATATATACCATTACAAAAAAGACAGTTGCTAAGGACATTAATATCAATATCTATTTTGAAACTACAAATTTTTCGAATAAACTAATATATTTATACAGATATAAAAAATTCATCTACGCTATAGAATTTACAATTAAATCGAGTCTGCTGAACGTAATAGAGAATAGAAATCTTTAGATTTGTTTTTTTTTACATGTATATATTTTTCATGTATATATCTTATATTAATTATTGGGTAGACATATTTTTCTTTAATTAAGTTTTCCATTACCATTTCGACGATGCGAAAGTCTGCTTCGTTTTGGACATTTTTATTGTTCTTCCCGTTCTTTCTTCTCTAAAATTAACGGATATACAGTTTATATCTGACAAAAGATAAGAAATAGTTTACAATCACTGAATGACATTTTCTTTGCTTTCTTATTCTTTTTGCTCTCCTGTAGCATTTTTGACTAAATTAAAGTGCTCTGAAAGCGATTAATTTCTATGAATTTGTTTGAAAATTTGTACATATAGATGTATATAATTTCTTTTTCTTATATGTAACGGTTCACAAATCGTAAATATATAAATAATTCATCAAAATTATTAGAGAATTTATGATTAAAAAGATTTAAAAAAGTACATATGAATAAAATCCTTCAACAATATAAAATTCTTTATATATATATGTAAATATATAGTACTTTTCTGTTGTGTAAATTCAGATTGTGGACATACAGAGTATTTTTATTATTTTTTAAATTAGTACATACTTATATGTAAATAATTAAAATGTATATATATATTTTTTAATTATATATTCATTATAAATATTCAAATATATATATTATTAATATATATATATATATTCTTTTTCTTATAGTCGGCGTTGAAATCTAACGCAAGACTTCCTTAATCGTTCTCTGAGCCTTCTATGTAAATCTATACAAATGTTATTAATTTTTTCCTTTCTCTTCGATTTTACGAAATAGTTTAGTAGAAATAGTAGCATGTCACATCTGTTTATTCTTTATCACCTGATTGCTTCGATCGTTTCTTCTTTCCGTACATGTCGGATAATACCCCACTGTAGAAAATCTTATAGACTACATTCCAAAACGTTGCTTTTGAGAAAAATTTTACTAAAAAGTTATAGCATACGTAACGTAAATTGCAGCTTTTTAATAAAATTTTCCTCGAAAACAACGTTTTGGAATGTAGCTCTAGTCGAATATGGCATCTCGTTCCAGTGCTTTGATTTTGTCGTAGTAAATCAATTCGGCATCAATTCGAAATTATCATTATTGTAAGAATATCAATTCGATAATCTGAATGCTTAGACATTTGCATGAAAATGTGTGCAAGTGTAGAATATCAATTGTAGAATTTGTGCAATCTTCGAGTTGCATACGATCGATTTCATCGAACCTTAATTTAAATTAAATTTAAGTGTTTGTAGGATTGATTTATGCACAACGATAGAAACTATTGATAGTATAATAATACAACGTATCTACGGTATTGTTTCGAAGCATCGTTATTTATTTCCTTTAAATTTTTTTTTTCACAATACAAAGTTAGTTTTCCATTGTAGTCAGCATGATCTACATATTGTAAGAGTTTGCTTCAGAAATCAGAAATACACCTGCTCTTGCTTGCTACTACTTTCTTTTTTATATATAGTGTATAAAATATAAAAAATAATACAAATAAATTATATAAATTAAAAATGAGCTATGGGAATAATCCTTGAATTTAAAAGAAGGATCTGTGCTTAATTAGAATGGATAGTAATTTTTGTCGATGATATTAGATTCTCTGAGATAAATTTATGTATTTATTTTCTTCCTGTGCAAATTTAAATACATTTTGTAAATTGTAATTATTTCACCTATTTTTAAAATGTACATTTAATTTTTCAGTCTTCAAAAAATTTCCTGTAGCCCTTGATGGTTGTTCGAAAAATCATATCTTTGATTAATGTTTGAATCGAAATCCCCGGTATTTTCGCGATTAGCCCTCGTTTTTTTTGCTCTGAAGAGAATCGAGAAGTAATATAGTCAAGATATAGGAAATTTTTTGAAAATTATTACTTTCTTAAAAGTTTCTATACGCGAGATATTTTTGCAGGCACCTCTTTCTCTGCATATAGTATATATATTGTTTAAGTTAATAATAATTAACTGTTGGACATATAAGAATCTTAGGGAAAACATCACAAGTTTGTTATAGAAGAGGAAAACCACGTTATAAAAGCTTGAAAAGAGAGACACTGCCACGTGTGATAGACGAAATATATTAGACGAAAATATAGCGGAGAAGCGATAAAGCGATATGATTTTCTATCGGCATCAGTTATTCCCGGAAAAAACTATTACTCGCGAAGATAGAAGCTTTCACTATTAGGGAATAGCAAGGAGTAATGCTAATTCTCCTAGCCGAGGGAGGTAAGCGATTACATTTTGATCACATAAACATCGACTTGTCCAAAATTATTGATTATTTCAATTAAATTTTGTGTATATTACTCGAACACACGAGATTTTGTGTATCTTTTATAGAACAATTATTAACTCAGGAATGTCGTATCGGATTAAATTATAATAATGCGATCGATACATTACGCTTGGAATATATTTTCTAAGAGTAAATGTATACGTATGTGCACATGTATACAATATTGTTTAAGAAATGTTATATATAGTATATAACGTGCAAGGAAGTGGTATTATACCGGAATCGTGAATGTGTCATTGTTAATTGTTATATTGTCACGATTACCACCGCTATTTCAATAGATATACGCAAACGACTGATTTGCGAAATGCAGTGGATCTATAATTATTAAGAGCATAGTTGATAATCTCATTTAATGATATAAAATGCTCTGTATATAGTTATATAATTTTTTCTTCCCGTGTAAACTCAAATACGCGCTTTGTTAATAGTACGATAAATTACTGTCTGATAATATCCTTTAAATTTGCAATAGATATATGTATTATATGTATACATATGTGTATATATATATATATATATATGTATATATACGTAAAAATTTACTGATCCCTGGGAGCTTATAAGGATTCACATTCACGTATTAATTTAATCTAAATCCTTATCCTTAATTTTTATATAGCATCTAAATTACTCTGGTGGACTTCGAGATAATAGATAAAGAAATAACTTTGAAAAAATACCAAAATAGCTAAAGATCAACGGGAAAATAATAAACAATTTCATATTTTCATATCTTGGAAAAAAGATTACTGTCCAGAATTAGTCATTAGTGAACGGCTCAATTTTTTGATCGAAAACTGTAGTTAGAAAATCTTTTTCTTCTGCGGATATTTTTTAAACATTTTTGGCCATCCTTACTTAATTCAGCTTTACTTAACTCATTAAATTACTATTTGACCTATACTATTACTAATTATGCTTCTGTTTGTATCTTAACACTTATTTTAAATTTTATTTGCATTCTACATACTTTTATTTTCTTTATATCTTTCTCTCTTCTCTTATGCCTCTAAATCTCCTCTTTCCTAGTGACGACAAACTTGTCATCACTGCTTTTGTCATTCTTTTCCTCATATGTGAGCTATAATACATATATACAAGATTATGTATGTTAAATATTTTTCTGATTTTCATTTTATATTTGACTTTCGATAACTATCGGAGCTTACACGGGACGAGATTATTTTAGGCATATATGTACGTTTAAACGCGGTTTTTTCTCACCGTGTTCACGTAGCTAGATATAAATCAAATTGAAGACCGTTATTAGTGTGTATTTATGTATTCGATATATTAAAAAATTCCGTTTCCGGAATGTGATATTTTATAATGCCGTGCTGAAGATTTTTCGACAGAAATCTCTCGTATGCTGCATGGGAAACATTGTTCTCAGGAAACTCGCGCGTCTTTTCTCTTATTTATCTTATAAACTGAAGATTAATGTACTAAGCGACTTGATCTCCACCAATTGTAACTCGATTTATTGCCAATACGACAATATGTGTGAACGTCGAAACCATGCACGGTGACGAAAACGCAAAAAAAGAAATGAAACTGCGTAAGCAAATTGTGCAATGACAATGATAATTGAAGAGCAGTAATAGAAAGACAAAATAATTGCTAAGGTAAATCTATAGTTTTTATATTCTGTGATCGTAAAATTTAAGAGAAAGACAAGAGTATATTATATATATATACATATATATATTATATAGCACTATACATCACTACTATATATCTTTTTCCTTAATTTTTTAATTAATTTAAAGAAGCTTTTTAAAGCTGATTTTCCTTCGTGAAAATCCTGTAATTTTTCTAGCAAATTAATGACATTAAAATCTTTTTTTAAATTAGAATTGTAATTAGAATTATAATTTATTTTAACAAAAATTTTGTTTAATTGAAATATGTAGTTAATTGGAAAGTTAATAAGTGATGACGGGAAATTTTCTTAACAAAATAGAGTAACTTGAAACCTGACATCAAGAGAATCTGTGATTGATAAGTAGCACAATAGACAGAGAAGACAAAGAAAGGGAGAGAGTGAGTGCGAGAGCGTGCGAGAGATAGAAAGAGAAAGCGAGAAAGAGAGAGATGATACACATATATATGTATATATTAAAGATGTAAGTACATAAATCTTCAGCGTTTTTCACAAAAGTTTTGATAATCGTATAAACACAAATTTTTTTTTTTTAGTACTCGAGATATCTTCCTTTATTTCGAGCCAGAATAGGAATTTTGTATTGTGTGTATTTCGTCTTAATAAAATGATTTAGATTTCGGATTAATGGAATTATCGACAAATCGGTGTACATCGATAATGCTTTTAAGCTGTTGTTAATTAACGAGTGTTGCATTTCGATTTAAAACGTGTAATTGTCACAAGGACATCGCGGTGCAAGCTCGCGCGTGAGCAGCGAATACGACACGAGTGAATTGAGAATTATAAATTTTAGGGTACAAATAACTCGCCAGATAAAAAAGACGAATATATATATGTGTAACGTGAACATTGCGTAAATTCTGTACACGATGTATATTCACCACTCGTCGCGTACGCTACCTGTCTTGAAGAGAAAGAGAAACGCAAAAGTTGAAATATACCGTCACCGTGAACCGTTTCGAAATATTTTAATTTATCTAATGATAAAAATTCATCTTTGATTCATTAAAATTAGAGTGGGAGATAGACGGTTTTAAATGAAGAACTTACACAGAATCATACAACAGGGATCGTACGCGTCGCGTGGTCAATAAAAAAGAAAAAAAAAGAAATATTAAAGCAACGCAAATAAACATACTATGCAAACGAAACGTACCTTAGTGATTATTTTGTCTTAATACCACACATGTTATATGTACATATGCAATATCGCACACCGTATCACAGCATATATATATCTATATATATATATATATATATATATATATATATATATATATATGTACTAACATCACGGCTCAGTATATATAGTACGAGTATCATATTGCGATAATTGCTGCATAAGTCACGCACGAAATGAATTCACCAAAAATCAACAAGCTAAGATTATTGGATATTGCTCGTGTCATTTGTTCTTGTTGCTTGGTGAAGGGTACATTATGACTACTACTCTCTACTTGCTAGTATTGTTAGAAGCAAGACATTACCGTTACCGCTGGATTATACTATCGCTGTTGTTACAATAGTGTTATTAATGTTTTGCGACGTATGTGCGTGCGAGCGTGCGTGTGTGTATGCCTTCATGATGAACGTGATGCTACGAGCATGCGCTTGCATGTTTTACACTTTTTTTTTGCATCCAAATATACTGCAATCTTCTATCTGCATGCGTAGAATTTACAAATAAACGCTTTTGCTAGTTTACCTTAATTCTATATTTTGTTGTTGGCTCGCAAAATCAAGGAAAGATCGGAAACACAGGAAGCAGATACATCATAAAAGTTCCAATATTCTAATCTTTTTTCGCTCGCGCTGCGAATTATAATCAATTTGTTAGTTATATATCATTATGTACATCATGCTTTTTGACTGTAAGATACCATACGCTAAAATTAATTTAAGATAATTGTTTCATAAGCTCTATTCCATCTATCAATTCATTTGAAATTCGAATTCTTGTGGAAAAGAATGTTAAAAGATTTACAGGATTGAAGAAAAATACGAGTTTACGCTATTTAGCTATAAAAATGTAAAAATTGAGTCATTTATTTTGATAATTTTGTTGAAAACAGAAAAAAACGCCAAAGCGTTTAGATTCGTACTTCCCCTTCATAAGATTTAAAGTCTCGATTCTCGCGAACAGCGCATCGTATCCTCAAAATAATAGACTCAATTATATTAAAATTAAAGGTATATCAGAAATGTACATGGCGCGTATTTATTTGCGTGACGTGTTACTTATTTTTTTTACGAGGTTACTAGTGGATGTTCCGTTCATGTTTGCATTACTTCATGGAGCAAGACATCACATTTCTATTTGTCGTTTTCAGGAACGACACGCATCCAGCCATCACAAAAGCTCGAGCAAACTACCGCAGTCTCAGCAGTCCCATGTGACGTAGTATGGCTTGGGTGACGATTAATGGACGTACTCTAAGGATCATCTTTTGACTCGATCGATTCAGCCTGGATCCAGCGATCCAGATAAGAGAACGAGCGATTTATATTTCAAATAGCGAAAGTTCGAATGGATAGATACCTCTGTATCTATATGTTCTGAGACATCATTTTGAGATACATAATATTCGGATATGTTCTAGAGATATGTATTCTAAGAAATACTAGCGATGAATATATATCAGGACATACCTGATTTATCTCTATGCCGTTTGCCTCGATAAGGATCATTTCTTTGCTCGCTCGATTTTCTTCCTCACTCTCGCCTTTCTCTCTCTCTCTCTCTCTCTCTCTCTCTATCTCTCTCTCCTTTTTATTTTATTTTTTTTGGCGATGAGTAAAAGTTTCCTATAATTGTCGCATAATAAGGCGTTTTGCATTAGCCTTCGACGAAAACTGTCATTACGGTGAAATGCTTTGGAATAGAAAATGCAAATAAGAGAGAGGAAAACAATTCAGGTGAACAATAAGATGTGACACGTTCCTGGTTGCACATGATTTTTCACTCGTCTTTCTTCCATGCACCCAGCGTACGTAAAGCAATTGACTGTAATTGAGTGACAAATCCTTAAGCAGAGATGATCCTTGTTGACTTATTGTATAAGACGAATGCGGATCACGTTCCGCCGTGCGTATCCTAAACGAAAATTAACGGTATACGACGAAATGCGTGCATTCGTGCATTTAATGCGATTATAACGACTTAACAACGATGCTGATATGATCTAACGTTCTGCTATTTGCTATGCGCGAGTTTTTGTTATAGAGTATTACAGACGAATCCCACGTCTCGAAGTTATTTTTACTTCATCTTATATCAGTATATCTACATCCCTCTTTATATTTCAAGCGATTGATAATTGATAGCATCTTAATAATTGATAATTTCTCATGAAGAAGAAAATTAAATTTGACTGTATTTGTTAGACTAAAGGGAATATCGAACAAGTATTCCTTTAATAATTACTTGCGCAAATAACGAGACGTTAAATCGGAAAAAGACGTTTAATACACTACTTAGCGAATAGCATGAGGGTGAGATCTTGGTTGTAAAATGTTACGGGCAAAAGAGAGAAAAAACGTAGAAAAGAGAGAGGAAACTGCGAAGAAACTTCGTTAAGGATAAAGTCCTGAAAACTAAAGAAAAAAAAAGTTCTTTCTTCGCACCATTTCGTCGCCTTAGTAATTTCATATTTTATCCCGTCGTTCTTCGTTCGCAAGAACTTGAATATTCATTGCCGAATATTCTTGGCCCATAAATTGACCGTCAGCAGAGCAGGTTGGTTTGTTGCAGAGGAATATTTGGCAAATTCTGGACTTTAATTTAAGTAGCTGCATCCAATATCAATCTTAAATAGATTATTAAGCAACAGCCCGATTGTGCGAATCGGATTTGATTTCGGATTTGATTTCAGATCACTCGTCATTCGGGATAGATAGATGAAATTTTTTTTTTATTTGTAACATATTGGGATTATCGTAGCGAACTACTTTTAGATTTTTTAGGTAAAATAGGGCTATTATGTTACTACAATTAAGAATCGTCTACGGACTTAGAATACGTTATGCATTTAACAATGCCTTATTTCCGGCTGTGTTTTAATTGATATTTTCTCTTTCGTTTCTTTTCACGCGCATCTAAAGATGCGACTCCCCGAGTAGAGAAATGAGATGTCTATTCATATTTCCTCACGATGACTCAAACGTTTCTCAAAACCTCCGATTCCGATAATTCACCCCATCGAAAGTCAATGTCACCGCTTTATCTTGTTACGATTGTTCCACGAGATAAATTCACGACCGAATATCTCTACAACGAAACGATCGATTCAAATTAATAAGATACAAAGAGACGCATACGCGACACACATACACACACGCATTCACTCACAACCACACTCACACGTAAACACATACAGTAAAATACCTGCTCGACGATACCCGATGGTATTTATCATATTATTCTGTAAATAGTCCCCTACCTGCATAATATATAGTAAGTAAATATAATATGCTCTATCGCGTAACTTAGTATAAAGAACTATGAGTAATATTGATATTATATCAACAGACTGTAAATAAGATTATTTTGTAATGCCAAAAGAAACCAAATAAGAATGAACTAACTTCGATGCACGATCTTATGCATAATTAAATGCGTATAAGACACGCGTGTAACGCATCTACACACACAAAACACACACACACAAAAACCACATAGACACAAAACACAAACGCGTGCGCGCATCGGATGCCTCTCTAAGACGTATAATTGCGCGCAATCACCCGTGTGAAATTTAAAATACATGCACAACGTTACGCGCCGATTAGAATTGTACTTTGTTCAGCGATACACGACGCCGTGTAGCATTGCTGTGTTCGCTCGACCCACGATCGTCCCAATCATATTTTTGTTTTTCTTTTTTTCTTTTTATATAAATAACGATCAACTTAAGTTAAGCCTAAGTTAAGTGTCAATTATGTTAAGAGTAGTTAAGTATGAATTACGAATCGCGAAGTTTGTATCCGCGTCCAACGATAAACGGAATAAGAGAAGAATGAGAAAGAGATTAGAAGTGTCGCGTCTCTCGTTACGCATAGCCAGCATTTAATTAACGAAATTTATACTAAAGAAAGACTAAGAGAAAGAGAGAGAGAGAGAAAGAGAGGGGCGCACAAGCGTTGGATGAATTAGCGGTAGATTTACGGTGTTGTTTTTAGGATATTCGTCGCTCTAATGTGAAATCGACATTGATGTACGCGCAATAGCACGTCTTGTTCCTCCGTTTCTTTTTTTTTATCGTGCGTGTGTTGACGTTGCACATTGTATACACAGAGTGCGTATAACAAATCTAACGACGATCGTACGATGTGATCACTCGCGGAGATCACATTATAGTATTGTTGCGACAATGTTTTTTTCGACGTTATGTGTTTATTCGATTAAACTACGATCTAGTTGTTCGGCGCGATAAAATTACGATGTCGCACGTCTCTCACGATACCGCAGGAATATTTTTTATTCTTATTGTAGAAGAGAGAGAGAGAGAGAGAGAGCGAGAGCGAGGCGACATGTCGTATTTCGTCGCGTCGATGTGCATTTTGGCGTAATTACGAAGTCTCGTAGCCGAGAAAAGAAGAGATTGAAAGAAGAAGAAAGAGAAAGAGAGAGAAAAGAAGAAAAGACAAAGCTAAATTTCGTTAACAGTCTTCTTTCGTTAAGAGCGCTTTCCGTTCATTTCTCGGCTGCGCGGCGTAGGCGCTTATCGCTAATTCATTTCGCCGACACAAGTAATTAGCACAATTACATTGCGAGGGACAATGAGAGCCATTGAGTGGAGCAACTTCAACATCAGTGAAAACCATATTCTTTTTGATGTATTTACAATCTCGCGCTATTGTGTATAAAAAGTAGTGTATGTAATCAAGTGATTATCCCGATGGGAGTTTTTTCAGATTCTATTTGTTACAGAAATTGCAAACAAACAACTGCGTCTCTTACGTCAAGTGCATTTCTGTGCAATCTTTCTTTGCTTCAAAATTGAGGGAAGGAAAATGCCTTTTTTTTTTGGAAATATTTTCAATCGATGTTAATTAGTGTGTATCTAATCGATCGGCATCTACGTGCTCCTCTCAATGGCTCTCGTTCAAAATCGTAAAAGTAACGTCCGAGAACGATCGTCGTCAGGGGAAAAGGGAAGTAAAAAACTGCGCGTCGTTGTTACGATTATTAAATTGCGGATGTGTGCGATGCGACGAGTAAGCCCGTGTGTGCTCTTGGAGGAACGGACGACTAGTGAAAGTCGACGGGAAAACTCACTGTAAATAACTAGCTGTAAGGATTTAGAGAAATAACAGCCAATGTTTGCACGGTGAAAGAGGAATGAAAGAATGTAAACTATTGCTCGTGTAAGTTTGCGAGTCCCAAGCAGCAGAAATGATCAGTTTATAAACGTCGATTCGATTTTATCTATAGACATCTATTCGATAATTTTTCCCTGACGTCGTTATCGAATCCAATGTTTATAAACCGATCATTTCTTCCTGGGGTGTCTCCCGATCGCACCGGAAATAACTTCTCCCGCCGTGCTTGGATGCTGTGTTCTTTGAGGTCGTTTGCCTGTTATCGCAGCGAGGAGCGTGACTTTCAGATTCGCGTCAAACGCCCAACCGCGTGTCGCCGTATTCGAAATATGAGATAAAGTTTATTTCGGAACATGAGACGCGCACATATTCCTGCGCTAATAAAAAAGTGCCACAAATGAGCATTTTTGAGATAATGAAAAACTAAAGATTTTATAAATATTTCCTTTCATTGTCGCTAATGTGCTCATTTTTGTCACTTCAATCGCGATACACTGATTCGTGTCGATGAGTCTGATTCTTTTGGAGTGCGGTGCACCGGTGAAAATTAGGATTGGAATGATTCGAATGTAATGTGCGTTTTCTATAGAAATTACACTTCTCTCACTTTTTGTTACATTGAACTAACGTTCCGATCCTTATTTTCGGGCTTGAGGAGATAAGTCGTTTTGTGGCGCGAAAGGATATAGTTCGTGAATTCTCCTGCGGCAGCAATCACAAACGAAGGCACTCAAACTCGAGACTCAACCCTGCCCTAAACGACGGGGCCGCTATTCCGGTTCGTAATCTTTTTCTTTATTTTCTATCTGGTATTTTTTCCTTTTCTTTTTATTTATCCGAGATCTATTCATCCATCTCGTCTGTCCAACGAATCGGGCGCGGGGCGCCGAAGTACACCCACGGTGCGAATCGGGGACCTGGCTGAACCGAGTCGAGTTTGCCTAGCTTAAGACAGCATTCGAAAAGTTATCCTCAATAAAAGAGAGAAGCAAACGATCATTAAAACCGACTGCCAAAGACTTTTTTATCCTGTCCCTTCTGCAGACGTTATAATTTCACGTCACTTACAATTTATGATATTCTTGATCAGATTTCGCCAGACGCGTTTAAATTTCGGGGACGACGCTCGATGGACGCAAAAGGTTGAAGGATTCGCGCGCAACTTTATTCCAAATCGCACGTAGCGTGTAATTGTTTACGTTATGAATACGGCCTTCGAGGAAATCCGTTTCATGCGTTTGTACAGCCGTTTTAACTATCTCACGTGCTATTTCTTTGCAGTTATTAAGACGTGCGGATTTAATAAAAAGAGCATTCTCTATCGCTAAACCAGATTGTAAGGAGTTTTCTTCACCTCTGTCCTGCTCCGTATACTTAATTTTTTATGTCTTGTTTTTAATTATGCATTGAATGTTTAGACGATACGCGGAGTTTGATTCGATCTGAAGTTTGGAGTTGGTTCAGAATCTGGTTGAACCACATTGCATTTTCTCAGCTTAAAAGCGGCATTCAAAAATTATTTTCAATAGAAAGACAAATGTTAAAACAAATTGCCAAAAATTTTCTTTGTACAGACTTGTATTTTGTACTTATCCTTTTTCACTTTAGCAAATTAATCGCGAAATGTCTCGGTAAAGATTTGAATTTCGCGAATGATACGTACGGCAGTAACGAATTTGAGTGAAGAAAGACCCTAAACATTTTCTTTTAGAATTTTAAATATTATAAATATAACATTATAAGTATAATATCGCGGAGATTGCATTATAATTGTTCTGCGTATTTTCTAAAATTTCTGATATACAGATTCGTATTATAGTTCCATTGTATAAATAACATAAATTGAATTTGGACAATTAATCGAGGATTTCGAGTATCTACGGTACGTTCATAGTGGAGAAGCCATTTTCTATTAAAAAATATTTTAAAAAACAATTATATATATCTGCGATACATATCCGCAATACAAATTAAGGTAAGTATCCTTATTTCCTTATTTCAGAAATATATTTAAAGTAAAAATATGTATCTTAAATTCTTACTAAGAGAGCAATACTGAATTATTCGAGCATTAAAGATTTTTTATTAGGTAATCGAATATTTTTCACGCACGTATATCTCTTTTTCTCTCGCGTCTTTAAATTTTTGCAAGAGAGGCAATTAAGGAGTCCTCAAAGGCCCCCTGTCTGCACCCCTGCGGCCAGCTGTGTGTTCGTCTCTGTCACTCTCTGTGCGAGCGAGAGACGAGAGGTATCGCAAGGTTGCGAGAGTCTCCTTGTCTGTCGCAATAATGCACCGGACGTCACGTACGCGGAGGATCGCAACGCGGACGACGTACCTCCGAGGTTGTGCTTCGATTAATTTTTTTTTCGAGTGGTTCGCGATATCACGAGATGAAGGCGGGTGACGAACGGACATAACGGATTAACCTAGAACCAGCAGTAGATAGATTCGGCCGTGTGTAAACAAGGTACAGATGTCTCGCATCATTGATACGCGATATCAAGGCCTATTGAACTCGAGTTGTCAATGACAATTTTTTTTTTATGCCGCACATATTTTACATCCCGGAACGTTATTTACTTTATTCCAGCGGAACAGTCGCTGCTTTCTTGAATTTGCATACAACTTTAGGATACAACATGTCTCGTTTACTGTTGTCTCGTAATCCCACGTCAAAGTGTATACTCAGAAATAAATGCAGGCAGATCCATCATTCGTAAGTACACAATGTTTCACTGAAAGTTAGCAGTAAGTCGTTTGTTAAGTTTAACATACTTTGAATCTATTTCATCAGCTGCAAAATCCTGGTGGTCGGAGGCGGTACCGCCGGCTGTTCGATGGCCGCAAAACTATCAAGAAAGCTACATGATCCGGAGCAAATTATCGTGCTAGAACCCAGTGATGTGAGTGTAACAAATAAAAATCACATCATATACTATTATATTCTTCGATACAATAAATTGAAAAATTTTTTTCTAGGTACACTATTATCAACCCTTATTTACTTTGGTTGGTGGTGGTATCAGTCCTTACGCGTCATCGAGAAGGTATACGAAGGAAGTTCTGCCAAAGAAAGCGAAATGGTTGAAAGCTTCCGTCGTCGGGTTTCAACCGGACGTTAACAAAGTCTCGACACATCAGGGAGATACCATACAATACGACATTATGATCATTGCACTTGGCTTGCAATTGTACTGGGATAAAGTGAGATATTAGATAATAAATTTAAAAGTACTTAAATTGAATTTATATAATACATAAATTGATGCAAAAAATATTTTTTCCAGATTCCAGGTCTGTTGGACAGCATACACGATCCCGATGCGCAAGTCTGCTCTATTTACGGGCCCGACACTGTACCCCAGGTTTATCAAACGATAAAAAACACTGGACGGGGAACCGCGATATTCACGCTTCCAAATACTCCGGTCAAATGTCCAGGCGCGCCTCAGAAAATCGCCTATATCGCCGAGGATTACTTTCGCAAAGTATTATATATCTCTCTAAAATTGCCATATGTCAACTTGCAAAGAGAATTCTTTCAATTAATTGATATTGTTTGTTTTAGCGCAAATTACGAAATGACATCAACGTCGTATACAACACAGCGTTGCCGGTTATATTCGGAGTTAAGAAATACGCCGATTCTCTCTGGGATGTTTGCAAGCAGAGAGATATTACCGTCAATCTTCAAACAAATCTGGTGAGGATAGAACCGAGTAAGAGACGAGCCACGTTTGAGAAACTGAATTCACCGGGAGAGACATTAATACAGGAAGTATGTTTTATCTGTGATATAAATAGACTACTTAATTATTATCGGCAAATTTAATACTTTTGTTATTAGTATTCTCTCCTTCATGTAACGCCTCCAATGGGACCGCCCGCAGTTTTGAAGCAACATCCAGCGCTGACCAACGAAGCCGGATTTCTCTCTGTTGATCCTAAAACGCTGCGACACACAAAATATTCAAACATATTTGGCATAGGCGATTGCACAAATACACCGAATTCCAAGACAATGGCTGCAATAGGTATAAAGAAAGAATATTCTCTAAATTCAAGAGAGACGGTAGAAATATTTTAACTTATACATACATTCGTTATGCAGCCGCGCAGGGAAAGGTGTTGTACCAGAATTTATTGGACGATTTGGCTGGCAAACCAATGACGATGGCTTACGACGGTTACGCGTCATGTCCGTTAGTTACCGGTTACGGCAAGTGTATTCTGGCGGAATTCGACTATAATTTGCAACCAAAGGAGACCTTCCCGGTGAATCAAGGCAAAGAATTCTACAGTATGTTTCTGCTAAAGAAGTATCTATTCCCATTCATATACTGGCATTTGATGTTGAGGTAAGATAATTTAAATGGGCATACATCTGATCACATACGTCGTAAATGTATGCATATACAATCCTATACTAAATTTTTGTATTACTATATATTTTTAGAGGCTACTGGAATGGACCAGAATTCTTCCGCAAACTCACGAAGGTTCTAAAAAAGGATTAGAGTGCTCGCAGAGAAACCCTGAAGAAAATATGTTTCCCTCCGAAGAAAAATGTAATGTTCCGTGCCTTTTTTCCGCAATTAAGTGAAGAATAACGCCATGTATCTTTAGTTAAAAATTGTACGCATGTATGTACATATATAAATATAATCCCCTTAAGTAATTCTCATATAAGTTAAAGATGTATAATAAAATCTAACAATATCTACATATTTATAATGTATATGTGGTTAAATGGAAAAATATTTTTTATATGTGTGTGGAATATTATAACACTGTTAGAAAAGTATGATATTGTTCGAATATTATTTCAAAAGAATTTAAATGAGGTTGATGAAAGTTCTATATTAAAAGAAAATATGTAATAAATAGAATTGTAGTCGAAATTATTTTTATCATCTAGGAACATTATTCTAGGAAGGTTTGTGTTAATGCATTTGGTTAGCAGCAGTTAGTAGCCCTGGTGGACACGTCAAAATCGGCCAAATTTGACGTAAATATGGATGGTCAACCATTGGTAAGGTTTTTAAGATAAATATTAATTATTTTGTGATAAAGATCAATTAAGAGACCTTGTAAATGTTCGTGATAAAAATAACGTGGCATATCCATATGAGAGAATAGTAGATATTTAAAACTTGCATGACATAACCTATACGTGACACAACAAATTTAACTCAATTTCTCCAATGAATCATATGGTATAATACAATTATATTTCTAATTTGTTTTGTCAATTTTATGTCTTGCGCTATTTTTAACGCCGAAAAATCAGAGAAGAAGCGTAATTTTATCATAAGCAATTATATTCTAGGAGCCTACGCTGTACACAGTCAAAGGAATGGCCATCCTTGACAACGATGGCAACAGGATATTAGCAAAGTACTACGACAAAAATGTGTTTCCAACATCAAAGGAGCAGAAAACCTTTGAGAAGAATCTGTTTAGTAAAACACACCGAGCGAATGCTGAGATCATCATGTTGGATGGTCTGACTTGCGTCTACAGAAGTAACGTAGATTTATTTTTCTACGTTATGGGCAGCTCCCATGAAAATGAAGTTTGTATAATAAAACTGTCAAATATCTCGATATTATCGTGGAATACGTTAATTTATTTGGCTTGTTTCAGTTGATCTTAATGAGTGTCCTGAACTGCCTGTACGACTCAGTTAGTCAGATCCTCAGGAAGAACGTGGAGAAGAGAACGATATTGGATGGTTTGGACATAGTAATGCTAGCGATGGATGAAATTTGCGATGGCGGGTAAATAAAACATTATTTAAAATACAATTTTGAATGCAACGGCGAGGTAAATGGATTATCTTTTCAGTATAATTCTTGACGCGGACGCGACGAGTGTGGTGCAGAGGGTAGCATTGCGAACGGATGACATTCCACTTGGGGAACAAACGGTAGCGCAGGTACCGTATAAATAACTTTATCCTAATATATCTAATTTTTTTTAAAGTTACAAGTTATAACCTTTGATTCGTACATGTATATGACGAGAATTGTTTTTTTTTGTTCTAGGTATTGCAGTCGGCTAAGGAACAACTTAAGTGGTCATTATTAAAATAACTGTTTTCTCTTCATGTATGGTTCTTTTGTCATATAAATTATAAACAGGTATCCGATATATATCATAAAATATTGTATAATATAAAACTTTAATGGAAATGTTGTATATGAAGAATTTAAACTGCCTGTTTATTTTTTACTGTCGGAATTACAATTTTTGAATATTTAGAGATGTAGGAATTCTTGAAAATAAGTATAGGACATTTTTAGAAAGTAGGAAAATTCTTGGGAGTATAGAAAATGTTTAGAATTTCAAATAGTGCAACTTCCGATTATTTCTCCTGATTCTCGGATTCTTCTAGTTACTTTATCAATTTTGAGATTTTTTTATCGTTATTTGATATCTCATTCTTAGAATTGCAATTTTTGAAACTTTGGAAAGCTTTGAATTTTCTAGAAATGTTCTACAAAATAATGTTCTACAGATAATTGATAAAGAAACTAGCAACTTTATCTGCACAAGGACATTATTTGTAATTACCGACAGAATGATAAATGTTTGTTTCACCAGAAGGCGCCACTGATCTGATTTCTAAATAACAAGATTGAATTTGCAGCAGGTAGCTGGACTTTATTCGGAGATATCGTTTTTCTCTTATTTATTTAATATATTTGCGAAACTAAATTTTAATATGCTATATTACTAAAATACTATATTATTAATTTTGAAATATCATTTTACAATTATATATTTACGTGCACACAAACTATATACATATATGTATATATTTTACCGAATACGGTATCATATTTTGCGTGCGACCGTGCGTTGTCAGTCAGATACGCGGAAATGCCTCGTGACGGGAATAAATATGAGGATGATCTCCGTACGATTATAGCGTCGAGATCGGCGAATTTATCGAAATTATACCGGCTTCAATCCCCGCGCGCGCGTGTCTCTAATGGAACCTCGGCGTTGCTGAATTGCTCGCACGAACTTTTTACACGGCAGCCCCCATCGGCGCCCACCGCCCCCCAGGGAAATCCAGCGAGCGAGGGGGATCGTGGACAAGAGGGGAAGGGAGGAAAAAGAGAGAGAGAAAGGATGAAAGTTAGGTAACGCGGCTCTACGGAGAAGCGGCGCGGGATAACATCCAGGTTTTCCGTCGGCGTCGTCACGTGACGGCGACCCGTGGACGACCCGTTTCGATCGCGTCCGTTGGTTACTCTTTCATCGGCCTCCTCCGCGCTGGGAATTTTCAATTTGATTACAAACTGCCCGAACGCCACCCAGTCCGCACCCTCCTGCGCCGCGCGCGTTTCCGCTTTTCCTCATCCCCTTTTTTCCTCCACCTCCTCCTCGTCCTCTGCTTCCTCCTGCTCTTCCGCCGCCGTCGCCGCCGCCGCCGCCGCCCCCTGTGCCATTCTTTCTCGCGCGCGATGAAAAACTCTCGTCGCTCGATCGCGACGGAATTATTGGCCGGCCGACTTTATTTATGGCGTTCATTTTCCTAGAAATCGCGGCCGGAGCAGCTCCCGTCATTTTTCTCTTTCTCTCTCTTTCGCTCTCGTTTCTTTTCTTCCTCATCTCGTTAATTACTTGCTTATTCCACGCCTGATTTTACCAATGTTATCAGTGTACCCATCCTCGATGTATACCTATAATCAGTCAATTTTTTATTAATTAGTCGTTAATTAGTCAATGTCGCTACGACTCACATGTTTCTTAATATACTGTGGTAAATAAATAATTTACTTATTCTTCATACTATACATAAACGGATTTGAGTATTGAATAACTATTTCTCATTTTTCATATTATTTTCTTTTTCATCATGCAGTTTAGAAATCGATTTGCTTCTCATAGAACAAACGATAAGCTTAAATTAATTCAGTCCTTGATTATGACCATTTCTCGTATAGCTACATATAAATTCTTCGCAGAATAATACTTCTCGGATAAATATTTCGGATTATATAATTTAGAAGAATTAAAAGATTACAAGAGTTTAAGAACAATTGAAGTATATTATTTTATAAATCAAAAACATATATCAAAAAATATATATTCACTCAAATCTTTCTGCGATGTAACATCGAAATGACACGAAATGAAATGTCTATGTCGATCTTAATAGAATTGTTTTCATATTGACTTGTTTATTATTATTTTCTCTTTATAATGATCGGTCGTTTTTTTCTTCAAAAGGAGACATTTCACAGCGATACTTAGGTATAGCTTTCGCTTGTGATACAATTTTTAAGTTAGCCACCTATTTCCTTTCCCGAAAACCTCACACGGAGTTTCGGCGCTCCATCAATTTCTCTTCTTTTTTTCGACGCTCGGTCACGTCGCCCTTTTTTTCTCACTCTCTCGCGCGAGCCGTCGATACCGCGATTTACGGCCCCCGTCAAGCGAGGAAACGAGCAGGACGTTGATAACGACGACACTTTGACGAGAAGCGCGCATCGTTTCCTCCCACTAGCAACGAAGGATTAATTCCGGACGTGGGCGCGCGCGCGCTTTTTTCTCTTTCTCGTTGCATTATCTTTAAAATAATAAGATGAGGGGCGATATTAATAACGCGTTTCTATCCCTCTCTTCAACGAGCCACATAGATCTCGGAACGAGAGACGTTACAAGCAAATTATCGGTATTCTCATCTAAGCTGCGAAGTAAATTCAGAACTAATTAATAAAATTGCGCTAATGACTCGAATCTTTCAATCGAATTATCTCTTAGAAAAGTCTTCAAAGAAAGACAAGAAAAGCTTATCAGTATGCTGTTAACATGCGCGGATTGGATTGCGATATCACTTCGATTCACACCGCTAACCATCGCAATCATTATTGTTACCTCGTGACTGATTGTGAAAACTAAAAGCCATTGATTCATACATTATCGGGTGGTCTGTCCGGCAATCTTAAATATATCCAAGTCGATGTGCACGTACCGGAAAGAGGCGCTCTCGTAAATCAATAACCGACGAGAAAGAGAAAGCGAGAGAGAGAGAGGGACGAGGAGGGAGAGACAAGCCTCGTCGCGAACGGCACATGCCCGAGATGCTAAACGCGCCCGTTAAACGGACTCGGATCGAATCCCGTTCCTAATGTTCTCGCGCACGGTGGTCCAGGTGGCTCGGTAAGGGCAATTAAACGTATAAACGGCGTGAATTAGCCGCAAGAATTGCAGACCCGACGCTTTTCAATGGGCCGCGCCCGGGGGCTGTCGCTGGGCATCAGGGGCCATTTAACACGATGACATCCCATTTACCACCCCCGCACAAAGACCCCGGCCGCGACTAGATCAGACAAGCAAAGCCCCGGAAACCCATATGTCAGCACGTGCCGCCGCCGATCTCTTTCACGGATGTATACGGAGCCCCGGCCACCAGACACCGTAATCGTCGTCTGGTTTTGGAAAGTTATTTGCCGGGATAAAGCGACGACTCTCGCGATTAATCTCGTTTAGACGCCCCCTCCGTTCCTCCCCTCCATTCCGTATCCCTGTGTGATTCGCGTGCTAGTACGAGCGGCGAGACCACTCGCGCACGCACAAATCTATTTGTGATATCTTAATTATTTCTCGTCGCATGTCGTTATTTTATAAGATCTCTCTTTTATAGATCTTTCTCCCCTCACTGTTACTCGGTCTTCGCGTCATCCCCTGCCCTCTTTCTCTTTTACTCTCACTCATGTAATTTTGTTTTCATTGCGTTTAATAATATTACATACATATGCTACTGTAATAACGATTTATTTGCAAATTTGAAATATAAATTTATGCGCGTTGATGAGCAATAATGATCGAGAAAAAGAAGAAAATGAAGAAAGAGAAAGATAAAGAAAAAAGCATAATGAAAATAATTAATTCTTTCAAATTTTTTTCAGTAAATAGTGACACCAAGCCACGTGTCTTCTGATTCTAGAAGTCTAGAGTCTTCTAGTGAGTCTAGAAGACAATTTAACAAGTAAAACTGACAACATTAGTTCCTAAGTTTAAAGCCAATAATAGTTGACAAAAGAAGCTTTTTCTTTTTTCTGTCTGTTTCAATCTCCTTTAATTTATTTACTTCCTTGCGGTATTATACAATTTATGAGATTATTTGTGAGAATAAAAGTAAAATAGCAAAACTTAAATCTATTAGCGGACAATGAGAAATAGTTTTATCATTTTCTCAAGTTTACTGTGTTTTCTCAGATAATAGCTAGACCAGAGGCATTAAGTATTTTATTAACTGCTTTTAAAAAGCATTAAGTATTTTATTAACTGCTTTTCACGGTTTCTAATTTTTCGCTTTCTTGCTACTTTTAAAAAATAGATTTATCGTATTATATAATAATAGCTTTTTCCACGTAACGTAGAACTCTCGTTGAATGAATATATCTATTAAAATATTTAAAAAATAAAATCAACTAATTTTGCAGACTAATTTAATCGGATAAAATTTCAGAAAGTGTAATTGATATTTAAAATAGCTTTTTTGCAAGTGCAAATTTTGAAGTTAGATAAGATACATCAAAATCGGCGGAAAAACTTCGAAAATGAAATATTTGATATATCGTTCGTATGTGAATTACACTTCTTGTTTCCGAGAACAAGTCGTCATTCAAATTATATCAATTTTTTTTAATAGAAAGATGTTATATCAATAATATTTTAATTTAAAATAATGTTTTATAACTAAGAAAGTAAATTATTAGTAAAAACGCATTTAAATGGAATTTTTCTTTTCATGAAATTGAGAATATTTGAATATGTGGTAAGCAATGTTTAATAGATAGGAAAACATAAAATTTAGAATACATGACTTTTCCTACTTATATATACAAGATATTTGATTATTATTTGAAAGCGTTTGTTTACGCTTTTAAATACTTTTTTTTTATATGTATCTTTGTCTGCACACGCGCACTTCTTTTGCAAGAGAAAAGGTTTCTGCCATCTCCGATGAGAGAAAAAGAGGTGACTGAAAAGAATCCCTCTGATAAATACGTTGCTACACGTTATGAATGCTTGATGATGGCGTTTCACGACTCACGTGGCGTTCGCGCAAAAAGGGGTTGCAGGGGAGGTTTCTCCGTCCTTCTTATCCGCGCGACGAGGGATCCTGACGCGCGCGTGTATCCTCCCCACTACATTACCCTCTTTCCACCCCCTTCGTCGTTGTTGCTGCAATCCGCGAGCCTTCCCTCCGC